CGGGGGAGGGACAGACGGCGAGGACTGCGCCGGAGGACTACCAGAGTCAGAAGACTCGTCGACCGGGACGACCGACGGGAGGGGGGTGACGTGAGACACACCAGAGGGGGCCGGACGGGGGGGCGGGGGGGGGGGGGAGGGGCAGGGACCACCGGGGAAGGAGGGACCAGGAACAGGGGGGGAGTAACCGGGGGACCACGGTGAGGGAAGCGGCTGTAGAAGGAGATGGACTCGTCAAAGGTGACGTCGCGAGAGTGAAAAAAGCGGTGGGACGGTGGGTGGTAGAAGTGCCAGTCAGACGCGTCAAGGGGGAAACCGAGGAAGACGCAGGGGAGGGTGCGGGCAGTGAGCTTGTCCGTGCCAGAGGCACGAACGTGGGCAAGGCAGCCCCAGACGTGGAACGCAGACGCGTCACCAGGGGACCCGGTCCACAGAAGGGTCGGCGAAACCTGCGGCCGCTGGGGGTGCGGCCACAGGTTAAGCTGGTGAGCGGCGTAGCGCACGGCGAACGGCCACAGAAAATGGGGTGCACCGGCGTGGATCATGGAGGTGCGAGCCACCTCCATGACCAAACCGATGCGTCGCTCAGCGACCCCATTCTGCTGCGGGGAGTCCGGCAGGGTAAACGTCTGGGTGATGCCCTCCGCACGACAGAAGCGACCAAGGACACCTGAGGCAAACTCGCCACCCCGGTCGGAGTGGAGGCGGAAGGCAGGGAGACCGCGGTGGACACGAGCAGAGACAAGCCAGGGGATGAGAACGTCAGGCACGTCGGCCTTCCGCTCCAGGGGGAAGACGGTGGTGTAGCGCGTGAAGTCGTCGACAAGCAGTAGGAAGAAGCGCTCGCGACGCGGCCCATGGACCGGGGCTGGGCCCCAGACGTCCATGTGCAGAGTCTGCAGTGGTGCGGTGGTAGGGGGAAAAGAGGAGGAGTGAGGGGCACGGCGGAGCCGGCCCTCGACACAAGGCGTGCACGGTGGGGCCGGGGAGGAGGGAAAGTCGGGGAACGAACCGGGGAGACCAAGGACGAGACCGTGCTGGGACATGTGACGCAGACGTGGGAGTGCAGGGTGACCAAGGCGGTGGTGCCAAAGGAGAGTCGGGTGAGTGAGGGACCGACAGGAGCACGCGGCAGCAACCTGGGTGGACGCAGCTACCGGGGGGGGAGACCCAGCCGGGGACGTCGCGGTGTCTAGTGTGAACAGGCCGGACACCGGGTCCCGGGGGAAAGTGGTAAGGGGGGCACCAGTGGCGGCCTCGGTACAGACAGCATACCGCTCGTGACCAGGGAACGTAGTGGTGACGCCAAGGTCCTGGAGGCAGCCGACACCAACTAGGTTCCTGGAGAACGAGGGGATATGCAGACCGGTGAGCGAACCTGAAGGAACCGCCGGACAGGGAAGGGAGGTGGAACTGCGGGCAACGACGGGACCACCGGAGGGGTCAGCAAGAGTAACGGCAGCGGGAACAGGCAGCGGCGTCAGCGTCGTGGAGTCGCGGAAGAAACACCGGGAGGCGCCAGAGTCCAAGGTGAAGGAAAGCGCAGCAGTCGCGTGAGGCGGCAGTGAAGCGGTGGAAGCACCAAGGCTAAGCAAAGCAGGAGATCCTACGCCTGACGCAGCAGGGGAGTCTACGCTAGGCACCGCTACACTAGGCAACACGGGGTAATAAGAGGGAAGCACACTAGAGTCATGAGCATACATCACATGCAAGGCTGCTACAATGGCATCCATGTCCAAGTCAAAAATCTGAATGCTACGCCTAAGCAAGCTGTGCCAGTCTGGGAGGTCGGGCGCCGGGCCAAAGCGCTGGCGGAACAGGTCGTCCAGACGACGAAAACAGCGAGGAGTAGAATGACCGATCTTACCGCAAACGAAGCCGCGGCGAGGACCGGTCTGGATCTGGTACTGACAGGGCCCGCCTCCAGAACCACCACCCGGTGCACCACCACGCGCACGACCACCACCAGCTCCAGGCCACCCAGGCGGGAGAGCACTCGCCGGCCTCGTCTGCGGCGGCTGCTGCGGCTGCTGCGAAGGCTGCGGCTGCGGCGACTGCTGCTGCTGCTGCGACTGTGGAGGCAGCGGGGCAGCTGGACCGGGCAGGGTCCCCACGTCCGCACCGGCACCGGACGACCCGCCTCCACCACTACCCCCACCCGCACCCCCGCCGCCTCCGCCGCTCCCAACCTTGGGGCGGCGGCCCTTCGCCGAGCGGGACTGCACTGCAGCAGCAGTCTCAGCCACAGCGACAGAGCCGTCGGAGAAGGTACACTGAGCGGGGGCACAACCCTGAAAGATAGGGACCGGTACTGTACCGCTCGCCTGGGCTATGGAGCGGTGACGAGTCTCTATGGCAGTCAGGGTGTCAACAAAGTCGGTGAGGGTGAGAGCAGCAGGATGGATGCTAAGGAACTGGTCGCGGGCGGCGGCAAGGCGGTCAGGGAGGCGGGTGGCAAGGAGGTAGAGGGTGGAGGTCATGGGAGGCTGGTGGACTCTAAGCTGTGCATCAGTGCAGGCAGCGCGCCAGGCCTCATCTATCGAGCGCAGGTGGGCAGCGAGGTCAGAGACAGTGGGGAAAGACGCCAGGTCAGGAAAGAGCAGGGGGAGGATCAGGCGACCCACTGAGGCAGCAGGAGGGGTAGAATAGCGCTTGATGACAGCATCAAGGTAGGCCTGGGCGGTAGTAATGGTTCTAAAGCGAGGGCGCTCAGGGGGGGGGAGGGCATTGCTAATGGCGAGCTGAGCAAGGGCATCGCGGGAAAGCCAGACAGAGCGGGCAAGGGCAGCAGCGGCAGTGGACTCGCGCTCAGCGGGCGTGGGATCAGCGGGCAGCACAGCAGGGGGGTCAGGGCAGGGGAGCATACCGTCTAGGTGTGCAGAAAGCGGGTGGCCGTCCTGCCGCTGGCCAGTGAGGTGGCGGCGAAGGTCAGCCAACCACGCCTCGAACTCCAGAGGCTGACCCTCAGCATCAAAACGAAGCTCAGCAGCCATGAGGGGCAGTGGAGGACAGTGCAGTGCAATGCAGTGCGGTGCAGTGCAATGCAGTGCGGTGCAGTACGGTCCAGTGCGGTGCAGTGCGGGCGGTGCGGTCCAGTGAGGTGCAATGCGGTGCAAGGCGGGGCAGGAAAGTGAAGGAGGGTGCAAAGTGGTGCGGGGAACGGGGGACAGTACCAGGAAGTATGGAGGGCCGGGGCAGGCGCGTCAGGGCCGGGCAGGCACGACAAGGCCGGGCGGCGGCGACGGGGCCGGGCGGCTGCGACGGGGCCGGGCGGCGGCGACGGGGCCGGGCGGCAGCGACAAGGCCGGGCGGCTGCGACGTGGCCGGGCGGCTGCGACGGGGCCGGGCGGCTGCGACGGGGCCGGGCGGCAGGGACGGGGCCGGGCAGGACACAGCAGGGCCGGGCAGGGGCGACGGGGCCGGGCGGCTGCGACGGGGCCGGGCGGCAGCGACAAGGTCGGGCGGCAGGGACGGGGCCCGGGCAGGACACAGCAGGGCCGGGCAGGGGCGACGGGGCCGGGCGGGCGAGCAGGGGCCGGGCAGGGCGACAGGGGCCGGGCAGCCGCGACAGGGGCCGGGCGGGCGCCACGTGGCCGAGAGGCCGCGACGGGGCCGAGCAGGGGCGACGGGGCCCAGGAGGGGCTCGACGGGGCCCAGGAGGGTCGCTACGGGCCCAGGAGGGGCGCTACGGGCCCAGGAGGGGCGCTACGAGCCCAGGAGGGGCGCTACGGGCCCTGGGAGGGGCGCGAGGGGGGCCTGGGAGGGGCGCGACGGGGCTTGGGAGGGGCGCGACGGGGCTGGGGAGGGGCGCGACGGGGCCTGGAGGGGCGCTACCAAGCCCAGGTAGGGGCGCGACGGGGCCTGGGGGGAGCGCAATGGGGCCCAGGAGGGGCGCTACCGGGGCCTGGGAGGAGCGCGACTGGGCTAGGGAGGGGCGCGACGGGGCCTGGGAGGAGCGCAATGGGGCCCAGGAGGGGCGCTACGGGGCCTTGGAGGAGGGCGACGGGGCCCTGGAGGGGCGCTACCAGGCCCTGGAAGGGGCGCGACGGGGCCTGGAGGGGCGCTACGAAGCCCTGGAAGGGGCGCGACGGGGCCTGGAGGGGCGCTACGAAGCCCTGGAAGGGGCGCGACGGGGCCTGGGAGGAGCGCAATGGGGCCCAGGAGGGGCGCTACGAGGCCTGGGAGGAGCGTGACGGGGCCCTGGAGGGGCGCTACGGGGCCCAGAAAGGGGCGCAACGGGGCCCAGGAAGGGGCGCGACGGGGCTAGGGAGGGTCGCGACGGGGCGAGGGAGGGTCGCGACGGGGCTAGGAGCACGACGGGGCCCAGCTAGGGGGCGAGCGGAAGCGTGAGGGGGGGGGGGGGGGGGTGGGGGGGGAACCTACCTACGCGTGATACCATATCAAACAGTGAAATTGATAAATGAGAGAGAGAGAGTACACAAACATATACCTAACAGTTGTACTCTCTAGAAGATGACCCTATACAGTCTATACAAGCATGATAACTAAACATGTTTGACAGAGATTACTGTAGATGTGCCGGAGTTCTAGGAGCCTGTTAGCTAGTGATTGCTTGGTAGTAGTAGTTGTAGGCTCCTGTCCAATGTAGCAAAATGTAATACACAAGAAAGAGCTCTTCTTAATAACATAAAATGTAACCCTGAATATATTTGCGCGATCCTGAGAATTTCAGAGTTGCACATCCCTCGACTCTGACATTTCAGAGTCCCTAAATTCTGGCTGAAGGCCATTCAGACTATTTTTTTTTTGGGGGGGGTCAGCTCAGAGTGCCTTTTTTTGAAACGTCAGCCCTGGTTGCGACTGACCGTTACAACTGCAAGGATGGTAACCGAAGCGACAATCGAGTCGCTGTGCATGTGCGACTCGATAACCGCTCTTTCAACTGTATTCTACAACTGGTTTACTTTCCTACTTTCTATATATTGCTGTATGCTTGTTCTTTTAATCAATCACTTGCTCTCACATACTAGTGCAAGGGTTCAACTACTCAACTTCCGCTGCACTACTCAAGTCTCCTTTTACAACTGGGACTTAGTCTCTGAAAGATCCTAAGGGCTTTTTATCAGCCCAACACAAGCGAACACTGAAAAAACCCTGAATCAGGGAAACTGGCCTGAAATCTGAGGCTGTAAAACCGAGAAACTTTCCCTGCCCTTTCGGGGAAAAAAAAAAAAAAACAGCATGTGCGTATATGGGGTTCAGTGCTGCTGACAACGATTCAGAACGGTGCAGGTGCCTGCCCTGGACAATGAAGGATATCAGAGTGCAGTGTGCAGTGCGCATCATCATCTATATGTCCTCTCGTTCTCATCCTGATTGGTCAAATGCAATCGGGACGCAGCAGCTCTAGTCAGCCGCATGTCAGGAGAAACTGCGGTGTCACGCTGCTTGGCCACGAAGTCGCCAAACAGCTGCAAGGGCAGCTCGCGGGGAGGGGCCTGTCGCCTCCTCTGGTACATCAGTGTAGGAGAGGGGCCTGGGAAAGGGAAGGACAATGGGGCTGTGGACAACGATGGCATAACGGTGCTACCGGTATTGGGAGTTGGTAACATTGTTACCTCCCTTGCGAGTGGCGGTGATGTGGTGGAGGGCACAAGCGCGGGCCAGGGGGACTTGCAGGAGGATGTGAGGAGGTCGATGGCAATGGGTGGCTTCACTGCCGGCTCAGGCTCTTCACACACTGCTTTCAATGCTGCGGCTTCTGTGCTCCCGCTCTCTGTCCACACTGCCGTGCCTGCTGCGGCTGCTGCTGCTGCTGCTGCTGCTGCTGGTACCTCTGGAGGTGCAGAGGCAGCAGGTCCGGAAGGGTTGGAGTCCCCAACACGAGATGCGGCAGAGGGGATGATCTGAGCAGCAAGCGCAGCGGCAGCACGAGCAGTGGCAGCAAGAGCAGTGGCAGCACGTGAGGGGGATACTGGAGGCGGAGATGGACATTTCTGTTGGCCCTCCTGTGCACCTGAACCTGCTGCTCCTTCCAGGCGCATCATGCCTGAGCGCACATCACGGCCCTTGCCTTCTTCTACCTCCTCCACCTCCTCTTTCCTCTTCACCAATTCCTCCTCCACCTCCTCCTTCCCCTCCACCTTCTCCTTTACCTCCCCCTTCTTGCCCGCCTCTCCCTCCCCCTTCTTGCCCGCCTCTCCCTCCCCCTTCTTGCCCGCCTCGCCCTCACCCCCTCCATCCGTTTCCAAGCGCCAAGGCGAGGGCAGGGCGGCAGGGGGAGCCAGCAGCAGAGGGCAGGGGGACCAGAGCAGCGTGGCGCGAGGGAGGGGCGTGTGCGCTGCCAGCACAGCCGCACATGCCGGCGCTGCAGCAGCGCTTGCAGCTTCTTGGGACACCTCCGTGCGTCCAGCAGAAGATGCCGCAGCGCCGCGCTCCTCCCCCTGCACCTCCACCACGTCTGACTCTGACTCGCCACGCCCCTCGCCACTCACACACCCTCTCCTTTCCCCTGCCCCCACCCCATTCAGGAACAGCACTCGAGCCCTCTGCCCGGACGCACTGCCCGACCCCCACCCCACCTGCTCCCCGCTGCTTCCCTCCCTCCTGCCCCCCTGCCCTTTGCTCCCCAACCGCCCAGCAGCAGCAGTCGAGCCACCTCTAGGAGCACCAGGGGACACCGGCACCCCCTCTCGCCCTCTCTGCTTCATCTCCCCAGCTTCTGCGGGCTTCGCTCCCGCTGTTGCATAACCACCCTCCGCCCCTCTCCCCCTCCCCTCCCCACTCTCCTCGCTCCCCCCCACCACCTCGCGCAGTCGGCTGCTGCGCCGCCTGCCCCCCACCTCCGCACTGCCCAGCGGCCCCTCGCTGCCGGCCGAGCTGCGGCGGCCCACGAGCGGGGAGAGGGAGAGCAGGCTCTGCCGCTCCAGCTTGAACGTCGACCGGTGGGCCGCCTTCGCTGTCAAAACGAATGTCGCCTGCTGCTGCCCGCCCTGCTGCTGCTGCCCCTGCCCCTGCTGCTGTGCTTTCTGCTGGCTCTCCTGCTGTTGCTCTTTCTGCAGTTCTTGGTGTTTCCCGTGCTCCTGGATTTCCTGCTGCTCCTCCTTTCCTGTCCGCTGCTGTTCCACCTGCTCCTGCCACGGCTCGCTAACAGGCAGCAGAAGCTGCCGTGGCGCATGGTGCCACGCGCTGCCTTCCAATGTTGGCACTGCTGGGGGGCCTGGAAGATCGGGTGCTGCCTCTCTCAAGGCTGCTGCTTTCACAGCCTCTATTGCCCTTCCAACAACACCCTTCACAACGCCCTTGCCCCCCTCCATCAAACTTGCTTCCATGATTTCGTCCTTCACTTGTGACAATAACGAGCGCTCTCTTGACGAGGCCTCAGTGTGCCTGAGCCTGCTCTTATCACCCGCCTGTGGATGGCCCGAGGGCGCTGACACGCCATGGCTGCTGCTGCAGCTGTGCGATGCAGACCGAATCAACTGTACCCCACTGCTGCTCGCCACGGCAACACCCCCATCAACGCCAAAAGACTGAGCGCCACAAGCAGGACCATTCACTGCACCCTCGGACCCTACCCTCAACCCTTCCACCTCACCCACGCCTCCCATGTGAGCGCCACCGCTCACCTCCTCAGCACACCCCATGTCGCTGCCAAGTGCCGTGCTGCCGTCCCCCCCGCTATCACTGCACCCCCTCTCCCCTCTCCGCCGCCCCAGCCTGCGCCACTTGTACTCCCTCTGCCATATACGCACTCTGGCTTGCCCCCCTATAGGAACGCTGGCTGGCCCCCCTATAGGGACATTGGCTGCCCCCTCTAAAGGCACAGCAGGCGCCGCCCCCTCTTCTGCTGCCGCCAGAGGATGGCCTTCTACTGCTGCGCCAGGTGTAGTAGCCGGTGGTCGTGCTGCTGCTGCCGCTGCTTCTACAGGGACTGCTGCATCTGCTGGTGTCTCTGCTTCTTCTGCTGCTGCGTATGCTTCTTCTGCTGCGGCGTGTGCTTCTGCTGCTGTTGCTGCTGCAGGAGGAGCTGATGGTGACAGCTGCATACCACCTGACACCACTCCCCCTGCTGCTTCTGCTTCTGCCCCTCCCCCTGCCCCTGCTGCTGCCCCTGTTACAGGGCCATCTGTAACTGCCAGCGCGGGCCCCACAGTGCGTAGTCGCAGCACTCTGCCAGCTGACCAAGGGGGTGCTGCCCCTCCCCCTGCCTCTGCCATCTCCCCACCTCCGTCTGCCCGTGCTACCTCCCCCCCTTCACCTTCACCACCACACGCCCCCTCCTGAGACTCCTCATCCCCAGCTGCGGGGTCTCTGCCCCGATAGGCTATGAGGCGCGCTGCCCCCCCTGCTGCCCGCCACCCCTGCCGGCACACGCGCTCGCGCAGCGAGAGCACGTCGTGTGGGGGGGGCAATGCAGCTGCGGCAGCAGAAACACCGTCAGCAGCAGCCGCTGCAGCCAAAGCAGAGGCACGAGCAGAGGTGCTGCCTCTCCTTCTCTTGCGCACACGTGTAGATGTGAACCCAGCACTGCTTGCACCGCTACGGCACACTGCAGCACCAGCAGCAGTGACAGCAGTCAGCGGCAGCAGGCCCGGCTGCCCATGGTGCTCCTCCTGTGCGTGTGGCTGCTGAAACTCGTGCTTGCTCTCTGCACCCATCTGCTGCTCGCCGCCCCTGCCTTCCCCGCCCACCCTCGCCCCATTGGGCCTCTCACCCACAGCCCGCGCCCGCCGAGTTGACTCGGACCGTCTCCTGCGGCACACAGTGCCGGTGGGCTGCCACTCCTTCTCCACCCCGTACACCCACCCTTCGCCCCCCGCCTGCCCACCACCGCCCCTCTGCCTCCTCCCCTCGCGCTCCTCTTCTTCCTCCCCTCCCCCCTCTCCCTCCCCCCCTACTCCGTGCTCCCCCGCGTCCCTCACCCCCTGCAGCAGCCATGAGGGCGACTTCACCACTCGCCGCGACCGCGTGCTGCCCCCCGTCACCACACCGCCACTGGCACCAGCAGCAGCATCATCCCCAGCAGTGGCAACAGCACCACCACCAGCAGCAGCAGCACCGCCAGCAACTGCCACACCATTCATGCTCCTGTCCGCCCCACCCTCCACCCACCCATTCCCCCTCTCCCTGCTTCGTCTCTTCCTCTTCCCCCTACCCTCCGCCAGCCCCCCCTCCCCCCCTGTGTCTGTCAGCACAGCCAGCGATCTCCGCCTCTTCCCCCCCACCCCCTCCCCCCGGCACATCATGCCAACGCTTGCAGTCCGCACGAGGCGCAGGGGGCGGGAGGTCAGGCGCCAAGCAAGGTTTGGGGGGATGGAGGATCCGGGGAGCAGCAGCCAGGGGAAGCTGGGGGCAACCGGCAGGGGGAGGCTGGGGGGAGATGGTGGAGGGAGAGTGAGAACCACGTGAGGGGGAATGGATTGGTCTATAGATACAAGGGACAGGGGTTGGGGGGGGAGTGAGAAACGGGAGTGGGGAGGGGAAGGGGGTTGGGAGGGGGGCAGTGGGGCAGGAAGCACAGCGATGAGTTGGCTGGCAGAGGGTGGATGTGCGGGCGGGGGGTGCAAAGGAGGGGAGGAGTGTGTGGGGGGGAAGGCAGCAGGGAGTGGCAGCAGCAAGGGTTGTTGAGCATTTGCACACGAGGCATGGTTAGAGTCGTTAGTGCGGTCAGGTGCGGTTGGTGGTGCTGCTGCTGCTGCTAAAGCAGCTGCATCGGCTGCACTGTGAGCATGTGCTGCTGCTGCTTCTGCTCCTGCTGTTTTCTCTGCTTCCGCTGCTTTAACTGTTTCATCTGCTTCTGCTGCTACTGCTGTTACTGCTGCTTCTGCTGCCACTGCTTCTTCTGCTGCTACTGCTGCTACTGCTGCTACTGCTGCTACTGCTGCTACTGCTGCTACTGCCGCTTCTGCTGCTGCTTCTGCTGCCTCTGATGCTTCGACTGCTTCCTCTGCTGCTGCTGCTTCTTCTGCCTCTGACGCTTCTGCCGCCTCTGCTACCTGTGCTGCGTCAGCTGCAACCTCTGCCTGAGGCGGTAGCGCAGGGGTGTAATTTCCTAGCAGGGAGGCAGCGGGGATCAGCTTAGAGACAGGAGGAGTCAGCTCCGTGGTTCCAACTGGTGTATGTGAGGCAGGTGTTATCTGAGAGGCGGGTGTCATCTGAGAGGCGGGTGTCATCTGAGAGGCATGTGTCATCTGAGAGGCAAGTGTCATCTGAGAGGCGGGTGTCATCTGAGAGGCAGGTGTCATCTGAGAGGCAGGTGTCATCCGAGAGCCAGGTGTCACCTGAGAGGCAGGTGTCATCTGAGAGTATAGTGGTGGAAAGGCCGTGGTGTTAGGTGTTAACTGAGCGGCACCGGCAGCCAAGTGCAGTGCATGAGGTGGTAGGTCCATGCGATCCCGCGATAGCTGCACTGTATCGGGCGCTACGTGTGTGGCACTAGGGGGCAACTGGAACGCTACAGAGGGTCGTCCAATGGGTGGCAGGGAAAGCTGAGGGGGAGGTGTGTCAGGCACAGATCCAAACACAGCGCCGGCACCACTCTGAACCGTACTCAGCTCCCTCTCTTCCTGGCCGGGCTCCCCTGGCAGCAGCAGCAGGTGCTCCATCTCCTCTTCCCCCGCCGTCCCTTCCGCCCCCTGCATCTCGTCCGTCTCTTGCACCCCCTGCACCCCCTCCACCCCCTGCACCACCTCCACAGGCACCACGCGCCACATCTCCTCAATGCCAAACGTGCGCACCACCCGCTGCAGCGCCTCTGCCCTCACTCGCACGCCTGCTGCTCGCCCCGCTTCCACCGCCGGACCCCCTGCCACTGATGGCCTGCCCGCCCCTGCTCCTGCCGCCCCTGCTACTGGTGCCCTACCTGCTGCTGTGCGCTCTGGCTCTGCTGCCGCCTCTCCCCCAACTCCCTCTGCCGATTCTGCTGCACTGCCTTCCCTTGCCGCTGCCTCACCTGCTGTCCCCGCCTCCCCTGCCCCTTCGTCTGCTGCCCCTGCAGCAGGCCCCCGCACATTAGCAGCCGCTCCATCTGCCCCCACCATGCCTCCCTCTTCCTCCCCATCCCTACCACCGTCTCCACCAGCTGCTCCCTCCTCTCCCGCCTCCCCCGCCTCCCCCTCCTCGCCCTCTGCCCCCCGGGCGCGGTGCTCCTCCTTGGCCCAGTACACGGCGTCCAGAGGCCCCTCCACGCGCTCAGGGGCCTCAAGCGCGATCACCAGCATGGCCTCTCGCCGCCCCCCCCGGCTCCACTCGTGGCTCACCACGCGGTTCACCACCACCGCCTCGAAATCCTGGTTTGCCTGGCTAGCGCTCATTGCATTGCTCGCGCTTATTGCCTTGTTGGCGTTGCTCCCACTGTGCACCCTGCTCGCCCTCTGCTGCTTCTCTGCCTCCAACCCTGCCAGTCTAGGCGACTGCCGCGCTGCCTTCCGCTGCCCCTGCTGCTCGCTCCACCGTTTCCTACCACCTCGTACCGCAACCAACGCACTTTCACCCGTCCCGCTTGCCGTCCTCTCCTTCGCACCCCCGTCTGATGCCCTCTTCTCTGCTTTCCCCTCAACCTTCCCCTCTGCCTCCCTCTCTGCACTTCCCTCTGCCTCCCTCTCTGCAATTCCCTCTGCCTCACCTTCAGCTGTCTGCTCTGCCTTCACCTCACCCTCTGCCCTATCTGCTGCTTCGTCCTTCGCCTCTGCCTCCTCCAATGCGCCTGCCTCCTCCCCTACATCGCCAGCGACCCCATCACCCCCCTTCCCATCCACGCCCCCTCCTGCCATGCCCGCCGTCTCTGCTCCTGGGGGTGCTGGCACCTGGCACAGAGACAGAGGCGCTGAGGCCTCACCACGCAGCCCAGCAGGGAATACTGCAGCGGGGGGGGGGAAGAGACAGCTGGGGCTGGGAGGCTCCGCTGCAAGAGGCACTAGCGCCCATGACTTGGCATCAGGACTTGTGGCTGACGCAAACTGCTTATACAGGTTGCTCACAGGCAGAGTGCGCGCTTGGCTGGTGCGCGCCTGAGAGCTGCGCGCTTGACTGGAGCGGCGGGTAGCGCGGGAGGGAGTAGCGTCAGCCCGGCCCCCCCCGTCACCAGCAGCAGCAAGAGCCGCTGCAGCGGCAGCCTGTGCAGCGGCATGAGCAGCGGCATTGGCAGCGAGTGCGGCAGCAGCAAGGTCGGCGCAGTACTGCTCGTCCAGGAACGCGCATCTGTCCTTGCACCAGGGGGGGGCGTCCACGTACGCCCTCTCCGTGCCCCACACCAGCGCGTCACCACCAGCAGCAGCAGCCGAGTCAGCAGCACTGGCACCAGCACCAGCACTATGACCACCAGTGCCAGCAGCAGCAGCATGAGCGGTGTCTTCCTGCTCACCCTCCCCCTCCTCCCCGCCCCACTGCAGCACGCGCCAGGGCAGCCCCACATACCCCACCGCCACGCGCACAAATTCCACCCCCCCTCCCGGCCTGCCCGCGGCCTGTCCTGCGGCCTCCAGGTGCAGCAGGCGCTGCTTGTGCCGCTGCCGCAGCACGCTGGCCGGCCAGTTCTTGTACTTGATCACGCGGATCGCCCCCGTCCCCCCCCCCACCGCATCTCCTCAGGCAGAGGGGGCACCCTCAGGGGGGCCCGCACCCTCACTGCCCTCCCAGGGCTCTTCCCAGGTGAAACGCCAGGAGGGGGGAGAGCAAGAGGGGTAGAGTGAAGGGAGGGAGGGGCAGCGGGAGAGGGGAGAACAGGGCTTGGCGGCAGTTGGGGGGAGAGCGAGGACGGGTGGATTGAGAGGGGTTGGGAGGGGTGTGAGTGGGCTTGCAGTTTGAGCTTGACTTTGAGCTTCTTCACTCGCCTGTGTCCGTTCACCCCCTTGGACGCCCACATGTGCTCCAGCACCAGCCCCTCCCCCGTCCCTTCCTTCGCCCGCACCCCTCCCCCTTGCACCCCCAGCCCCTGCGCCCGGCCCCTCAGGCTGAATATCCCTCCCCGCCCCAACCCCCCTGCGGCCTTTCGTCCCGGCAACATCACCTTCCCCCGGCTCCTCCCCATCCCCCTCCTCCCCCCCACTCTCCCCCCAACCACCGCCCCCGCCGCCCTCACGCCACCTCCTCCCCCCGCACCTGCTCCAACCGCCATTATCGCCCCCCTCTCCCTCCCGCCATCACCACCCACCCCCGCCCCCCACTTCCACTGCCCAGCCGCAGGGGCGGCAGCGGGTGGCGCGGGTGGGAGGGGCTTTTCGAGGACGGCAGTGCCGGGGAAGACGAGCACGTCCAGCTGCAGCAGCTGCCGCCGCCCCTCCGCTGACATGTCCGCAAACCCAAAGCCCCGGCGCCACGTGGCGTCGGCCTCGGGGACAGCTGGCAGCAGGAATCGGCGCACACCCAGCGATGAGAGGAGCTGGGGGAAGGGGAGGGCGGGGTGGGGGGAAAGAAGAGTGAATGTCGAAACCGCATGTGAATGCGCTCTAAGTGCTTACCTCCTCCACCATCGCATCGCACCCTCATGTGTCTACCTCCATCTGCAGCTGCTCGCCCCATCCTCCCATCCCGCCATCCTTCCATCCGCCCATGTCACTGCCCTCCCCAGAGAGCTCACCTGCTCCAGCTGCTGCAGCAGGCGGCGGCACATGCCCTGGCGGCGGTAGCGGAAGCGCGTGCCAATGAGCGGCATCTCCGCCAGCTCAGCGCCGTACACCCTGCCATGGCCATGCACACAAACAGGTGAGACAGGGGTGACCCATAAGGCACAGCCATACACGGCGAGGAGGGGCTACCTCCAAGCCCACAATTACTTGTACATGTATCCAGCAACTGGTGAATGAAAGTATGCGGGCAGCAGCGCACCTGATGCTGGCGGCTGTGATGGACTCCTTGCCCTGCTGCAGCACTGCCGTGTAGAACCCCGAATAGTCCCGGTGCTTCGTGCTGGGGGGGAGTAATGGGGAGTGCAGATGGTGGGGAGGAGCGGATGGCAGCAGGAGGTGAAAAGCCGACACGATGAGAGATGAGAGATCATGTAAGAGGTATGGTGGTCACACAACGACCTCACCGGGCGAAGTACAGCGAGGGGCAGAGAGGGTGGCGGGCCTCCTTACCTCTTGCTGTGCACGATGATGGGCACGAGGTCCTCGTTGGTGAAGGCGTCCTTGATGGGGTGGAAGCACTCGCGCATCACCTCCATGCTGCATCTTAGCTTGCGCTCCACCTCGCCTGTGCGCTCCCGCAGCAGGCTATCGTGCCGCCGCGCCTCCTTTGTCACGCCCCCAGCTTCGCTGCGCGGCCCCTCCGCGTGCAGCAGCGTCCAGCTGAAGCCGCCCGGCAGCGCGATGGGCTTGCCTATGAGGCGCTGCAGGCCGAAGAACACCTGCGGGGACACACAGGATGGCCAGAAGAAGACTCAGGGTGAAAAGTGCGAAGCCAAGCGCAGAGGCAGGTCATTTTGGCACAGAAAGCACACCTTAACTCTTACTGCATCGCATCACAGTCGTAGCCATTTGAGCAGCCAGAAAGTGAACTCACGGTGCGGCATTGCGGGCGGCAGAAGAAGCGGCCCGTGGGCAGCTCCTTGAGGTCCGCCCAGCCCCTGTCCCGCAGACAGCTCACATGGTCTGATGGGGGGCGCGGGGGGAAGGAGAAGATGTGAGAGTAAATGGAGGCACGGGGGAGATGAGGGCCACGGCATGATGATCATCAGAAAACAGGCGAGAGGTGTAATAATCCTGGCAGCAAGAGCGCAGCAGAGAGCGCAGTGACACTTTCTCTCGGTACTGACACTCGCGCTCGCACTGGTCGCAGAAGATGACAGTATCATCGCCAAAGCCCTGGCTGCGGTAGTGGCTGCCGCCGCAGATGGAGCAGCGGCACGCCGGGCAGAACCAGTTGCCCACTGGGAGGGCCTGCAGGGCGGGGATGCACACGGGGAGGGACACGGGGAGGGATGCAGACACACACAGGGAGACATACACACACCATGGCAGCTGAACATGAAGACTGTTGCGTTGACTCAAATCACACATGGGGGCAAGATGATGAGCACATCATGGGGGCAAGATCATGAGCACATCATGGGGGCAAGATCATGAGCACATCATGGGGGCAAGATGATGAGCACATCATGGGGGCAAGATCATGAGCACATCATGGGGGCAAGATCATGAGCACATCATGGGGGCAAGATCATGAGCACATCATGGGGGCAAGATCATGAGCACATCATGGGGGCAAGATCATGAGCACATCATGGGGGCAAGATCATGAGCACATCATGGGGGCAAGATCATGAGCACATCATGGGGGCAAGATCATGAGCACGCACAAGGCTACAGAGGGGTAAGCAGATGGACCGAGCAGGGCACTGACCTGCAGGCCGGCGCAGGGCAGGTGTAGCGTGGCGGGGCAGGCATCGCAGCACAGCAGCTCGCCGCCATCCCCACACAGCCGGCACAGCACGTCACTGTAGTCACTCCGCTCCCCTGATCCCCCCTCCCCTTCCGCGCCCTCCCCGCCCCCCTCCACCCCCGCGCCCTTCACCTTAGACCCCAGCCCCTTCACTCTGACCATCTTCCTCACGCCCCCCTCCCCCTTCCCCTCCTCCCGCCCACCACTCTGCGCCCCCCTGCCGCCCGCCTCCCTTGCTGCGCCAGTCAGCGCAGCAGCCACACCCCCACCCCCGCCGCCACCACCTGCGCCCCCCCCATACAAGCTCTTCTCCGCCTCCAGCTTGCACGCCGCCAGCGTGCGCCCATCCTCCAGAAACATATTAGCAGCAGGGCGGCGGTAGGTGACCCCTGTGTGCGCCTCGAACCCCGAGAGGTTGAACATGCGCCCGCAGCAGTCACACGTGACGCCCTGCCGTGACAGCCGCCCTCGCTTGAGCGCCCTGCGCTCGCGCATGTCGCGGTACTCCACGGCCTCGCCGTCCCTCACGAGCCCCAGGTCCATCAGCCGCGCCAGGTCCCTCCCAGGCGGGTACACCTTCGCCCGCGAGTGCTTCTTGTGCGCCTGCGCCCTGCGCCCGGATGGCGCGTCCCCGCTGCCTGCGTGCTCCGCCCCTTCCGCGCCGAAACCCCCCCCGTTCAGCTCCGCTGCTGCGTCGTCCGCCGAATCAGGAGCCTCTCTCACTCTCAGCTGCCGCGCCCTGCCTCTCGTGCCCTGCCCCTTCGCCCCGCCCCCTATCACCACCGCCCCCTCTCTCCTCCTCCCCGCGCTGCCCTCAACCGCCGCCTTCTTTCCCCCTGACCCTCCCCCTCCGCCCATGCTCACGCGCTTCTGCTCCGCGACGCTCTTCGTCCTGGGCGCCGCCCACTCCGAGGTGGACGCGGTGTCGTGCGAGGTGACCTCGTTCACCTCTCTCACGTGCTGCGACCCTGCTCCTGGAGTCTGCAACAACCCTAACCCTGTGCCTGCGCCCGGACCCTGAGCTAACCCTAACCCTAACCCTAACCCTAACCCTAACCCTAACCCTAGTCCTGCATCTCTACGCCTGATCTTCTTCCCCCCGTTATAGGACCCCAAGCCCGGCCTGGTAACGACACCCAGGCCGCCAACGGCAGCCTTGGGAGTGCCGAGTGCGGCTGCACCGGGCGCTGCTGCGAGGCCGCCATCCTTCAGCGCTGCCTGCTCGCCCGTGCGCTCGCTGCTCTCTGCTCCGTCTCCCTCCCCGCCATCCTCCCCGCCCGCTCTCAAGCTAAGTCTCGCGATGCCTGTCTCACACCCCGCGCTGCCGTTTTCACCCGCGTTCCGCGCAACAAACCCCTCCACCTTGCGCGGGCGCCACTCGCCCGTGCGCTCGTCCCACTCCTGCCCGAACCGAAGCAAACCGATCGCCACCGACTCGGACGTGGCCTCGTCGGGGAACTCGACGGGCACCTCGGCGCGCTTGCCGACGCGCACGACGTCCTCGAGGAGGAAGCCCTCCCACCACGCGTCGTTGCACAGCATCTCCACCGGCGCGCCCGCGCGCCACTTGCGGTACGACGGCACGTGCTCCTGCGGCGGCCGCGGGCGCAGCACCGGCTTCACCGCGCAGCCGTTCAGCCCGCCCGCCGAAACCAGCTTCGCGAACTTCGCCAGCGCGGATTCGATCAGCGCCTTCCACGGGGACTCGGGTGGCGGAGGCTGACGCGGAAATCCCGGGGAAAAAAAGGCGGCGAGCGGAACGGCTTCGACGAGCGGCTCGGTGAGGTCGTCCGTGATGAGCTCCTGGTAGCGCACGACGCGCCAGCCGTCCTCCGCGCCCACCACCACCGCCGGGTGCCATGACCCGCGCAAACCCTCCTCCAGCTGCCGCACCTGCGAGGAAGATGGCCGAAAAAACACGAAGGCGATTCGTGCTTAAATTGGGAATCGGGCTACTGGTGAAGCATAAAAATATGCGGAAGTACTAATCAGCTCCAGTCTCGGTGAGCACGGCCGTTCTACAAGAATGACGGTAAATAGTCAGACGCGAAGGCTAAAAAAAGAACAAGGAAAAAAAAAAGAAAAAAAAAAACCTAATTAACTGAACTTGATTGACTTGACGCATAAGTAGCTTTCCTCTAATCTATATCTGTCACCTGAGCCACTAAAGAGGTCGACCTGGTTTAGATACCTCGACTTTCAAGCCGACAGGCAGACGTTCCCCATCTGACATCTGATCCTGGCTTGAGTCATCAGATAAAACCTCCACCACCCCGTCGTCCTCCATTTCAGCTGACGTCATCTTGCCAGGATGCTGCTGGACCTTCGAAAGGCCCCAACCTTCGCTCTCGCAAAGCGCGACCATCCGTGACGGGGCCGCATTGAGCGGGGGACACACGACGAACGACGATCTACTTCATAAATCTGTGAAACAAAGCTATTGTTAGCTTCGGATTTCGGCCCCGTAAGGGAATACAGTGTGTAATCTGTTTACTGTTGCTGCTTCTCGTTTCTCGCTCATTTCTCAGGGCTGTGAAGAAGTGGCACCAGCAGGTTGGTTGGGTGCATGCGGGAGTGTTGTTGAGCGGAGGGGTCTGCACCAAACGGACGGCGGGATGAAGTCCGCGCGAAGAAATCTCCGACGTCCATCGCACGCTCAAGATTTGAATCCGTGTCTCGGGGAGCTTGCTTGTTGGCCAGGGTTTCTCGGATGTTAGGGTTTCCTCTAACGGGAGTGGAAAGAAAACCCGCGATACGCGGTGGAATGTATAAAAGAACCCTTAGCTTATGGAGCAACATAAAAGTGCCACCATGGCATTAAATAATAAATATATAGATAAATATAGCAATGCCAATCCTATCCTAGTTAGATAGCTTTTGAAGGGATCCTATTGATGCTATTCTATGGAAAGAAGGAAACAAGCTCACTAAACTTCCAGCGAAGCCTGCACCATGAGGCGAGGGAAGCACACCTTGCGGGGTGCCCAAATCATATGCATCAAAAAGTGATGCTCCTGGCCCTGTTACTTGCAAGGTACCTACACCTGGAACATAAGGCGAGATTAGCGCTGTCGGGACTTGGGCGCCCAAGGCCGGAACTTGGTTGTTATCTCCACAGAGGCTTTTGCCGAGCTGACACTTACCCAGTCCTGCCATGTGACAGTTCCCTAAAGGCTGGGGTGTTGTGTCAAAGGCCGTGAGCTCTCCTATGGCTGTATGAACACCCACAACAGATGCAGGCATTGACGCTGCTCCTGACGATGGTGTCAATCGGTTAGTGGAAGCTAGAAGGCCAGACGGAGTGAAGGGGATCAATTTGGGACTGGGGAGGAAGAGAGGCGAGCCGTCGAGAGAGGAGTCAGCTGACCAGAGGTTGCTGGCATCCGTGCCTTCCCATAGGCTGCAAGCGACAAACGAACAGAGAAGAATGTCAGGGTTTAGGAGGAGAGCTCAATTGTAAGCCAGAAAAGCTGTGACAAGCATCGTGAAAGAAGGCGGCTGGGCTTGAGAATCGCGTCCAACCAACCTGTCTATGAGCACAAGAGGGCTGGGTAATCTCCCATCAATGGCCATGGTGGTATCAGCCGTTGCAGCTGCCCGGTTACTCCCTTCAACAGCACTCAGCCCTGCAGGAATGCCCATCGCAGCTGCAGCGCTGGCAGCGACCTCTGCTTCGGTGTCCCCTGAAGGGCACGGAATGACCAGCCGAGGGGGCACTTTGAACCCTGCTCGCACCCTGCCAGCTCTGCAAGGCAGCACAGTCAGCCGTGACAGTGCCGCTTGAGTGCTTGCATGGGACCAACTTGGGCCAGCTTCGAAGCATGCGTGAGACTGCATTGCAATGCCACCACGCTCGCCCGCAGGTTGATTCCTCATCAAACCTCTGCCGGCTGTAGCGGTTGTAGCAGCAGCCATAGTGCCTGCGTTGAAGCTAACAACCTCCTCCTCGCATTCCTGCCCCATCACTCCACACGCACCCCCTATCTCCTCACTCTTCCCGCCCTCCGCCCTCCTCGCACTTCTGCTGCATCCAGCGCTACCTTCCCCAGCAAACCCAGACCCCAGGAACCAGGCGCGGGATGGGCGCAAGCAGTTCCATTTCGCCTCCGCTTCCGTAAAGCCCCCTGGCGCGCTGTGCGCAGGCAGCGTGGAGAAGGCTAGCGGAGGAGGCGCAGGCGGTCCCGTGGTCGGCTGGCTGGTGGGGGAGTGGGTAGAAGGGCTGTCGAAGGGGGAAGCAGAAGAGGCGGAAGGGCTAGCATCGGCGGCGATGGGAGTGCCAGGCGTTGCTGCTGGCGCTGGTGCGAAGAGAGACGCGGCGGCGGAAGGGGGGAGGCTACACGGGGAGGGAAGCCCACCGCGGGGTGCAGCGCGGGGAACAGGAAGGGGAGCAGCGGGGGCGTGGACGGGCGGGACGAGCCGGGAAGAGGAGCTGGTGGGCGACGCGAAGCCCGCGTCGAGCATCGACTCGTCCTCCACGCGACGACGCTTCGTCAGAGAGCCCTCTCCGCTTGGCGGCGGCGATGCTACCGCTAGCGACGCAGGCCTGTCGGGGACGCCCTTGCGCAGGTGATCCCCCAGCGCGGCAGCGAGCAGGCTGGAGGGGCCGAGCAGGGGGAGCGCGGAGGGCAGCGGGAGGTGCGAGTCGGGGTCGACGCCGAGGTCCCTCAGGCGGCGCTTGAGGCGCGTGTTCCAGTGGTTCTTAATATCGTTGTCCGTGCGCCCCGGCATCTCCAGCGCGATCTTCGCCCAGCGGTTGCCCATCTCGCGGTGCAGCCGCACCACCAGGTCCTCCTCGTCGCGCGAAAACGCGCCTCGCTTCAGGTCGGGCCGCAGGTAGTTGGTCCAGCGCAGGCGACAGCTCTTGCCGCACCGCTGCAGCCCTGCGAGAGGGAGCGGGCGATAGGGATGGGGATAGGGGCGAGGAGGTGAAGCGGAGCACGGAAACGGGGAGCGCGGGAGGAGAGGCGAGAGTTACACGCGAGTTACACACAGGGGAAATCACGAGGAATCACAGTAAAAGTCTTTTAGGGCGAAAAGCTAGCTCAAGGAACGCTGTGGTGAAAGTGGCCGGGGTGGGGGGGGGGGGGGGGCGGGGAGGGGGGGGAGAGGGAGGAAATGCGAGCTCGACTGTAGTTATTCAACTTCAGCAAGGATTCCGGCGGTCGTTTATCTGCACGTGTGATTTCGTTCGCGAGAAATCTACATCCAGACATTCCGTGCGCTACAATGACGTACCGGCCTTTCTGGGAATTGAGCTCCAGTTGCCGTCTCCGTGCTCCGCGATGCACTTCACCAGTAGCTCATCCTCCTCTGCCGTCCACGGGCCCTTTTTCACCTCCGCTGCTTTGTCGCCGCAAGCCGTGCTTGCGCGGGTCATTATTCCACTAGAATGAGCCTTGCGAGAAGCACAAACCGCCTTATTTTCTGTTTCGGAGTAGCGTACGTTCGGTTCGAAGAGAGGTGCTTTATAGCTTCGGATCTGCGGAGATTGAAGTCGTGCGTCGAAGGTAACACGCGTGTTTGGAAGGAAAGCCTGTCTACACGTAGCTGTGAAGGATGGTGATCTAAGGGCGTGTCACTAAAAATCGTTTTGGCAAATTACCATACTAAACTGTTCTAGGTGTTTTTTTTAACGTTCTAGAATGCTAAATATATTCGCGAACCGCAATCGGACGTACTCTAGTGACACGCCCTAACGACTCGGCTGCACGTTGCTGTCAAGGATCGAGGAGTGAGGGACTTGGCAACACAATGACTTGCAATGCAATGCGTCTTGATCGAGTGTCACTTGGACTCCCTTCACTTTCTTCACACCCCTTAGACAATTCGCCCCTCGTCCTGCGCTGCGAGTCTGCGATCCGCCCCCCCACGTTTTGCCTCCACCGCGGCTCCGCTCTGCCATTGCGCCCAGCTGGGTGTTGGTAGGCGGCAGTGGGGAGGGGGATGAGCGCACGGGGACAGCTTTTGCAATTCGGAGCGAGGACTAGCCGCGTTGTGCGAGGAAATGCCACGTCAAACGGACCGCCAGCCCTCGAAGCACGTCAGCCTTTGATCGGCTGCCGAATTATCCAGGAGCTTCCAGTAGTACGGACCCACGTAGGCCAGAACCCGTCATCAATGCGACTTCCAGCAAAGACCTCAGACGATCTTCCACACCCCACACGACACGAGCACAGGCAGGTTGCCGCTTCTGGTGTGTGGCCATGCGCAGCTGGGTAATCATCAGAACGGATGGGGATGACGAATTCAACTCAAGGACCTATCATATTTCGTATGCCCGATTTCCTATGTCCCCACCAGCCATGGTATATTGCTACGATAATGCCCCATTATGGCTTAGCTGCAAAGCCTTGATGTACGTTGAATCACCGACGGTCTGAAACCTGAGTGGGAGAATTATGCTTTGGGGTAGACAAAATCATTTGCATTTTGTGAAGCAGCGCACCTTGGACTGCAACTTGAGATCAGAATCGGAGTGAGGTGAATAACAGAAAGTTCGGCACGTTATGGATCACAAATCAAGGTCCAAGGTCCCTGAACTGAAAGCAATTGTGGAAAGAGGAACTCTCCTCACTTCGAGCGTGAACCGAGCCGCGTCAAGATCATGTGGCCAGAGGGGACCTCATCCCTCCCACGCTTCCAGCACATCCACGGTCAAAGGATAGGCTTTTTGCTTTCCACGTCAGCTCTTGACTTGCATTTGTGGTTGTGGATAGAAAGCATGAGCAACTTGAACATGTTAGAAATGCTGGAAGGACAAAGCGATGCATGGAAGAGACTCGGAGTCGTGACCCCTTTATTAACGGGGTCGTCATTTACCTGGCGTCAACCCAATAATCATACGAATATGTTTAATTCCAAAAGCGTTGTTTTTGCCAACTGCGACAAAACAAATGCGACAACTACAACACCTGGTACTTGGACAGTTGTTGCGAACAATACATGGTCAAATCTGCGCGAGTCATCTTTAATGCCGTCCCAACTCTCGCTGTAACTTACATCACCGTTGCCAACAACGAGCGCTTGGTCACCAAGCACTAAGGGATCGTATGTTAACAAAGCTAGGCTAGTAGGAACGGTAGGAAGCCATGGAATGGCGTGAGGGTTTTGGACTAGGAAAGTTGAGGAGAGAAAAGAGAGGTGAGACTAGGAAGAGAGAGGCATACAAGGAAGGGGTTGTACCCTCTACAGCAGAGTTTGATAAACCTACCAAGCCTACTAATTATATAACAAAATATATAATTTAATACACCCCCTAGGCTTGGTATTCACAAGCCCACCCAACGCACACACCCCCTAACCCCTTACACCCCGATGCTCGAGATCAGCCAGGTATCTACCCCTCGGGCTTGGCATGGTGACATCCCCCGGCGAGAGGCAGCGCGGGCAACGGCCATGGCTGAAGGCTCTCGGTGGTGTGGCACGGCGAGGCGACGACCGGGTAGAACACAGCAGCTGCGGCAGGAGGAAGAGGAGACGCAGGGGAAGGGGGGGGGGGGGGGACGGAGGGGGGTGAATCTTCAGCGACGCGCCATGGGTGGCGCGTCGCTTACTAGCGGGAGAGGGCGAATCTTCAGCGAGGCACCATGGCTGGCGCGACACTTACTAGCGTGGGGGCGTTACGACTGGCGTCTAGGACAGGGTGCTAGCCGCAGCTGTCCGTGCGTTGGCGTGGCGAAGCCGCCACGGCAGCACGACGGCACGGCGGCACGGCGACCCAACGGCATGGCGGCGCGGCGGCACGGCGGCCCAGCGGCACAGCGGCGCGGCTGCACCATGGCATGGCGGCATAGCGGGACGGCGACGGCACTAAGGCCCTGAGGCACGGCGATGTGACGGGGCCGGCGCGGCGTGAGGGGGCCGGCGTGGAGGGACGGGGCCAGCACGGCGTGACGGGTTTGCAAAGCTTGCAAAACAAAACGAGCAGCTCGGCGTGACGGGGCCAGCGTGGCGTGACGGGGCCAGCACGGAGGGACGGGGCCGGCGCGGAGTGACGGGGCCGGCGCGGCGTGACGGGGCCAGCGCAGCGTGACAGGGGGGGGAGTACGTTGCGGAAGCGTGAGGAGAAGGCCCGAGCAAAAGGGGCCTGCTCTGATACCATGTTATGAAAGCTAGGCTAGTAGGAACGGTAGGAAGCCATAGAATGGCGTGAGGGTTTTGGACTAGGAAAGTTGAGGAGATTAAAGAAAGGTGAGACTACGAAGAGAGAGGCATACAAGGAGGGGGTTCTACCCTCTAGAGCATCAGCAGCACGAGCAGCAGCAGCAGCGGTGGCAAAAGCAGAGGCAGTCGAAGCAGCAGCAGTCGAAAGAGCAGCAGATGGAGCAGACCACGCTGCAGACCCCGCTAACCGTCGTTCTCGCACAAGGTTCTTGTAACTCACAAAAGCAAGAGCTGATTGTACTCTTCTCAGACAGAGTTCTGTTAAGTTACATTCACTCTGACAGAGTTCATCGACCATTCAATCGCTTCCGCAAAGCACACTACTGCACTTCAATCCTGAAGATCCTACGAACTATATTGGATCGCTTCAAAGTCAAAGGCAAAGAGACAGGAACATGGATGCCATGTCACTGTAGTGCCTGAAAATACCTGAATGCCGTACCTGCGTACATATAGGGTAGTAGACTTTCATGTGCATGCATAAATGATCATTTTTGCTACATGCTAAATGGCATGTTCATCCTAAACCTTTTTTGTAATTTGCTGATAAACGGACAAGAGCGGGGAATCGTTTGGCGACCACCTGCCATAATCGAATCCGAACAAGGAAGAGCTGAGCGGGAAAGCTACTGCAGGTGTCAGCTCACTGCTGGTTTGGGAACTGCCAAGGCTCAGAATCTCGCTCGGTGGATTGATCCAATACCTCGAATGACTCGACCGATACATGCGTCCTAACAGCGGAAAGGTCACCAGTACCTTGCACTTACCGAGATCCTTCGTTGGGAAGGGTCTCTGCGTACTAGCTTGACTATGGCGTTGCGCCTCGTAACCTCTTTTTCTTGTTGATTTAGGAATCTACCGATAGTTTAGACCACTTAGGTTAACCAATTTGGATGTGATCGGCTCTTCTGTGAGCACGATGGCTGTCGAGGTACGCATCGTTTCTCTTACGGAAGGATCTGATAGCAGAGCGAAGCCTAAGTTCTCTTTTGATGAATGCAGGATAAGTCTCAACCGGGCAAGGGGTCGACAAGCTGGTTTACTTTGGGGTTGATAGCGTCATGGTACATATGCAATATCGGCGTTCTGCTGCTCAACAAGTACCTACTCAGCAATTATGGCTACAAGTACCCTATCTTCTTGACAATGTGTCACATGGCCGCGTGCTCTCTCTTCAGCTACGTAGCGATTGCGTGGATGAAGGTTGTACCATTGCAGGTGGGTGAGCCCCAGGGCCAGCAGATGCATGGATGAATAAGGGTGTTGATGTTCCGGGAATACACGCTACTATGTAACCGCTTGTAATAATTGACACCTGGGTTAGGGTTCACCCTGCTGGACTATTCACTCACCCTGGAGTCTCGACCATTTCCGTGCTTTGCGTGCAGGCAATCAGGTCAAGGTCACAATTTCTGAAAATTGCTGCGTTGAGTGCAATATTTTGCTTCTCGGTGGTCAGTGGCAACATCTCGTTAAGATACCTTCCAGTGTCCTTCAACCAAGCTATTGGGGCTACTACTCCATTTTTCACTGCATTCTTTGCATACATTATGACCTTCAAACGGGAAGCCTGGGTTACGTATGCTGCCTTGATCCCAGTGGTCATGGGAGTTGTCATTGCCAGTGGGGTAAGTGATTGCTTCTTGTCAATTTGGCTTCCTTGTGCACTAGGGTTTGGCCATAACTCTACATCTGTCACATTTTTGTGTTTACAGAGCGAGCCCAGCTTTCACCTCTTTGGGTTCATCATCTGCATTGCAGCTACGGCTGCTAGGGCCTTGAAGACAGTGGTGCAGGGCTTGCTCTTGCAGTCTGATGGGTAAGCTCTTTTTTTGTCCCTCCCGTTGCCTATCAGTGTACACATATTGAATGTGTCTGAACATGGATGCAGGGAGAAGCTGAACTCCATGAACCTTCTGCTCTACATGGCTCCGATAGCTGTGGTGCTGCTGGTGCCTGCCACTCTAATCATGGAGGACAATGTGCTGGGAATAACAATCCAACAGGCAAAAAAGGATTGGGGAATCCTTCCTTTGCTGGCTGTCAACTCAGCAACAGCCTACTTCGTGAATCTCACCAATTTCCTGGTCACCAAGTACACAAGTCCTCTGACTCTCCAGGTGAGTTCTCCGCTGGTTGTGTTTGCCCAACACTCCTGACAGCTTCGAGCTGAGTTCTTATGTCCTGTCAATTTTGCAGGTTCTTGGCAATGCCAAAGGTGCTGTTGCTGTGGTTGTGTCCATCCTCCTCTTCCGGAATCCTGTGACCGTGGTGGGTATGATTGGCTACAGCATCACGGTCATTGGTGTTGTGCTGTACAGTGAAGCAAAAAAGCGCAGTAGCAAGCAGAGCGAAACATGAGTGTTTCGGGGCCAATTAGTCAGATTACATGGGGTAGTAGTACCATAGTATGCTCTAGATACTGTCTTGTCTGAAGGGTACACTGCATACTGGAGTTGTAAAGGCTCCAATCAATCCAGTCAAAGCTTCACCTGTGTAGGAAGGGCTACAGCGGAGTGGCTCTGGGTGCACATTGCAAGAAGCTCTTGAAGCTTCCGTTGCTCAACTGCAAGCTGAATCCAGCTGCTGTTCAACTTGGATACTCCCTCATCTATAACCTTGACCTCTATAGATTCTTCCCTGGCTATTCTTGTTGCTACATCCTGAGGGCATCATCAGCGGACAAAGGGGTGTTAAGGGGAAAAGGCAGGATGAAGATGCAGTGTAGAGAAGGCACATTACTGCACTTGACTGGATGTGACGGATTCATACCTGGAGGTGCTGCAGTGCCCGCTCAACCACCAGCTTCTGCTGAGCAACCCTTTTCCCGAGAAACTCCTGATGCTGCCGCTGTGCCGTCCTAAGATCCTCCAAGCGAGCCTTCGCCTCCTCGAGTGCAGCTTGACTTTCGTTAAGCTCTACCATGGCTTGCCTTCGTGCCTCTTCCAAGTTCCCCCACGCTTGCCGTGCCTCTGATGCTGCTCCTGCTGCTCTTGACACAGCTGCACTCGCCTGGATGATGAGGTCAAAGGAAATGCGAGAGCATGTTCGTTGTGCCAGGCATACCTCATCAGAAGGAGCCATCAAAAGGTCATGATAGGTATGATGGATGGCTAGCCGTCTAGAGAATTCTCCGTCTGGACACCTTCATCTGTCTAGAAAACTCTCCTTTCGCGCACCTTCATGTGCCTTTGATGTGCTACGACCAGTCGGCTCGTCTCCTCTTCCTCTGCGTCCACCAACCTCCCCACCACCCCCTCCACCGCCGCCACCATCCACTGCTGCTCCCACGTCAACCTGCCTCTCTCCTTTAACAACGCAAGCTCGTCAACTTGCTCCTTCTCCGCCAGCTCCCCGATTCCAGCATCTTGCTCATTATTCCCAGCCTTAGTTGCAGATTTGTTGACTCCACACAGCGAGACTACACCCTTGCTTTCCACACCGCGAGTCTCCCCCGTACCCCTTTTCACGTCCGCATCCCTTTCTCTTGGACCCTCTCTTGGTCCTGGCAGGGCGGATCCTTCCTCCTCGATTCTCGTTCCCGGTACACCCTCGGTTCTATGTCGTCTCGCTTCGTCAGCCGTAAGATCGGCTTGCTCGTTTCCCTCATCGACAGACGATTTCGCTCGTTTCAAAGGTGGAGCCAGCTCCCCTCTTTCTATCCGCGATACAAGCCCAGCCACAATCCCTTTGGACGCAACACGCTCAGATTCCGAACGCGAGGGTTCGCACTGGCTTCCGCTTCCGGCCAAGTCATGCTGGCTAGCTGCGTGAGATTCGCCTGGCCGAGTGTGACATTCCAAAGACTGCGCATTTCGCTTGCGAGAAATCGGCTCTGGTTCTGCTGCGTTGTCAGCCATTACTCACAGGCTCTGGTTATGCATGTGGCAAACGACAGTTTCTGCGGATGGATGACAAGAACCCCACAAACAGATGTTCGCGTCATACGGTTACTCGATGGATGAAGGAAAGCGTGTTAATGTACCTATAGCAAGAAATTGGGAAATATCTTACTCGCTCTACTAGGCATTTACCTATTTGTACAATCGATCTTCAATGAATGCAAGCACATGTTACACAGCGATGCAGAGCAGCCACGTGGAAGAATTACCCTAACCATCCTAAGTCGAAATCAATCTTACGATTAGACAGCTACAGCAATGAGCTCATGTGTCGTAAGTCCAATATTGACGCTCAAGCCCACGCCACACCACACGCCTAAGCCAGCTTGACAGGGCCCGGAACAGGTGGCTTATCCACAACCGCACCAACGCTTGAAACGTAGTCTTCACTGTAGTTGGCCCACCCCTCCCGCTGCTTCTTATCCGCCTCGATCTCCTCAAAGCTCTTGGCGTTCTCCTTGGCGTGCACCTCTGCCAGGCTGGCATAGCTCTCCGCTGACTTGGTGATGAACGCCCGTTCCGCTGCTGTGAGCGTGCGGAAGAACTTGGCCGGCGACCCTGCCCAGATCTGCAAGGGGGTGAGAGGAGATGAGGGCGGGCAATGTGGGGATCTGAGGCGCCTCACGAGGGCTCGTGCGGATGGTAGAGGGCGCAAGGGCGGGGCGCAAGGGCGGGTGCAAGGGTGAGACACAAGCCTGCATGACTCCGATGAGAGAAAGCGGGGCACCGACCTGGCCGGAGGGCACACGTGTGTTTTGCACAACGAGAGAACCGGCAGCCACCATGGCGCCCGACTCCACCACCACCCCGTCCAGCAGCGTCGCCCCGATGCCCACAAACGCCTCGTCCTCCACCGTGCACGCATGCAGGATGGCGTTGTGGCCTGCAGGGGAATGGGGGGAGCGATGGCATTCAAAGTTGACTTCTGCCATGCATGCACGGCGTTCAAACCTCTCTTGCGGGATGCAGAGGCTGGAGGGACATGTGGTACTCGAGGGCTGAGCCAACAAGTTCAGGCATGCAGTGTGGCACCTAGCCTGGGAACCAACGTTGCAGAAGGGGATATGCTGACGGAAATGGGGACATGCTGACGGAAATGGGGACGGCAAACTTCTAAATAGAGCGAGCAGAAGGTGCAGATGGACAAGGAAATCTGCTGGTGAGCATCCCTCCCAAGGAAGGACCCGCTGCTCGGCCGTGTGACAGAAAATTAACAATCGACTTGCCTGGAACAAGCGATGTGCACCAAGCCCCCCAACGGTGCCAAAGGGCTCACCAACTGTGAGAGCTCACCAACTGTGAGGGCTCACCAACTGTGAGGGCTCACCAACTGTGACGCGGGAGCCAATGATGGTGGGGAGAATCTTCCCCGCGAGGTTGGTCTTGGCCACGTGAACAATGCAGCCGTCCTGGATGTTGGTGTCCGCGCCCACGCGGATGCTGTTCACGTCGCCTGGGACGGCGAACGACAAATCAATAGGCAGGGAGAGAAGAGACACGTTGGGTAGGGGAGGGAGCGAGTGAGCGGGAGGGGCAAGTGGCCATATGCACGATGCAGCCGCCGTGGATGTTGCTGCCGCTGCCCACGTCGCCTGGCCTGGGAACGAGAGGGAAGGAAAACGGCTGGGAGAGCAAGATGGGAAGGTTAGGAAACGGGAGGAGGTGGGAGAGAGGAAAGGGAGGAGAGGGGGAGGGAGGAAAGGGAGGAGAGGGGGGGAGAAAGGGAGGAGGGGAGAGGGAGGAAAGGGAGGAGAGAGGGGAGGGAGGAGAGAGGGGAGGGAGGGCGAGGGAAGGAGAGAAACAGCCAGCGAGAGAATGCACGGGGGGCAGGAGGAGGTGCACGTTGCAGCCGACCTGAATGCTGGTGCCCACGACAACCCGGGTGCTGCTCACGCCTTTGAGTCGACTCAACAGCGGATGCTGCTCACGGCGCCGGGAAGGTGGAACGAGGGCGGAAAAAGAGGGGCCGGGAAGGGGCGAGCCAGCCCTGACAGCACGAGCACAGCGCGCCAAGCGCGAGACGGGGCATTTCGGAGAAAGGCTGGGGAGGGGCGCATGGAGCCGCACTGGGACGCGGCACGTGCTGAGGGGATGGTGGGGAGATAGGGTACGGTAGAGAGAGGTATGGTGGGGGGAGGTGCGGTAGGGAGAGGTATGTATAGTAGGGGGAGGTATGGTAAGGGGAGGTACGGAAGGGGGAGGTACGGTAGGGGGAGGTACGGTAGTGGGAGGTACGGTATGGGAAGGTACGCTTCACCTCTAAGAATGGCGTTGTACCAAACAGACGACCGCTGCCCGATCTGCACGTCACCAATCACCGCCGCGCTCGGCGCCACGAAGGCGTTCTCGGGCACCTCGGGCAGCTTGTCGAAAAGATTCATGATGGTGCGATGCCGCGACACTGCGGCGCGCGGGAACGACGGGCAGCGGGGATAACAGCAGGCGATCAAGCGGAAACAAAGGGGGGATGTTGGGGGAAGGGCACGGGGAAATGCGGGGAGGAAGGGGGAGGAGAGGGGGAAGAGAGGAGGGGGAGTGAGAAAGGACGGGTGAGGGAGGTCGCTTGTGTGGGGGAGGGCGGGGCGTGACTGTGGACAGGGCAGAGTGGAGCGGATCGGACGATCAGACGCGTCCACCGCTGCCCTCGACAAGCCTAGACTAAGGCGCCGTTCCAGCGCACAATGGCTTTCTCGCGCGAAGGGGTCATCCGGACGAAAAGCTAGCCGTTCGATCAACATATTTAACGATCCTGGCGTCCGTCGATCGTCTCGCAACCCTAATCCGCACTCTCCGTCCCTCCAAGCAGCCCCGCAACGCCGAGATCGCAACCGGCGACGCGCAAAGACGAGCCTGCTAACGGACGCAAGGCAGATCCCCGCGACTCACGCTCTTCCGTGAAGGCGTATTTCCCTTGCAGGCGGCACCCGAGCCGGTCGAGCGCCTGCCCCGTCTCGCGCACCCAGAAGCCCACATTGTAGAGCGCCCGGCCGATGCCGCTCATGCTGGCGGACGCGCGATTGTCGAGGCGGGATGAGCGGGGCGGTGAGGATCGGAGTGGCGGGAATGGGTGCGGGAGAGATCGGCGGGGAGTCGATGGAGGGTGGAGATGTTAGAGCGGCAGAGGCGAATGGGTGAAGGGAGGGAGTGCAAAGAAGTGGGAAATGTTTTAAACGGACAAAAAGTTTACTGTCATTCGTCGAATGTGCGTTCATGCCGGAGTGGTTAACGGGACAGACTTGAAATCTGTTGGGCTACGCCCTCGCAGGTTCGAATCCTGCTGAACGCGGTTTGTGTAAATGAAAAGTGCATGTTTGTTTCTCATGCTCACTTTGTTTCCACTCATCCATAGTTCCACTGTGGTGATTGTGGTGCTATGCAAATCTTTTATTACTATAATTGATCTCTCCACCACAGCACTGGTACAGGTTATAATCTCTCAACTAGTCTATTTGGCCGCAGCTAGAATCTTGTCATCCACCTCAAACTTGGCGTCCTTCTTGTCCCGCCCAGCCGCCACATAGTCGATGTACCGCTGGTTGAGCACCGTCTGCAGGTCAGTGAAGCTCTTGAAGCCCAGCTTCTCCCGCGCATTCCGGGGCTCCGAATAGAAGTGCTGCGCGTGGGAATGAAGGACGGGTGGGAGGAAGAAGGTGGTGAGGGAGGGACCAGCCCATCAGGACCATGAGCACAAGAGGGGCCAATCCCTCTTTAAAAAATCACCATCACCTAAGCAGCAATGAGCCGTCCCACCCACCATGTAGCTCACAATGACATAATCCAGCCGGCCATGCCATGCAACAATGAATCTCTCACCATGTTGCGGAACGGGAATGCCTTTTTGGCGTCCACCCCAGCGTCCTTGGGGTCGTAGTGCACGATTTCGAGCGACGAGGTGCGCCCCGCAGCGTTGGCGCACATGCGGGCGAGCCCGTCGAAGGTGACTGCCCTGCCGCCCACCGCGTTGAAGATCTGACCCTTGGCGTCCTGGAGGGGATGCAAAGAGGGGAGCATGGGAGTAAAGCACGCGTGCCAAAGTCACCACCGGAGGGCGATCAATAGCAATGCACATCATACATGCGACCTCTGACGCTCCCACCACTACCCTCAACGACTATGCATGGCAATGGGGGCAATGGGCGCAATGGGGGCAATGGGGGCAATGGACGCAATGGGCGTGTAATGAGTCGATTTTTGAGTCGACTAAAAAATCGAGTGTAATGAGTCGATTTTTGAGTCGACTCAAAAATCGACTCATTACACAATGGGGGCAATGGCCGCAATGCATGGAACGGAAAACTCCCTCCCTGAACAGCCTTAGGTGCACGCACTACCTGGGGGTGGTCGATAGCCAGGGCAATCATGTGACCCATGGCGACCACATGCGGCATCACTGTGAGCTGAATGCCGTTCACCAGGCATAACCTGAACTAGCTGCTCCCCTTGTGCATGACAGCAGCACTCACTGCACGCGCTACCTGGGGGTAGTCAATGGCGAGCGCGATCATGCGCGCAATGTCGTCCACATGCGCCACCACCGTCAGCTGGATGCCCGGCGCCGGGATGGGCACTGGGCGGCCCCTCACAATGCCTGCAGCACACAACGAATCCAGAGCAGGCACGAGACACGTGAAAGCACAGAGGAGCACATAGGGATGGGCAGTGGGCGGCCAACACAATGTCTGTGGAGATACAGACGGAATTACAGACACTGAGGAGATGTGCACTCGTGGCAGGGCGTGAATGACCTGCTCTCAACAGTGCGCACAGGGCGCGCTAATGGTATGGCTAGCACAGTGAGCGTGATTGATTGAATGCAGTGAGTGCTGTGGGGACGCACGGTCGAAGAACCACTCCTCGCAGTCCTTGTTGTTGCCCGACCCCGTGATGTATTGCGGCCGGAACGCCGCCCACCCGTCGCCCCACGCCTTGCCCGCCAGGTACCGCTCCACCTGCGCGTGCCCCGAGCTCTCCTTCACCGCGTCCTGGGATTGCGGGTGACGTGGCACGCGGGGGTTGACGTGGCACGCGGGGGTTGACGTGGCAGGTGGGGGTGAAGTGGTGTGGAGTGATGTGGGAAGGAAGGGGAACTGGGACCGCAGACGCGAGTCAGGGGATGCATGCATGGCACATGCGCCAGCTCACCATGCTCAGCCCGTGGCTACTGTATTCCGGCTGCACACACACTCCCTTTGACCCCTCCGTTCGACCCACCTTTGCATCCCCCGCTGGCTTCTGTATGAGGAGCCTCGGAGGAGGGCGTTTGGACGCCGGAGGTGCTGATGAAGAGAACCGGCCCGAACCACTCTCTCAGCGCTTTCAGTGCTCTCACCTATTCCATACACTACTATCTCGCTACACCACTATCTCGCTGCACTCACCCCTTCGATGTGCGGCGGCTCGGAGGAGGGCGTGTAGATGCCGGCGCTGCTGATAAAGAGGAACTGCCGCACGCCCGCCGCGCTCGCCCAGTCCGCCACGGGCCTGGCGGAGGAAAGGAGGGGGAGGGGGGAGGGGGGAGGGGGGAGGGGAGAGGGGGGAGGAGAAGAAGAGGGGAGAAATGTCGGTCGGTAATCCGAAAAGAGTGACGAGCGGGCCGAAACGGGGTGGGGGATGGAGAAGCGAGTAGGGCCAGCAAGGAGGGGATGCTGACAGCGATTGCTGACGCTGCCGATGGCGAAAGCGAGTGCAGCCAAGATAGGCCCAATGCACCGAATGTGCCCAAAATGCCGAAAATGCGCCCACCCCAATGCGCCCACCCCAATGCGCCCATTGTCCATTTAATCGTTTATACCCCCGTGGACGCACTCGAGAGGTTCCCGCCTTATTTGGTTTCTTTGAGGCGCCTAAAAAATAGACGCCTCACTCGGAAGGTTCCCGCCTTATTCGGTATCAACAAATTCCGTTGTTTCAATAGGTGACTTTTGCGTCGACTCAAAAGTCACCTACAAATTCCGTTCTTTCTGTTTGCCACCTCGCTTTTCCCGCGTGAGGAGTCTATTTCTTAGGCGCCTCAAAAATCGACGACAGTCCTCGCGCTCAAGCATTCGACAACGCGAGCACCCCCGCTACAGCCACCCTCGCTACAATCGGCCTCGTTACAGTCACCTACTTGACGGTATCGAGGTCCTTGCCGTTGTTGTCGAGCACCACGTCGAAGCCCCCCGTCGCGCCGAACGCGGCGGAGAGCCGCGCGGGGTCGCCCCACTCCGTGCGCACGCCCTCCGCGCGGAGCTCCTGTGAGTTTCATTTTCCGGGGAGGGGGGGAAGGGAGAAGGGGGGAGGCGGGGGGGGAAAGGCGTGGAGAATGGAGGGGCAAGGGGGGCTGTGTAGTGGAGAGAAATTACGTGGAGGGATATGGCGCAACTCCGTCCGCGCGGTGGTCTGGTGGCGGGGAGCGGGGGAGTGGCGGGAGGCTGCGAGCGCAAGCTGCGAGCGGCAAGCATTATCTAAGACTATTCAGAAAAGGGCATCCCAGCCACCCACCGAGAAGCGCGAGAACGGGAGCTTCTTCATTTTATCGGAGTTGCGCTCGCCGACGGTCATGATCGTCACGGAGTGGCCGGCAGTCGCCAGCTGACGGGCCAGCGCGAAGCCAATCACCGCGTGGCCTCCGCCGTTTGTGTTGACGATCAGCACCTTGCGCCGCGCCACGCTGGCATCCACCCGCACCGCTCCGCTCGACACGGTGCGACGTGCGCCGTGATTCTTGGCTGAGTGCGCTACAGGAGTGGCGAAGAGCTCCTTGCCGGAGCACGCAGCGGCAGCGACGGCGGCGGAAGCGGAGAGGGATCCGGCGAGGCGAGCGCTTCTGCTGCTCGCGGGAGCCGCAGAAACCGCCGCAGATGCCGCTGGCCTAGAAGCGGCACCGCTGCGAACAGCGACGGCGATAGTCGCCGTGGGGCGAGTTAGCGTAGCCATGGCTGCTTGAGGGTGGCGGCAAGCACTGGGAATGTCTGTTCTGTGCGTAACGAAACCTGGTCCAGTCCAGAACTGGCTAATGCGGAACAGGCACGAGAGTGATGTGTGTGCTGTGGTGCTGTGGTGCTGCGGCTGTGAGTGCTGGCTGCTCACAGGAATGCGCGCGCAGTGCCGGACTGGTCACTGGGAGTCTGGGAGACAACGAGAGCCGAGCAACCACTGATGCGCTGCGCGGGAAGAATGAGAGATTGCGAATGCACGGCCAAGTCGTGAAGGTGCGACTTCTGCTGTTTTTTGCCACGCAAGCACGTGAATAGTGCTGATGAAAGACGAGATTCGGATCGCCTCCGTGTACCTGCCACGCGAAGTTCACCAGCGCCCAGATGACGTGGCAGTGGGAAAGACTGGTGCTGACGTCCGCCCTGCCAGGCGAGACGAAAAGTGGTTCTGAGATGTTTGACTCTGACAGTGTAACACCGTTATCGAGAGCGCACTCGACTATGAGAAGTGTAGATGCATGCAATAACAGATAGTTCCGACATTACACCCTGCACTGCAAGTCACCTCACGTCACAACTTATGACTCAGAGGAAAAAGACCTAAGCGGAAAACTAGCGTGTTGGAGGTCTTCCTGCCGTCCCTTAATCTTTGAATGGCATGGTGGCCCTAGCTTAGCTAACCAGCACGGTCTGTGATACTACTTCACGCGTACATGTGCGCAGGTGTGTACAGCAGCGCTCGGCTGCATGTGCTGAACAGCTTGTGAAGCACTGTGCGAGCCCAGCGTGCCTCCTAAATGGAATCAAGAGCCTGCATGACATCAGCAATGATGTCAGCGCAGTCCTCAATCCCTGCACTGAACCTCACCAGGTTGTCCTTGATTCCCAGCCGTGCCCGCTCCTCTGCCCCGTAGTCCCTGCATGAGTGTAGCAACCACAGGCCGGGGGAGGTGGCGGAGAGGGGGATGTGGGGGGGGGGGGAGGAGAGGGGACCGGGGAGAATGGGCGGGGGACGGGGGGGAGGGGACAGCTGAGATTACGAGGGATGGGAATGGCCCACTGCGCTGCAGTACGCAAGGGGTGACACGGTATCAACGCATAAGCAAGAGGAGCAAGAGACAGAGAACGCAATTAGGGCATACCAGTAGGAGATGATGGTGGGCTGCTCCACGAGGGACTCCACGCCGCCCAGCGACGGTGCGATGTACGGGATACTCAGCGCGTCGATGAAGCGCGACGTGCGCTCCAGGTCGCCGTCCACCTGCCACCCAGGGCGCACACACACGCACATGCACCATGGGGGCTTTGAGGCAAGCTAACTCCACGGGGTGTGCTGGAAACGAGGCAAGGTAGAGTGACCCCCCCCGACCCCCAGTTCCCATTCTCTCACCTCGAAGCTGACGACGCCCCCGTAGCCGCCGTGCATCTGCTCCAGGGCGATGTGGTGCTCCGGGTGCGAGGGCAGCCCGGGGTAGTGCACTCGCAGCACCTGGTGGGGAGATGGATGGGGACGGGGGGGAGAGAAGGCGAAGGGGGGAATGGGGAGGGAGAGGGGAAGTGAGGGGGAAGGGGGGATGCGAGGGGGAGTGATGTGGAGCTTGGGGTGGGACGGCAGGCCGGGGTAGTGCACGGAACGCACCTGGCGGGATATGAATGGCGAAGGAGGACTGCAAACCTGATGCATGGACGGGTGTGATGCTGAGATATTGGTCAGCCTGGCCGTGCGGCCGTACCTTAGGATGGGTGGAGAGCACTTGAGCGAGCTCCATGGCGGACTCGTTCTGCCGGCGCACCCTCAGAGCCAGGGTCTTGAGCCCACGCAAAATGAGGTACGACGCATGCTGGGGGGGGGGAGAGGAGGAGCGGGGGGGGAGAGGGGAGAGACGGGCAGCGGGGTCATGCTGGGTGCTGGGCCAAGGAAGCGCCAGGTTCTTGAGCCCGCGCAGGATGAGGTACGACGCATGCTGGGGGGGGTACCGGGCAACATGGCGGGCGATGCACAGCGGAAGAGCGGATAAAGCAGGCAACAGTGATAAGCCGCATACCCCAGTAACATAATATAAGAACAATAAGGCACCAGGCACGCGGGTTGCGCAGGTGAAGCAGCAGCAGGCACTCACCGGGTCAACCACTCCCCCCAGCACATTGTGCAGCGATCGGACCTTCTGGACCAGGTCCGCCTTGCCACTGATGGTGCCCGCCAACACCTGCACAGCATGTGCACATCGCACCGCCCAGCACAACATGGCATGGATGGCATGGATGGCATATGGATGGCATGGATGGCATGGATGGTATGACATGTTGTTAAGAGAGTGGGTTCAGGACATGAGCCCGAGCTTTGCTGCTAATGGCAGGTGCACGTTGAAGTAACCCAAGAAAACATGGTGGGGCGGAGGGGGGGGGGGAGGAACGGCGGAGCTACTATGGAGTGGTGGACTCACGTCAATATGGCCAGCCATGTATTTCGTCCCTGAGTGCAGCACCAGATCAGCGCCCAGCGGCACCACGTGCTGGTTGATGGGCGTGGCGAAGGTGCCTCAAAACACCATATACATGAGAATCACGGCACCCACATATCACCATGTAGCCATCACACTCACATCATTATGGCCAGCCAGGTACTTGGTCCCCGAGTGCAGCACGAGGTCGGCCCCCAGCGGCAGCACGTGCTGGTTGATGGGCGTCGCGAAGGTGCCGTCGATGCACACCAGCGCGCCCTTAGCGTGGCACATGCGGCTCACCAGCGGCACGTCGATGCACCGCAGGTAGGGGTTCGTGGGGGACTCGGAGAAGAACAGCGAAACCTGGAGGGGAAAGGAGGGGGGGGGGGGGGGGGGGGGGGGGGGGTGTGGGGGGGAAGATGAAATGTGGCGGGAGAATTCGAGGAGTCTCAGCGCGCAGATAGGGGCCCGTGAGGGACTCGGAGAAGAAGTTGGGGGCGGGGAGAGGGGAGAGGGGAGAGGGGATGGGCGCTGTTGGACAGGCCATGGGAGCGGGAAGTGGGGAGGGATGTCGGGCCCAACTGGTTTCATGCACATTAGCGTGGGTCTAAAAGACAGACCACTTATGTGGAAACTTCAGCCTGTTCTTTCTTCCTTACTTGATTATTTCAGTACCATCAGAAGAGAAGAGCACAATACATTATTATTTCTTACTTGATTATTGCAATAGAGACATGATATCGTTGTTGCAATGCTACTGCTTGTGGTCTGAGTAACGACGATCGACGTGACTGTCATAGATCTTGTCATGCTAGTAAAAAGCCATTAAAGCCATAAAGCCACGAATCAAGCCATGCGCACCTGGTTCTCGTCGAGCGCCTTCTCTAGAGCGGCCATGTCGGCAGGGTCGATCACAGTGGTCTGCCATCGGGAACGCCGGAGGGAGGAAGAGGGTGACGGACCCAGAGAACGAGTGCGTGAGAGCGCGAGAGAGGGGGAGACGACGCGGCAAAATCAGGGCGGAAAAGGAGGATGGGCGGAAAAAAGGAGGGGGCACGGAGTTCAGGCGACGCAAAGCGAAGCGAGAAGCGCGAATTCAGGCCGGGAAGGCGAATGCATGTCCTCTTCTCGCAGCCCCATTCGCCCTCCCATAGTCTCCAATCAACCCCCCGGCCTCGTCCCCTAGTGACACCTCCCCTCCCCCTTTTCCCACCCCTCGCAACACCGCCCAGCAACCTTTAATCCCCACCCCATACCCCTCCATCCCCCCTCTCCCATCCCCCCCCCAGCGGCACTCACGGAGATGCCCATCTTGGGCAGCATGGTTTGGATGAGCTGCCGCGTTCCCATAACCTCTTCGTACCGCTCCTTCCCCTTTCCTTCCTCTTCCGCTTCCCCTTCTCCCCCTCCCTCCCCCCCCCCCCCGCGGCACTCACGGAGATGCCCATTTTGGGCAGCATGGTCTGGATGAACTGCCGCGTGCGGCGGTAGCAGTCCGTGGTCGTCACGATGTGCCCGCCCGCCGGCACCAGCGCCAGCAGCATCGTCGTCGCCGCGCACATGCCGGACGACGACAGCAGCGTCGCCTCCGCTTGCTCCAACTCGCTGGGGGGAGAACGGGAGGAGGGGGCGAAAAAAATCGTTGGGAATTGTGCCGGGAGGCACCAGCGCCAGCAGCATCGACGTCGCCGCGCAAATGCCCAACGAGGACAAAAGCGTTGCCTCCGTGCTCCAACTCGCTGGGCGGAAAGGTGAGGGGAGAGCGTGGAAAGGGTGACGAGGGGGAAGAGAAAGAGGGTATCGGAAGTGCGCGTTGCCGAACGACGATAGGAAAAAACCTCCTACTTGCTCCGGACGAAAAGCGAGGAGGGGTTGGGAACTTGGGAAGGAGTGCTGACTGTGTGCATAACTTGGTGACTTACAGGCACAAAGAAACAGCAAAATGCTCATGACACAGGAGCAGACAGCGAGAAAAAACGAGCGACGAAGTCCTCTCACCTGATCTTGCGCTCCACAGTGTCCGTTGTCGGGTTGCCGTACCGGCCATACTCAAAGCTCGACTTTCTCCCTTCCTGCACCGGCGGCGTCATGATGGAGAAACGGAGCGGATCACGAGCCATTACACTTGGATCACGGCCTTAAATTGTTTTATCATATATAAAGGATGCAAGTTGTTAAAGCACCCTTACAGAAAGCAAAATTGCTAATCCAATCACCGCGAACAGAAAGCCTCCCGAAAACTTCCGAACACAAACGCGAGTGACAGATTCGGCAAATGCGGGGTTCGCGCAACCCGGATTCGATAAGAGCAGCGTACCACGAATTCGATGAGGTCGGCCGTGTCCTTAAAGAAGTATGTCGACGTCTGCACGATCGGCGTCGTCAAAGAGTCCACCACCAGCGGACGCCCGGGACGCTCTCCTGCAACCACAATGCGGGCTCGTCTGATGAGTCAACGTGAGTTGCTTTGTTACCATCACAGTGTGTCTTTCCTGGGTTAAGCGAGCCGCAATTGCAGATCCGACATTTGACCACCCCCGATCGCAGATCCAAGATAGTCCGATCACGGTAGCCAGCTGACATGCATGGACGGATTAGGTGGACGGCGAACACCTTGCCTGGACCGACTCCGCGCTCTCCGCAGCTGCTAGTTTTGAGGCGCCTGAAAGCACGCAACCCTGTTTCGACCACCAGCGGCGAGCTCACCTGCATGGACGGACTTGGTGGACAGCGACGACCTCGCCTGGACCGCCTCCGCGCTCTCCGCAGCGGAAACGGAGCCAGACTCCGCCGTCTGCGCGATCGGCGGAGGGTTGGCGTGGGTCACGCATCCGTTGACTGACGTCGACCGGCCGCCGATGGCTTGGTCCTTCGCCATGGATACGGGAGCTCGGAACGATGACGTGGACGATGGGATCCGCGCAGCGCTCAAGCGGAGCGCTTTTCTTGAGAGGGGTTTGAAGCAGTTGCAGTCTGGACGTTGGTTTGAATAATGAGAGAGGCTTCCTAAACTACTGGATTCAGCAACGGTCGAGATTGTCCCGGACGAAATGCTAACAGCGGATGCCATCGACTAAAGTATTCAGGATACTGGTTTCTATAACTTTACGGAGGAATGGAGGCAGATAGTAATAAGCAAAAGCAACAGCGGTCGAAGCGTGCTAGTCAATCGGAGCCCCAGGAGAATGGGCGATGGTTTATCTCGACCATGCCGTCGCCACCATGCCCTCTGGATGACCAACAACTGCTAGCGGGTAAGGCGGTGGAGGGGAGGAAAACTTAGAAACTTGATCTGGGAACTGGGAGGTATGGGGTCCACAGATTGGGTGTGGGAGAGCTGAATGAGAGAATCTGGGGTACTGCAGAGATGCAAGAAAGATGCTTTGTTATTTGGCTGAATGGCTCAATGAAGCCTAGGAAACAGGGCGGATGAGGAGGGAGTAAAGCGAAAGGCTGATGAGAACGGTCCAAGGAAACAGGGCTGCTTATATCAGCTGACGACACCCAGTTCACATTGGATGGCTAAGATTGCACGATGATAGGATGGAGGTCAGGATCTCAACACACATGTCGATCGAACGGCTGTTCGCACCTCGATTTATCCAGATAATTTGCTGCTGACACGGCCTTATAGGAACACGTGGATCGGTGCACTACTTTTCGAGTTTTGGTTGGCTGATAGAGACAGGCTGGCGCAGTCAGGTGCATCATACAGCCGGGCGGCGCTGGAATCAAGGGCATTCGTTATGGAAGTTTATGGCGTGAAAGATAAAAAACACGATTTTTTGTTGCTCAATTATGCATTGTAACTGTATCGGGAACTTTTTAGCGAATTCGGCTCTTTTCCTTGTTCCCTGCCGCCGCGATGGTTATGGGTCAGACCCGGCGATTGGCCCAATCTATATTCTAAGCGAATCAGCGACTTGGAGCCATGTGGCAAAACCCAGCCAATCCAATGGCTCCTTTCGCTATGCTCATGTCTCCTCGAGCATGTTGGCACTTTCTTTTGGCCAATCAGGGCTGCTGCATTTCGGCAAACTAATGCCTCACGTCACGAACGAGTCACGCACGGGCATCCGCTCCGCTTCCTCCACCCGCTTCCTCTGTCGACGGAACCGCGGCTCGGAAGAAGTGGCGGCGGTTGCTGGAAGTTCACACGGCGGGAACCCCTCCGCCAGCTGCTCTCGTCTCTCCCCCAAAGTTCCGAACACCCCCGCGCTCACGCCTCACGCAGCCGCTGGCGCATGAATTTCTCCCCGCCTGACCGAGCTGGAACCCGTTTTCCGCCTGCTTGAAGCCAGATGTCCACCACCCACACACCCCCCCCCCCCCCCCCCCGCCCCCTCTCCCCTGCTCCCTGCGCGCGCCAAAACTTTGGGGCTGCAACGAGGGAGCCAAGCTGCGTGCTGATTTTGAAAAAGCCGTCCGCTTCACCTCGTGCTCTGCTCGTGCTCTGCAGTTTTTCCCTTGGCCACACCTTTCCTACTGTGCCAGGCTCACCATTTGTTCTGGTCAGTTACGCAAGTTGTGCGACCTCGCCGACTAACTGTATCACTTGCGCGCTTTAGCTCCTTACGCCGTTCACGGGAACCACCCCCTAACCAACTTCGTCAAGGTTTTGGCCGATTCTGTTCTTAGTCTTAACATAACTTAACTTTATCGCGTCGCCATGACGAGATCAGCTTTTCGTGTTCCAAGTCTCGCTTACAAGTACTAAAGCAATTTTTAGCTTATTTACTTATCCGCTTTTGTCACAGTCCAAAAAAGCCGGCTTCTCGTCTCAGCGCGCCTTAGCTCGCTTATAACTCCCGCGTCGCGCCCCCGCACTAGCAGAAAAATGGCGGAGAGCAGCGGCATGGTTCGCGCCGACCTTTTAGACTTCGACACGTTCGCCAAGGCGGAGGGCATCGGCGGCAGGACCGAGGGCGTCGTGTTGCAGAAGGCGCTTCCCCCGCAGGCGCGCCCGCAGCCCGATCAGCGCCCTCCGCCGCGGCCGCAGAGCAACGGCGCGCAGCGGGACGCGGAGAGACGGCAGCACCACCAGCCGCTGCTCGTGGAAACCCCCCCGTGCCGGTCTCCGTCAGACTCGCTAGGAGCGAACTCGATAGAAGCGACCCCGATAGAAGCGAACTCGTTAGAAGTGAACTCGCTACCAGCGGAAGGAAGGGGGGCAGGAGCGGAGAAAAAGGCGGCGTGCTTAGAGATCGAGAGTGGGGATGAGGGGACTGACGGTCGAGGCGAGGAGAAGGGCGATGGGAAACCGGCGTGGGATATGGACATGTCAAAGGTAATGTGCGATGTCCTAGCAATGGGGTACGGTTATGGGTAACCGGGACATGGGAAGGTTTTTGTTGATTGTTGAACTTTTGAGTCGACTCAGAGTCACCTCAAGATGTCCTAGTGTAATGAGTCGATTTTTGAGTCGACTCATTACACACGGGCAATGGGGTACGGTTGTGGGTAACGGGGGCATGGGAAGGTTCTTGTTGATTGTCCATTCCTTAGCGTATCGGCTTCCCCTCCCATTTCCCTGCAGGCGTTCTTTCGTCGTTCCAACCAGCCTGCGACCCGTCCAACGTGCCTTGCACTCCCATCCCCTTCCCGTCCCGTCCCGTCCCGTCCCTTCCCTTCCCTTCCCTTCCATTCCCCAATCATGTCCACGATGCGCGTGGGTCGCACATGCCACGATGCCACGTGGATTCCGCAGGTGCTCTGCACCAATCAGCTGGCAGCAGGTACCACCCCCGTCCCTCATGTCTCTCCTGTTTAGGCACATTGTTCGTAGCTTGCCTAAAGGCCTTGCTCCCGATCTGGACGTTGTTCGCCCCCCACCCTCCTCCCAACTCTCCTCCGCCCCTCCTCCCCTCCCCATTCCTCATTCCCCTGCCCACCTCCCCTCTCCTCCCCTCCCCTACAACCCAGGCGCCTTTGGGCGTGTCTACCACGGGCTGTACGGGCAGGATGACGTGGCAGTGAAGCTGATCAGCGTGTCGCCCAGCATGCCGGCCAAGGAGCTGGAGGGCATCGAGGCGAGCATTCTGCAGGAGATCTCCGTCTGGCACACGCTGTCGCACCCCAACATCGTGCAGGTGAGTGTGCGAGTGGGCGTGTGTGTGGGCACACACGCCCCAACATCGTGCAGGTGAGTGGGCGAGTGGGCGTGTGTGTGGGCACACACGCCCCAACATCGTGCAGGTGAGTGTGTGAGTGTATGTGTGCCTGCGTTGGGGGGTGTGTGGGCACAGCACACACACCCCAACATCGTGCAGGTGAGCGCTCTTGGTAATGCTTCAACTTGTCGTACCACATTAGAGCTGGAGGCCCTCCAGGCGGGCATCCTGCAGGAGATGTCCGTCTGGCACACGCTGTCGCACCCCACTACTAGTAGCAGGTGAGTGGGCGGCCAGCTTGAGAGTGGGCGGCCAGCTTGAGAGTGGGCGGCCAGCTTGAGAGTGGGCGGCCAGCTTGAGAGTGAACGGCCAGCTTGAGAGTGGGCGGCCAGCTTGAGAGTGGGCGGCCAGCTTGAGAGTGGGCGGCCAGCTTGAGAGTGGGCGGCCAGCTTGAGAGTGGACGGCCAGCTTGAGAGTGGGCGGCCAGCTTGAGAGTGGGCGGCCAGCTTGAGAGTGGGCGGCCAGCTTGAGAGTGGGCGGCCAGCTTGAGAGTGGGCGGCCAGCTTGAGAGTGGGCGGCCAGCTTGAGAGTGGGTGGCCAGCTTGAGAGTGGGCGGCCAGCTTGATCCCCTGCATGGCGCACTTGATTAACCTAGAGCCTAAACCATGGCTAGTGTCTCTTTGTCGAAGTTCGCAGAGGGCGCATTAGCCGACATCGCTGAATAAACGGAAAGAAGCGCGCGTGAGTTTCGTCAAACTGGCAATGCCTTCAAATTGAGTGGTTAAAAGTCCACGCTCGTACGGCTTGTGGAGGCTACAAGAGTACCCCATGAACTTCCTTCAGGGCTCCCCATATATCTAGCGCAGCCCCATATTTTCATAACCTCCCTGCAAACGTAAACTCTATTTTTGAGGCGCCTCAAAAATAGACTCCCATGTTTTCATCACCTCCCTGCAAACGTAAACTCACTCAAGGAACGCAAACGTACGCGTAAACGTACGTACACGTAAAACTTAATTGACCAACTAAGGTGGTGGCCAGCAGCGGCCAGCAGCGGGCCTTTCATAGTTCGTAGGCGCCTCCCTAGACGCCAGGCTTCATTGTAGCCCCAGCGCAGGCAAGGCCTCCCCCAGGCACGCCCCCGTGGGCCATAGTCACCGAGCACATGTCACATGACACACTTCCCCCTGCCCTCTCTCTGCCCTCCTCTCCTTGTCTCTCCCTGCAGTCCATAGGCGCGTCTCTAGACTAGACTCCAGCAACATGGGGGCGCCAGCAGAGGCCATCCTCCCCCCCTCCAGGCACCCCCCAAAACAACCTGCTTCTGCCCCCCCCCCCCCTCTCCTCCTCTTTCCCCTTTCCCCCCTGACTACCAATTCATAGGAGCCTCTCTGGATGCCAGCAACATCGTCACCCCAGCAGAGGCCAAGCCCCCTCCAGGCACGGCCCAGTGGGCCGTTCAAGCAGCGCCCCCTTCCCTCGTTCACGCGCCCCTGCCCTCTCCCTCTCCCCGCCTTTTTTTGAGGCGCCTCAAAAATAGACGCCCCTGCCCTCGCCCTCTCCCTGCCTCGCCCTGCCTTCCACCAGTTCATCGGCGCTTCATTGGATGCCGCCAACATCGTCGCCCCAGCTGAGGCCAAGCCTCCCCCAGGCACGCCCCTGTGGGCGATAGTCACCGAGTACATGTCAGGCGGCACGCTTCGGAACTATCTGGCGAGGCGGCGGCGGTTGGGGGAGAAAGACGTGGTTCGGATCGCCCTGGACGTGGCTCGGGGTTTAGAGTGAGTCGTTGGGGGGAAAGCGGGGATGAAGGAGGGGGGGGGGGGAGTGGGAGGGGGAGGCTAGGTTGTGCGTTCTTGTGTCCTTTGGGATACAAGGGTGGGTGAAGGAGACAGACGTTGTGCGGCATGCAGTGGAGCAGCCGTCCGTGTCGCACATTCCTGCACTCCCTTGAGATTGTTCATTGATAATCCAGCACGCGGATGAGCTGCTGCACCCTCCTCGCCCTTCAACTCTACCCATTGCTCCCCATTTCCTATCAAATGCACTATGTCCCCATGTCCCTATGTCCCTATGGGTAGTGTTTGCAGGTACATAGTGCATAGGGACATCAAGTCTATTTTTGAGGCGCCTCAAAAATACACACCCATCACATAGTGCATAGGGACATCAAGTCCGACAACATCCTCGTGAGCTACAAGGGCAGCGTGAAGACCACTTTCCTATCCCCTCCCCTCCCCTATTCCCCCCCCTATCCTGCACCTCTCCCTCTTTCACCAGGTACCTGCACTCGCATCACATAGTCCACAGGGACCTAAAGTCCGACAACATCCTGGTGAGCTACAAGGGCAACGTGAAGATCGCAGACTTCGGCGTGGCGCGCACCGAGGCGAAGAACGCTGGGGACATGACGTGCGAAACGGGCACCGTGCGGTGGATGGCGCCAGAGGTGAGCTGGATGGATGGTGGATGGGATCAAAAGTGTGCATGTGGGACGCGTGCATGCTGCATGCAAATATATGGTGCAGCTCCAGTCAATGAAAGGCCTTTCCTCCTTCCCCCCCTTTTCCGTCCCCAAACGACTCCACTCTCGCTCGCACACACAGGGGATCGACCACAAGCCGTATACGCGCCAGGTGGACGTGTACAGCTACAGCATCGTGCTGTGGGAGCTGGTGGCATCACGTGCAGTCTTCCTCCTCCCATTTCTCTCCCACCTTACATTACAACCTGGTGTCTCACTGACAGGTGATCGGCCACAAGCCCTATACGCGCAAGGTGGACGTGTACATCTACAGCATCGTGCTGTGGGAGCTGGTGGCATCACGTGCAATCTTCCTCCTCCCATTTCTCTCCCACCTTACATTACAACCTGGTGTCTCACTGACAGGTGATCGGCCACAAGCCCTATACGCGCAAGGTGGACGTGTACATCTACAGCATCGTGCTGTGGGAGCTGCTGTCAGTCTCCCAGCTCCCCCCCCTTCCTTCCCCTGCTCTCTGCCCGCCCAACTCCCCTCCTCCTCCCTCCCATCAGGTGATTGACCACAAGCCGTATACGCGCAAGGTGGACGTGTACAGCTACGGCATCGTGCTGTGGGAGCTGGTCACCTGCGAGCTGCCCTTTAAAGGCCTCACTTTCATCCAGCTGGCGTACAACGTGGTGCACAAGGTGCGTGGGGTGGGGGTGGGCCATAGGGGGGGAGCCCAGTGAGTGTGTGGAACCAAAGGGCTCACCCGTTCAAGGGGCTCACTTTCATCCAGCTGGCGTACAATGTGGTGCACAAGGTGCGTGGGGTTGGAAAGCACGGCTTGGTATATGTAGTTCCAACTTCCACCTCAGGTACAGCTGCACGTGGGAGCTGGTGGTCACCTGCGAGCTGCCCTTCAAAGGGCCCACGTTCTTCCAGCTGGCGTGCTACGTGGTGCACACAGTGACAGGGTGATGCTGAATCAGCAAGGGTGATGCTGAATCAATAAGGGTGATGCTGAATCAGCAAGGGTGATGCTGAATCAGCAAGGGTGATGCTGAATCAGCAAGGGTGATGCTGAATCAGCAAGGGTGATGCTGAATCAGCAAGAGTGATGCTGAATCAGCAAGGGTGATGCTGAATCAGCAAGGGTGATGCTGAATCAACAAGGGTGATGCTGAATCAGCAAGGGTGATGCTGAATCAGCAAGGGTGATGCTGAATCAGCAAGGGTGATGCTGAATCAGCAAGGGTGATGCTGAATCAGCAAGGGTGATGCTGAATCAGCAAGGGTGATGCTGAATCAGCAAGGGTGATGCTGAATCAGCAAGGGTGATGCTGAATCAGCAAGGGTGATGCTGAATCAGCAAGGGTGATGCTGAATCAGCAAGGGTGATGCTGAATCAGCAAGGGTGATGCTGAATCAGCAAGGGTGATGCTGAATCAGCAAGGGTGATGCTGAATCAGCAAGGGTGATGCTGAATCAGCAAGAGTGATGCTGAATCAGCAAGGGTGATGCTGAATCAACAAGGGTGATGCTGAATCAGCAAGGGTGATGCTGAATCAGCAAGGGTGATGCTGAATCAGCAAGGGTGATGCTGAATCAGCAAGGGTGATGCTGAATCAGCACAGGGTGATGCTGAATCAGCAAGGGTGATGCTGAATCAGCAAGGGTGATGCTGAATCAGCAAGGGTGATGCTGAATCAACAAGGGTGATGCTGAATCAGCAAGGGTGATGCTGAATCAGCAAGAGTGATGCTGAATCAGCACAGGGTGATGCTGAATCAGCACAGGGTGATGCATTTTGTTGTTCCGCACCTAAGGAATGGCATGCATCCTTCTCACTGCATCTCGCACTTCGACTCTCTGCCATGTGTTGCATCCCTCCACAACCATGTGCTCCTTTCCTCGCCACCGAATGCCCCATTCATTTGCCCATCCCGCCCATCGCACACATTCCCCACGTCCCCCACGTCCTATTCGTTAACCATACCACAGAACCAACGGCCAGCCACCCCCTTCGCGTGCACCCCAGAACTCGCCAGGCTCATGGCAGAGTGCTGGGGCTGCGACCCCGCAGCCAGGCCCGAGTTTGCCGACATCAGCTGTCTCAAACCCACATTCCCCCACGTCCCATTCATCTCCCCACCTTCTATCCCCATTCCACAGAACCAACGGCCGGACATCCCCCCCTCGTGCAACCCTGAGCTGGCCAGGCTAATGGCAGAGTGCTGGGACCGCGACCCTGCAGCCAGGCCCGAGTTTGCCGACATCGTGCCGCGGCTGGAGAGGATTCAGGCAGAGGTAGGGCCGGGTGGCGAGGGCGGAACTAGGGCGGAGAAAAAGGTCAGCTGCTGCACGGTGTCGTAGCACTGCGGCTGTTGTTACATGTGTTGCTAGGCACTAGTTTGCCGATACAGTATAGTGCAGCGATAGTGACTGGAAAGGATCTAGGCAGCGATAGGGTAGGGTTGTTAGGTCAATGCCAAGGCTGACTCGGGTGGGGTGCTGTGTGGTATCATAGCCCCCCTTGCTCTTTTTATATGTATTTCTACTAGTCACTATTTTTCTGGATGCACAAGCACTCTGTACCAGGACATTATTGTGCCTCAATGTGGTGTTTCAATGTAGTGCTTACTGGAGCTCACACAGTGCCTGCCTTGTGTATTCCACAAATACTAGTAACCTAACCCTAGCAAATACCAGAGCACCAAAGCTATGTACATACATATGGACAGATGGACATACAGGCATCACATGGCTGGTCATAAAGTTCCTCACATGATGGCAGCAGCAGAAACAGCAGCAGCAGCAGCAGCGCCACCACCACCACCACCACCACCACCATTAGCAGATAATCTCGCGCTTGATTCCTATCGCTTCGTGATTCCTATCACTTCTTGATTCCTATCACTTCTTGATTCCTATCACTTCTTTATGCCCACACGCGCCTTTGACAGCCTCGTATTGTCTGATGCGTTGAGACTTGAGGCTCTCAACCCATCCACACCCCTGCTGCTTCCCCCCTCGGTTCACCTCCTCTCATCCCTTCACTCCCCCCTTCCCCTCCACCAACCCCCCCTCCTCCGCACACCCCCCTCCCTGGAACATCACTGCCTTGCGCCAAACCCTATACCGCCCCACCCTCTCAGTGAACTGGCTCGGCCCGAACCCGGAGTGCATCCCAGCCACGCCCGGACCATCTTGCATGACCGTGCCGAGCCTGGCCTGGCAGGCTCGGCAGCGCATAACGACCCTCTCGCGGTGGATCCCGAACGAGTTGGTGCTTTCAAAGAACGGCCCCCAGAGGCTCTTAGTGCTTGTGACTATGGCGGGCGGGGTACCATCGGCGCGCAGCTCGAACGAGATGGAGCCGCGATTCCCGGCGTCGAAGCGCACGGCTCGTGGGAAGACGGCGGACGCTGAAAGGCCAAGGTCCGCCCCGCAGGCGAGGCAACTGGAATAAGAGAGAGGGATGGGGACGAAGTGTCAGGTGGGGAGGACTGGGTAGGGCGGAGCAGAGATGGAAAGGGAAGGGAAGTGGAAGGCGAAGAAAGATTCACGACCGAATTGAAAGATGGGAGAGGTCAGTAAGCACGTACAGATAGCGACCAGACGGCGATGCTTTCTCGTCGCGGGTCTTCATCGTGAACTGATAACCACCCATGGCGATAGGACGAGCATTGGAAAAATGATTATGTATTAAAACTTTTAAAAACCATTGTTTCCACGGATCTGTGGCGCAATGGTAGCGCGTCTGACTCCAGATCAGAAGGTTGCGTGTTCGATTCACGTCAGGTTCAATGCCTGCTTTTTGTTTGTCGTAGGGATATGGACGTTCTCAGATGCAATGTGTTCAGCTCCAGGATTGAAGCGAGGGTCTCAAGCAGGCCCCCAGAAGTCAGGAAAATTTTCCTGATTCAGGAAAAAAACAGGGTGTTGAGGGGTACCAGTCCTGATTTGCTAGGGTTTTGTTTTTGGCATTTCCTGAAATTTCAGGGTTTTTTTGTAAGGGACATCTGTTAGCTCAGTTTTTTTTTGTAAGGGATCCTGAAATTTCGGACTTGTATCAAGCATGGGTTCTGAGGCTCTGCGAGGGAAGAGATTCCCTCCGCCCCTGCAATCTCGTCGCCTCCCCCCCCCCCCCCTACTCAGCCCTCCCCCCTCTCCCCCCCACCAATTGTCGATTCCTGCCCATCCCCCAATCTCGCCCAACGCGCAAGAATTCGCTACGAATTCCCAGCACCCTCAACAATCAAGACTTGAACACACATAATCCATAAACTAAAATATGTATAGAAACCTTGAGAAATCAGGAATTTTTTTTTAAGTAATTCTGATGGCTCAGGATTTTTTTGGGGGGGACCCTGAAAATTCAGAATTTTTTTAAGGGAGAATCCTGATGGATCAGGAAGCCTCAAAACCAATCTAGGGCCCTGGTCTCAAGAGCAAAAAAACAAATCCTAAGGTTTTGGTTCCGGGGGGTCTCGAAAATTGCGAGGTGTGGTAAGGGGTGCTGGTTGGGCGCTGTGACTGTTTCGCAAAGTTCGTCAACCGAAAACCAAACCTTTTGGATTTGGTTTCGCGCTTCTTGAGACCCTCGCTTTAAGTTCTAAATTGTTCCGGGAAAGAAACGTTTGGCAGCACCACTTGATGTGTGTAAAGCATTGAGAGACAGTGAGGTTCCTCATTGCTCACACGCGTAGTGTGAATGTTGCATGCCAAAGATCCCAGCTTGAGGCCATGTGGTACACCGAGGAGAGGAATCATGTGAGAGATGCACTAGACCATATAAATAACACCCTCCATTCCGTTCCACTCTTAGAACTGGCTGCCTTATCCACACCAACACCCAAGGAACATCTTGATCTATGCAAGCGACACATTTTTAAATTGCTCCAGGGCTTTCGGTAGCGTATACTCAATGTTGTTTAGAGGGACATGAAAGTCCATCTTATAGTTGCGGATAAGCAGATTCACAGCCTCCTGCAAATCAGAGCAAAGAAGCACATGCAAAGAAGCATTTTCAGGAACCATTCGGCATTGCATACTTGGCGTGCCTTCTGCTAGACGTATATGAGCCCAGGAGTAACACATGAGAATAGCAGAAGCGCGGCACACAAAAAGGAGCACAAACACCTACCTCGTTATAGAGCTTGACCACGCTTCCGCGGGTCACGAAATCGTCGTGAGCCGACTGTCAGAAACCCAGTCACTAACCACTGGGTTAAAAGGGCTTGTTGAACAGCGGGTAAGTGCGCCCATAGCCCCCCAGGCTCTGCACCTGTGGCCCTTCTCCGAGGATCTCAAGGGCAACCCCAGCGGGTCACTCAACACCGACGTCTATAATCCCGAGCTCACATATGAGCAGACTCAGAAAAAGAAATACTGACCTGGTTATATACAACTTGACGACGCTCCTGTTGGTGACCACTTGTGAGCTATGGTCGATCTTAAACAAGTCCACGCGCTTCCCACCAATTTCCCAAAACCACAAGCACTGACCTCATTATAGATCTTGACAACACTGACCTTATTATAGAACTTGACAACACTGACCTCATTATAGAACTTGACAACACTGACCTCATTATAGAACTTGACAACACTGACCTCATTATAGAACTTGACAACACTGACCTCATTATAGAACTTGACAACACTGACCTCATTATAGAACTTGACAACTCTGACCTCGTTATAGAACTTGACAACACTGACCTCATTATACAACTTGACAACACTGACCTCATTATAGAACTTGACGACGCTCCTGTTGGTGACGACGTGCGAGCTGCGGTCAATCTCAAACACGTCCATGTGCTGCCCGCCAAACTCCCCCGCCATCCTCTGCGCGTCTGCCTTGAAGCGCTCAAAGCGCCCCACATAGTCGTACTTGATGCCGTTCAAATTGCAGATGTCAGCCTGGTGGGGGGTGTGGCAGTGTGGGATGGGGGAGGAGTGAGAGTTGAAGCGCTCAAAGTGCCCCACGTAGTCGTACTTGATGCCGTTCAAATTGCAGATGTCCACCTGGAAGGGCGGGGTGCGACCGGTAATGGAGTTAACCAAGGGAGCATCGGGAGGGGGAAGTCAGAGCTTAAGAAAGCGCCCCACATAGTCGTACTTGATGCCATGTCGTACTTGCAGATGTCAGCCTGGCACGGCGTGGTGCGACCTGCGGTGCCAAGTGCCGGTTCATCGCCCCCCTGTGCCGCAGCAGCAGCGCCTCCACCAGCCTCAGAATCCGTCTGAATGCTCCACCTTAAACAACAGGGCCATCTTGAACCCACCATACAGCGACTCAGGTGCCGGTGCCGCTGCAGCAGCGTCTCCACCACCCTCAGGAACGCCCTGAACCCACTCTAACCGCATCACCTACCTGTGGTGCGAGGTGTCGGTTCATCTGCCCCCTGTGCCCCCTCAGCAGCTCCTCCACCAGCCTCAGGAACGCTTGCGTGCGATGCAATGCAGCTTCTAAATGGACCGCCCTGAACCCAATCTAACCGCATCACCTAACTGCGGAGCCAGGTGCCGGTTCATGGCCCCCTGTGCCCCCTGCAGCAGCTCCTCCACCAGCCTCAGGAACGCCAGGATCGCACGGCTTGACAGGCAGTGCAGCTTCTGGTGGCATAGTAAAGCCAATCAGTGTATCACATGACCTACCTGTGCTGCGAGGTGCCGGTTCATCGCCCCCCTGTGGTGCTGCTGCGGCTCCTCCACCTAGCTGCAGAAACGGTCTGAATGCGCTACCTGAGATGCAAGGTGCCAGGTGCCAGTTCATGGCAGACTACCAGGTGCCTTACCTGCGGAGCCAGGTGCTGGTTCATGGCTCCCAGCAGCTCCTCCACCAGCCGCAGAAGCGCTCTGAACGCACTGCCTGACAGGCAATGCGGGCTGATGACGAGACTGCAAACCCACTCCAACCGCATTGCCTACCTGTGGTGCGAGGTGGCGGTTCATCTGCCCCCTGTGGCGCTGCAGCAGCTCCTCCACCAGCTTCAGGAACGCCCGGAAGGTCACCAGCCCCTCGGGCGCCCTCACTGCCTCGTACTGCTGCCACACATGGCGGAAGAATGCCTGGCGTAGGTGGGGAGGAGGGGGGAGGGAAGAGGGGCAATGGATTGAATGCTTCCCTGAGGCACCCTCACAGCCTCGTACTGCTGCCAGTCGAGGCGGAAGAACGGCTCAGAGGTGGTGGGGAGATAGTAAGGGGCTGCGGGCAGCCGCGGGGAATTGAAGACGGAGGTTGGAGCGGGATAAAGAAGAGGGGGGTCGTATACCGTGGCCCATAGCTGCTGGGCGATTGGGCTGAGCCGTGGCGCGTGGAGGCGATGGAGGAGGTGAGGGCGAAATGGAGAGGTACGCGGAGAGGTTTGAGGAGGAACGGGAAGGCAGAGGGGAAGCGAGACCACACATACCTTGACCCAGAGCTGCCTGGGGAAGCGAGACCACACATACCTTGGCCCAGAGCTGCCTGGGGAAGCGAGACCACACATACCTTGGCCCACAGCTGCATGGGGAAGCGAGACCACACATACCTTGGCCCAGAGCTGCCTGGGGAAGCGAGACCACACATACCTTGGCCCAGAGCTGCCTGGGGAAGCGAGACCACGCATACCTTGGCCCAGAGCTGCCTGGGGAAGCGAGACCACACATACACCTTGGCCCAGAGCTGCCTGAGGAAGCGAGACCACACATACCTTGGCCCAGAGCTGCCTGGGGAAGTGAGACCACACATACCTTGGCCCAGAGCTGCCTGGGGAAGCGAGACCACACATACCTTGGCCCACAGCTGCATGGGGAAGCGAGACCACGCATACCTTGGCCCAGAGCTGCCTGGGGAAGCGAGACCACACATACACCTTGGCCCAGAGCTGCCTGGGGGACTGATTGGAGGCGTGGCAGGAGGAGGAGGTGATGGAGGAGGTGTAGGCGAGCGTGGAGAGGTACGCGGAGAGGGAAGGAATCTACCATGAGGGTGAGGAAAGGGCGACCACATACCTTGGCCCAGAGCTGGCGGGGCGACCGGGCTGTGCCGTGGCGGGTGGAGGCGATGATGGAGGAGGTGTAGGCGAGCTTGGAGAGGTACGATGAGAGGAAATGGAGTCAAGCTCGAGGGGAAGGAAAGGGCGCTCACATACCTTTGCCCAGAGCTGGCGGGGCGACCACATACCTTTGCCCAGAGCTGGCGGGGCGACCACATACCTTTGCCCAGAGCTGGCGGGGCGCTCACATACCTTTGCCCAGAGCTGGCGGGGTGCTCACATACCTTTGCCCAGAGCTGGCGGGGCGACCACATACCTTTGCCCAGAGCTGGCGGGGCGACCACATACCTTTGCCCAGAGCTGGCGGGGCGACCACATACCTTTGCCCAGAGCTGGCGGGGCGCTCACATACCTTTGCCCAGAGCTGGCGGGGCGACTGGGCAATGCCGTGGCGGGTGGAGGAGGTGATGGAGGAGGTGTAGGCGAGCTTGGAGAGGTACGCTGAGAGGGCGCGCGTGAAGGGGTTGCGCACAAAGGTGAAGCGGAAGATGCCCGGGCGGGTTATGAGACGCACCTGATTGGAGGGAGTGGGGGACGGGGGGGGGGGGGGGGAGGAGTGGGTAGGGGGGGAGGGGGAAGGAGAGAGGAGGGTTGAGGGGGGGGGGAGACTTGATAACGAAGACAAAGGATACGGATAATAAATATCAGGTCATCTTGTGCCATACCATGCCATACCGTGCCCTGCCATGCCCTGCCATGCCATGCCATGCCATCCTATGCCGTGCCATGAGATGTATTGCAGATCAAGCCATCCGATTTTCACCAGCCCTCCCGTTCTCACCTCCTCTCTCGCTGTGAAGTTGGCTGACAGCTGGTGCAGCCCCGACTCCCTCACAAGCGGCTCCTTAAATGCGCCACAAAAAACGATTTCCGCTGATACCATTCTCAGTCCCCTCCCATGCTCACTGCCTCTCGCTCTGTGAAGTTGGCTGACAGTCGGTGCAGCCCCGTCTCCCTTATAAGCGGCTCCTGTAATGCGCCACAAATAAACTATTCCCACTTACGCCATTCTCAATCCCCTCCCATGCTCACCGCCTCTCGCCCTGTGAAGTTGGCTGACAGGTGGTGCAGGCCAGTCCCCCTTATAAGCGGCTCCTTGTCGGCGCCACAAAAAACGTTTTCCGCTGATACCATTCTCAGTCCCCTCCCATGCTCACCGCCTCTCTCTCTGTGAAGTTGGCTGACAGCCGGTGCAGCCCCGTCTCCCTTATAAGCGGCTCCTTGTCCTTGTAAGGTAGCCCGCTCTGAGCGCGAATCCACTGCAGCCACGTGGTCGACGCTGCCTCGGGAATGCCGCAGTACGCCATACCCAAGCCCTCTGGTTGTTGGAGAGGGGGGGGGGGGGGGAGGAACGGGGGAGAGGAATGGGGTTGGGGATGGAAGGAGAGCTGGGGCGCCTCAGGAGGCCTCGGGAATGCCACAGTACGCCATGCCCACACCCTCTGGTTGCGCAGGGGAGGGAAGGGAAGCAGGGGTTGGAGGGGAAGGGGAGACAGGAGGAAGGAGAGTCGGGGCGCCTCAGAAAGGGCTGCCTCAGGGATGCCACAGTACGTTGGGCCCTCTGGTTGTTGGGTTTGAAGGGGTGCGGGAGGAGGGGGGAGGGGGGAGAGGGATGGGGTTGGAGAACCTTGACCCTTGGCTTACCCAACCCAACGCAATGAACGAACGAACGTCAGCTTGGCTTTAACTTGGAGGACGAAGGTGAATTTAGCCCATTTCTGCTGCGGAGTGGGGAAGATCTCCCTTGACTCAGACACGGACGGCAGCACCTTTTGAGCTTCACTTAGAGGTAGACGTCTTTCGCCTTCTAGAAACGGTGAGTCAGCTCCACACACCTTGCACGAAGGTGAATTTGGCCCATTTCTGCTGCGGAATTGGGGGTTTATCCCTTGAACCGCACATGGATGGCAGCACCATTTGAGCCTGACTTACAAGTCCTTGATTTTGCAGGGTGTTTTTGAGAATTCTAAAAAACACCCTGCAAAATCAAGTAGATGCCTTTTGCCTTCTCTAGTCAGCTCCACACACCTTGCACGAAGGTGAATTTGGCCCATTTCTGCTGCGGAATGGGGGGGATCTCCTGCGACCCGCACACGGACGGCAGCACCTGGAACTCTGCCGACCGAGCCGTCCCTTGCGCTGTAATGAAGCGCGCTTCTATCGAGGACGAGTTGATAGGGAGGAATCCCTGGGCGCGGCTGAGAGTGAAGAGCTCAGATACCCTTAGCTGATGGCACAATAAAATCGGATCCCTCCCTGCTCTCGCTACCCTCTGCCCTTCCGCTGCCCCCCTACTCTCCTCATTCAGCCGCCTCCCACTTCCACTTCCGCCTTCCCTGCCCCTCTGCTCTTCCCCCTGCCCTTCCCCCTGCCCTTCCCCCTGCACTCCCCCCATCTGCTCGAACGCGCATTTCTTCCCCCGCTCCTCCCCCGCGCGTAGCAGCAGGGGCGCGCGGAGGGGGTCGAAGTGGGAGGTCACGGTGGCGGCGCGCGCGGGGGAGGGGGAGGCGAGGGAGAAGCGCAGCGAGGGGTCTTTAAGAGACTCCATGGCGACGCGGCGCATGGCGCAGAGGGCGGCGGAGGAGCCGTCTGCGGAGGCGGCGCAGCCGGAACAGCCGGGGGCGGGGAGGTCCTGAGGAGGGGAGGGGGAATATAGGACGGAGGGATATCTGGGACGGACAGTCGTGCATAAGGAGACAGTCTTGTCCGTGCAGAAGGTCGAACAAGGGTGGGTTCAAGACCGAAAGGAGTATCCTCCTAGAGCTACAGAGCCGCGCTTCCAATCCTCCCAATCTTCCCCCCCCTCCTCCCCTCTCTCCCCCTCTCCCGCGAACTCACATCCAGGTGCACAGCGACGGCGTTCTGGACCGACTCCAGGCCCTCCCTCTCCACCAGCACTCGCGCTCACCCTACCACTCCCACACTCAACACTCACGTGCAGGTGCAATGCGACGGTGTTCTGGACTGACTCCACGTCCTCCCTCTCCACCAGCCGGCCCACGTCAGCAGACGGCTGTAGCGACGCCAAGCAGCGAGTCACCTCTCGCTCGAACTCGCACCGGCGCATCACTGCCTCCGCTCGCTCTTCCCCTGAGCCACCCTCCGCAGCCCCTCCTGCTGCTGCCGCTCCCGCTGCTGCGGCTGCTTCCGGGCTGCTTTCCCCTGCTGCTGCTTCAGCCCGTCTGCCTTTTGGCGACATGTAGACTGCGAAAGCAGCCACCCCCGCTTCCTCGCTTCCGCCTTGCGCTCCCTTCCCCGCCTCTCCGTCCCTCGCCTTCTCCTCGTTGCCCTGCTGCTGCTGCTGCTGCTCTGGAGACTCGCACGGAGAGAGGAGCACCTGCACAAGCCAGGGAGAAGGGAAGGGAGTGAGGAGGCAAGTATGGAAACGGGCTGGCGGAGCGCGGTTGACGCGTGCCGGCACGCTCACTGTGCGACAGATACGACTCTGCGGTGTTTCGCGACAACGTGCGATGGGGGTCAGATGGTTACCGTGCGACGGTTGGAGCTAAGCCCCTTTTTCAGATCATCGCTCGCAATCGCCGAGTCCCTCACGCGCAGGTACCGCCACCCGCCCCCCCTGCTCAACTCCGCCGTACCACCCTCTGCGCCGTTCTCGGTATTGTCTGCCTCGATATTCGGCGGCGAGAAGAGGTGATGAAAGCGCACGTGCGGCATGTGCGCGTCGGAGGGCCAGAGCGCAACGGTGGGCGTGCGAGTGAGCGACGCGAAGGCGTATGCTGCGCACACCGAGTACAGACGACTCGAAAGGTCGCCCTGCGATGGAAGTGGGGAGGACAGAAGTGGAGCCGAGCGGCAGGAACAAACCGGACATGTGATTTGAGGGACGGAACCGGTGAGTGGCTACAATGGGGACATTGTTCTGAAACGCGCTTTTTGATCACTTGCACTGCGCGTCGCTCATGCGTGAAGAGACGCCAAGCGGACTCAAGCATGCGCGTTCTCCCGATTCGGTCACCATGTTTCATTGGAGCCATTATGGATTCGACTGCATGTCGCTTACCTCTGCGAGAACAATGGCGTCGCGGTTATAGCCCTCGAGCAATCCGCCATCATCCTTGTCAGCTCCGCTATGCGCTGCCTCGCTAATTCCTATTGCTTCCACATTCTCCAGCCCCTTAAAAGTGACCTCAACCACTGGATGCACCTGCGGAGCCGCGCGATGCTGGGACCTCAGAACGACTAAGGTGACTAGGATGGCAAGGAGAACGAACGGGCTGCATCGGAAGGCGAAGTCGAATACTTCGGAGAGAATCGAGCATTTGTATTTCCCGGACGCACGGGTCAACGGAGTCGGCTTGAGAAGCCGCTGATGGGTGCCGTGCTTCATGGCGCGCGCAGCCCAGCAACTTCAGACACCTCCAATCCTGTGGACACCTCGAATCCTGGGGATACCTCGAGACTGGGGACACCTCGAGACTAAGGGCGGTATTTTAGTGCACCCTACCGTTTCGAAGGTCACGGTGAATCTGGGCTGTTAAATCGAATACGTGGTCGCGTTTGACGAGGAGCGAGTTCTAGGCTGGCGAGTCGGGCTCGTTTAGAACGCACGGGACGGAAGTGGAGATAACGAGGTCAATGGCAGGCAAAGCGAGCGAAGCAAAACCGTCCGTACAGGCTGGGAACAGAACAGAACAGAATGGCCACATAGATCAGAGCCGCAAGTCTTAGTGGTCTGGTGGCTTTACTGGCAACGGCTATCAGGTCGTTCGGTCCTCGAGGCACAGCACCACCAAACAAGCTGGTACCCTTGGTCGCTCGGCGGAAATGAATGGGAGACCAGAAGGCATGGGATGGAGATGAGCTTGAGGCGTCCAAAAACCCCGATGTTACCCAGACTGGATGCGCCTCGATTCTTTGGCTGCTGCCCGCTGATGTTGCATTGCATGACGAAGCACATGAGGGGGGTGGATGGGTGCGTCTCCCTGCCCGGCAAGGGGGGGATACCGCTGCTTGCTTGGTTACGCGTCCTGCCCATCGGGTTGCGGGGAAGTGAGGTTTGGCTGAAAATTGTCGGCAGGGACTGGCGGGGAAAGCAAAACCGCACCGCGGGGCTCTCGAAGCGCCTGCAGATTCTAAGGCTGACATGCCTCATTATTGCACTGAAATTACACTATACAGAACCTCCACAAGATCGTCAGCCCTTCAAGAACATGCATTCACACGTTGCTATGTGCCTCTTTCTCTAATCAGCACCTATATGGTTAATAAACATTCCAGAATCCAGATACTGCCATTACCCCCACCCCATCCAATATCAAAGTTATAAGAGCAAATTATCTACAGATGCAGACATAAATAAGCTCATCTAGTGCCTTAATCAGATGGTAAATAGGAAATAAAACACCTATCAACAAAAAAACAGAATATGTTTGATACATCAGGAAAATTATAGGGAATGAATTAAATCGGGTGTAATGAAGGTAGTGAATCAAATGATTAAGTTTTGGGAGATTTTATTTTGTATAGAGGACCTCTACGCTCTTATTTGATGAATAATGACGTGTAGTGTGGTTTTTTTCCCAGGAGTGCACGCAAGCCCCCTGCTTTCCCCTTCCTCGCTTGTGAAGTATCTCGCCAAGTCAGCAGCACTTGTCAGTCACCAGGGTTCCGCCTTCTACTTTTCCCCTGCTTGTAGTTCTTCGCCCTGGCTGACCTAGAATCTGTCCACGCACGGTTACCACCACCGCCAAGCTTGGTATCGGATTCTGGATTCGTCTAAGGCACAGTCGAATTTAGTGACTGGCATACTAGTTCTTCCTTAGGCATCAAGGCGTGATGCCTTTGTGGAGAGTAGAGTCCGTCCCAGATGAAATCGACGCCAGTGCCGATGCGTGTGACAGTCCTACCCGCAAAAGTATCATGAAGCAAAGGGCACAGGCTCCAAGCCCCATGAGAAGCCCAGGTTCTCAATACCATTCACCGTTCCTAGTTCCCACTGCTCCACCTATTGACGTGAATAAGAATACCGCGTGGTTTTCGTACCCTGGAGTCTGGACCACATACTTGATCATTGTCGTGCTGGTGTGGCTCCTAATTCTCATCGTCTTCCAGTGCAGCGTGGCTTCCGCTTGCGTTGCCGTCAATATTATCCATTTCGTGGTAAGTGAATCCCGTATTACCCAGCTCAGCAGGTTCGCGCGTTGGATTTGTTTCAAGGACTCAAGGAAGCATTAGCGGCCGGAAATTTCACGTCTCTTTCCGTCGAAGTTGCTCCGCTTTAAAAGCTTGGTTCTTGCGTATTTATGCCGAGGAGTATATGCCTATGAATCTTGAATGCAGGTGACATTTTACCTTTTCCACTGGAAAAAGGGTTCCCCTTTCGCTGAAGACCAGGGATTGTACGATAGACTTACCTGGTGGGAGCAGATTGATGGCCGTAGGCAGCTCACTCCCAACCGCAAGTTCTTAACCTTGGTTCCTGTACTATTGTAAGTGATATGGAGCTTTTCATTCCCGATTTTTCCTACTGCTGCTCGCTTGCAAGACTTCTATTCGTACGTCCTCCATGGTGTTTGATGGTCCTTTTCTTTGACATCCGCTGTTTCCAGGTACTTGATAACTTCCTTCTACATGCGGCATGAGCCTAATTCCGAGCTCTTCTTCGTCATCAATACAGTTCTCGTGTTTGCGCTTGTCATTGCCAAGCTTCCAGCTCTTGACAAAGTCCGTATATTTGGGATCAACTTCGACTAGCCGGACAAAGCTGTTGGTGCACTTTCCGCTGTTCAGGCGCTACCATTCCCTTGCTTATTCTGGATAGGCTCAGCCTAGCGGGGTGGACCTTCACCAATGCAGTTTATTGTTTATTTTGCGAGTTTTGTCAGTTGCTAGCACACACATAGCACTGTGTTTGTCATGTAAAGAGAAAGACGCTGCTTGATTTCGAATTACCTTTTCCAGTCGGGCCTGGTGAGAATTGAGGAGCACATAGGGAATTTGTAGGGGTAGCTCGTTGATTGGCATGACATCCTCCTGAAGGATGATGGCCTTGTCACTGTAATCGAGAAGACCTTGCTAATGGATAGGTAGGTGCAGTGCAGTGAGAATATCCCTCCTCACTGCTATAAGGATACAGGAACACAGATGAGTGGCCATCTAAAATACAACGTGAGTTGCAGGCGAAGAACAGCATGTCAGGTCACAGAATGCATCTGACTTATGGACTTCAGCTGACATCAAGAACCTCAACCCCCTGCCTTGCGCTCTTGAAGAGGTGCAGCGGCTTGGTCTTGCGCACCCGTGTTTGCAAATGGATGTTGTCCTTGGCAGTGTCAACTGAGACTGCACTGATCTCACTGTACCCTGTAATCCCCTTCAGCTTCATACCGACAATTCCTGCCATTTCCTTGGCAGAAATCCGGGTAACTACTTTCTTTGCATACTTCAGAACTGTCCCATCGCTGAGCTTGATTTCCATCCCTCCTGTGAAGTAGACCTCCAGCACACCCCCTGCTTCCGGTTTGCTCGAGTCACTGGGTTTCAGAACGTACTTGACATGGTTCTTCGGGAAAATACCCACAGGGATCTCGTACTGCTCCAGGATCCCTGCCAGCGGCTTCTGCACTTTGCCTGGAAGGACACGAGTGGTAGCATGAGGGATTTGTATCGACAGGAGGGAGACGAAAGGATGGAATGGGTGGAATGAATGGAATGGTTGGAATGGAATGGTAGTTGCCAGGGGACGAACAAAGCAAGAAACTGAACAAGTATGCCATGATGTCATGTAGAGCGACCCTGACGAACAGTAATGGAGTGGACCCAAAGTTCACACGGAAATTCCACTGTGATTCGTACCCATGAGTCCTTCCCACCAGTTGGTGACGGCTTCTGATGCGTCATTGACCATCGTCTGTTAAGTACCGGAATCGCAGATATCAATAGCACGGGAATGCACAGATATAAACTCCACATTGCTCGATTGATCCACAGATTGTTTAGTGAAGGTAGTGCGGGGGCTTTTTAACGCAAAAATCATGAGAGGACGAGGCCAAATGGCAGAACTCTTCTATTCGTGACAGCTTGGAAGATTACACTACAAGCCACACTCACATTGATTGTCTCTCCGACGCCGTTAATCTGCTTCTCAGCAGCCTTCCCCGCGAAAAAATCCATTGCTTCTAGGGTAGACGGAAATGAGGACGGGAAGCCGAACAGAGACTGAACCACTAAAGAGCGTTCTAGTTTTCAATATAGATATGATGCACGCACGCGCAAACGCGCCAACGTAAATAAGGCGGTTTGGGAAGTTGTTGGTAGGGCGAAGGCAGCCTACTAAAAGAGGGAAGCCAGATACACGGAACAGTAATGACTCAGATGAAATAGAGCAGTTGTGTTGTGGCTGATGGCGAAATAGAAGATTCGTTTGATGGGGGATGGTATGACTGCGGGAAAGAGGTTGGGTCAGAGGGGATGCGGCTACGAAAGCCGCTGCGAGACCCAACACCAACCGGTTACCTGACTCGCGTAATTTTTTTTTCGTCACACTGGCGACGGTCTGCAGGTCAATTCTTTTCCCACTTCACCCCACTTTTCCCCACACCTTCAAGTTTCAGGCTGGCGAGTTCTTGACGTTGACGCATCCTTGCATCAACCATCAATGCTTACACTTACTTGAGCTTCTAGGTTGAGCCATGACTCCGATTTCTGGAGTTCGTCAGCGTGTTTCAAATAGGTCCAACTGAAGTGCAGCACTGCGCACACGCAGGGATTTCGTTTTTGTTGAGAATCAGCAGTGTCGTCGGTTTGGATCTTGGCCGAAACCGGAAGCCAGGGTGTGGTCGTACCTCGCGCTTCTTCTCGGTTCTTATCGGTTCTTCTCGGTTCTTCTCGTTTCCTTTCGTATCTTCTGCGGCCATGGCTGATGACGAGACTTCCGTCTTCGAAGCGATCAGGAGCTTAGGCCCGTTGGACGAGGCGGAACACGCGATCACCTCGCTTCAAACTGCCGAGTCATCTCCCGACGAGTTTAGCATCGAAGAAATTGACGGCTTACCTTGGCTTCCGCCACTCGAACCAGTGGCTGCTCCTCGCTCTTCCGAGCCGTCAGTCAAAAGTAGCAGAGACGACCAGCTGACGGAATCCCACTCAGACAGTCCTGGAGTTATCGAGACTCAGGCGATCGTGGATCCTGTTGCACGCTCCGCGCTGTGCGACGTGCCAGGCTCGGTCTCAAGCAGTCACGATGCGTCGCCGCTGTCGTCCGTTCCAGTGGCTGGGGTCATTGATGTGCCACGTGGCGCCAGGGTCGGTAAGGAGCCGTCCGGCGCGTCCGGATTCCGCCGAGGCTTTTTCCTTTCAGGCTTGGAACCGAGTCTCACAGGATCGATGCCTGGTCAGGGGTTGGAGGAAGCTCAAGGGAATGTCAGGAGAGGGGAGGAGGAGGAGGAGGAGGAAGACTGGAGGGAGTGGATTAGCCTTTCCAATGATTCGGATTCCGAGCTGCAATACTCCAAATATCAAGATCAAGGTCAACAAGATCACCACCCATTCCCTGAGCTTGGGATTCAGGAGGCTTCAGAACTGACGGACACAAGTGCTTGCAGCGGATTGACCTTCAGTACAACGTTCGAGACCGAGGGTGACCCTAACGAGGGTGATAGAGAGGAGGCAAAGGCGGCTTGCTTTCCGGTTGGGATGGAAGGCAGCGGTATCTGGTCGAATCCCCTGCCAGTGGACGGCCGTGCATGGGAGGCTCGGGTTGGACTAAATTGGGGGAATCCAGTTGATACTGGGGATCTGCAGAGCGAACCGTGTGGTCCAAGCGGGGGTGATGATAATATCGAGGGAGATCCTTGGGTGTTTGACAATGGCGGAGGCGTGGGGTATGATGACGAGGTGGTGGGGAGGTGGGTGGATGAGATGGAGCAGGGCGAGGGGGAGACGGAAGAGGGGGCCGACAGGCAGACACGCCAGGGAGGCATGGGATATGACAGCACATGGCCCCAGGGAGGGTTGAGTGCCGTTCCGGGAGCTGCTTTTGGGCTCCAACCTGCTGGGCCTGCTGGTTCTGCTGGTTCTGCTGGTGGGGATGCTTCTGCTGCGGGCGATGCAGCATCTGCAGCCGTAGGCAGCAACTCTGGTGGGACATCCAGCAGTGGAGCGGCTGGCGCGGTTGGTGCTGCTGCTGCTACTGGTGCTGCTGCTGCTGGCACTGCGTGCTGGAGTGCAGCAGAGGTGAAGCAGTTCCTCTCCGTGTTGGAGCAGCAGAGCCAGCGGGTGCTGCAGGCGCAGAGGAGCAAGCAGAGCGCTGACAAGTGTAGAGAGCAGCCTCGGCAGGTGTTGCAGGGGGAAGGCGTGGGGAGGTGGATGGGGATGGGTGAGGGCGAGAGTGTAGAGGAGACGGATGTGGTTGATGAGCTGGCAGTGGGTCATGCTGAGCTGGCGGGTCAGTTGGATGAGGTGGCGGATGCGGATGAGCTTGTGAAGCAGATGGTAGAAATGGCCACAAGGCAATTGGAAGGAAATCCAGCTGCAAGCGCTAGCGCTGCTGCTGCTTCTGCTGCTGCTGCTTCTCATGCTCTTGCTGATGCTGCTGGTGGTATGGCCGCTGCCTCCATTGCTGCAGCTACTCCAGCTGCCAACGCTCTTGCTGGGGAGCGTATCACTGCTGCTGTCTCCACCAGCAGTCCTTTTCACCCAAAAGAGTGTGACCAGAGCGGGGCCTTGAAAGAGGACCCAGGGAGGGAACCTTCGGGAGGTTCAGGAGGAAGAGACCTTCCTTTGGGGGATGAAGGCGAGACGTTCTTTGATGAGGTGAGTGAGCTGGAGCGAGAGCTGGTGGCGCGATGGGCTAAAGGAGGTGACGCTCCGTCGCCAGACGAAGGTGCTCAGTGCTCCCAAGCGGGTGAGGTGACAGGTGGTGAGAGGCCAGCATCAAGGGGCGTTGCAGATACCGCAAGCAGGGGCGGGGAGGGGGAGGAAAGGACGTTCTTTGATGAGTTGAAGGAGTTGGAGGGGCTGGAGGGGCTAGATGTGGTGGCGTTGGAGAAGGAGGGGTCAGTGGTGAATGAACATGAGGTATCAGAGCCATGCAGAACCGCCAGTACTGTCACTAGGAGCAGCAGCAGCAGTCACGTCAGCAGCACCGAAAGAAGCACCAGTATGAAGAGCGAGAATGGCGGATCCGCCTTCTCATTTGAAGGCGCGTGCTCGTATGCCGCTGGACCTGATAGCAGTGAGGGCCTTCCCCCATCACAGGGGAGCCGTGGTGTAGTGGGGGCACAGGGAGTAGAGCAGAGGAGGGTGCATCCAGGGGAGGTGCATCCGGGGAAGACACACCTGGGCTCAGGCCCAGGGTCACGGAGTGGTGCAAAGGGGAGCCGGAGAGGCGCGGGTTTTAGACGCGGGTTCTTGCTGGGGGGTGATGGGAGCGGTGGGAAAGAGGGGCGGGAAGGCAAGGAGATGCAGCGGAGGAAGGTGGAGGAGGGGCGGGCGGGTAGGAAGGGAGAGGAGAAGGCTAATAGTGCTTTGGATGGCAGTGTACAGGAGAAAAGGAAAGATGGGGAGTGGAAGGTAGGGGATAGTGATGGTTCTAGGCCTGCCAGTGGGGGCAGTCCTGGTGGTGTTGACAGCAACGGTGCTGGTGTTGATGTTGGCGGTGCTGGTGGTGCTGGTGCTGGTGGTGCTGGTGCTGGGGCTGCTGGTGGTGCTGGTGCTGGTTGTGCTGAGTCTGCTGGAACCAGGGGTGCGCCACAAGGGTCAAATGGCATGACCGTGTTGACTGCTACTGACGAGGCACAAGGGCCGGATAGCAGAGCTGTGGTTTCACCTCCAACGGATGTGGTGCAAGCAGCGTTCACTCGCCTGCACCCGCTCTGCATGGCAGTGGTGGATGCACGGGGGGACAACAAGCAGCTGCCACGTGTCATCAAACGACTGGAGGAGGCGATTGGGGGCAAGGACGTGCCTGTGGAGGGGCTTCAGGCTTGCCTCGAGTGAGTGAGACATGATAGCATCTGATGACAGCATCTGATGACGCGCATGTGGCTTGTGGGTGATTGGCTTGTGAGCACATGCGCGTCCTCGCACCCTTGAGCCCCACCTCACACGCACGCATCCACCTGACTGACGCCCACTCGCCCGCACATGCGCGGAAACACAAGTCACAAGCCCCTGGCGCTCTTTCCTGCCAGTACTGTCCTCCCCATGTCGCATGTATTGCAGCCTGCATTGGTTTCCCCACCCCCTCTCCCCCCCCCTCCTCCCGCCCCCTCCCCTCCTCCCTCCTCCCTCCAGGCTCCCATTATTTTCACACCACCCTCTCCTCCTCCCCTGCGTTCCCCACCCCTTCCCTATCACCAGGTTTCTACTATTCCCTCTCATGCTCGTGGTGTCTGCCCTTCCCGAGCCGCCGGCTTCAGCGGCAACAGGGGAGGGGAGAGCCAGCAGCGCAGAGGATCAGCGTGTGGCTGGTATCGCGCCACGTGGCAGACAGCGAGTGGTGGAGGCGGCGCTCAGCTGCATGCACGTGGCGCTGGTCCGCTGCCCCGTGCAATCGCTCGACCAGGCTGCATCCCTCCTCCGCTTCCTCGCCTCTGCTACCAGCCCAAGCGCCCCTACTCTCCCACCACCACCAGCATCATCAGCAGCAGCAGCACTACCCTCACCAGCATCACAACCACCATCAGCATCCGCATCCCTTGGGGCCATGTCCGGTGTTGCTCAGTCAGAGGAGGCTCGGCTGCTGGCGGTGTGCTGCCTCTCTGCTCTCCTCTCCCACCTCCCGCGCTGCTCGCCTTCCTCCTGCTGCTGTGCTGCTGCCACTGCCTCTGCCGCTGACGGCAGCAGTGCAAGGAGCAGCGAGGGCAGCAGCATTAGCAGCAGCAGCAGCAGCGGCGGCGGCGGCGCAGGCAGCGGAAGTGGCGATGGCAGCAAGTGTGTGGCTGGTGTGTTGCAGTCCCAAGAGGCAGCACCACTGCTGGGCCATTTGCTCTCTAACATGCTCTCGGTGAGTGGAGCTAGGTGCTCTTCTTACTCTCCGTAAAGCACGCTCTTTGGTTGCAGTTCTCCGCATTGTACTGCTGCCTCTACGAGCGCTTCCAGCTGCTGAACTCGGTAGTTGACTATACCGATGTGCTTCTGTTTATGCCGATCCCCCTCTCTCCCCCCCCCCCCCCCCCCCCACCTGCCGGTGATCAGGCAGCGGAAGCAGAGGCGAGGGTGGGAACGAGAGGCAGCCGGGAGCTTAGAGTGGAAGCACTGCGAGCCGTCCGCCACCTTGTCTCTGTGGTAAGTCGCTCTGGATTTTCAGCAGGCAGGGGAGGCAGAGGCTATGCGGGGTACGAGGGGCAGCCGGGAGCTCAGAGTGGAAGCGCTGTGAACCGTGCACCTTTCCGCAGTAAGCCGTTCTGGCTTTGGCTTTTCAGCAGGCTGCATCCCCATGGTTCTGTGCACTAAGACCTGCGTATGCGTGCCTGCTTCTGCTGATTCGATGCTGCGCTTGATCAGTGCTACCGTCTCTATAATACATTGCTGTTTTGCCCCCCCGATCCCCACCTCCCCTCCCCCCCCCACTTCCTCCCCGCCCCCCCTTTTCCCCCAGGCGCATACACCCAATTCGCATGCCTTCTTCCTCCCCGGAATTCTCAGTGGTCTCTCCCGTGCCGCGCCCTCGCCCTTCTCCCCACCCCTTTCCCTCCACATCCCCCGTTCCCTCCCCCTCTCAGGCGCACACACCTGACTCTCTCGCCTTCTTCCTCCCCGGCATTCTCAGTGGTCTCTCCCGTGCCGCCCTCTCCCCTTTCTCCCCGCGTTCCAATGAGCCGTTGACACGTGGCGCCGCAGCAGACCCCTCAGCAGTGGCAGAGGCCCTGCTTGGGCTGTCGCAGGCACTAGTGCTGGTGCTGGGGGATGCTTATAAGGGGGATGTTTTCCAGGAGGATGAAGGGGTGAAAATTGGGAGGGTGGAGGGGTTGGGGAGAAATGAGGGGGAAGCAGGAGGGGGGAGAGGGGAGACAGAGGAGGAGAGGGCTTTAAACCTGCTGCAGCAGATGGTGGATCGGATGGAGGGAAGGGGAGCGGATGGAGCAGACGGAGGGGGCGGAGGGGACGGAGGGGTCGGAGGGGGCGGAGCGGACGGGGGAGAGTTGCAGGACAAAGGGGCGAGTGGCATGGAAGCGACGAGGGAAGGCTGTGGCATGGAAGAGATGAGGGAAATGGTTGTGAGGAGGAGAGCAGATAGCGAGAGTGGTTCCGCGCATGTGGCGGGGAGGGGAGGCGAGAGGAATGGAAGCATGATGCTGCGAGTGGACATGGATGAGGAGTGGATGCGGGAGACAGGGGCGAAGGTGCTCCTGCTGCTGCAGAAAGTTCTCCCCAAGGTGAGAGGGGCAGGGAGTCAGGGGCAAAAGTTCTTCAGAAAGTTCTCCCCTAGGTGAGAGGGGCAGGGAGACAGGGGCGAAAGCTCTTCAGAAAGTTCTTCCCGAGGTGAGTGAGAGGTGAATGCAGAGTGCTGCCCTTCCATTCACCAGTGGTCCTTGGCTCTCAACTCGCCTTTTTTAAAGCTGCACCTCCTGCGTTGGTGTCCTTTGCCCCGCCAAGTCTTCTTCTCCGAGTCAACCAATCCCGTACTCACTTCTGAATCCACCCACCCAACCACCACGCAGCTCCGCCCTCCAGCCCTTCCCGTCCTACTGCCTCCCAGCTGCTGCACGTCCCTTCGCCTGACTGCCATTTGACTCGACCATCTACCTCCCCTTCCCCCCTGCCACCCCCCCAGCTGCTGCCATTCCCCTCGCCCAAGGTCCGCTGTGCGCTCACTGAAGTGGTGGGCTGGGCTGCTCCTTAAGGAAACAATTTTTTGACCCTTGCCTCCCCTTCCTCCAACTCCCTCCCCCCCCCCTCCGCCAACCCCCCAGCTGCTGCACTTCCTCGCTCCCAAGGTCCACTGTGCGCTCATTTGAAGTGGTGGGCACACTGCCACTCAAATAAACGGATAGTTGACCCTTGCCTTCCCTCCTCCCTCTCTCCCCCCCCCACTCCTCTTCCCTCCCCCCCGTCACCCCCCCAGCTGCTGCCATTTCCCTCGCCCAAGGTCCGCTGTGCGCTCACTGAAGTGGTGGGCACGCTGCTGCAGCGCTGCTCCGGCTCCCTCTCCGCCTCTCGCCCTCTACTGCTAGTAAGTAGGCAAATTTCCGTCTCGTCTTTCCAGCTGGTCACAATGAGATGCCGAGGAGGTGTAGTGAAACTGTGTTGATGTGAGGCTGCTTCAGAGGCGCCCTAGTTGGTTTTTGATAATTCTCGAAAACCAGTGCGCCTCAGTTGCCGACACGGTCTCGCATTGAGGCCATGGCATGGTGGGATTTGAGAAACCATCTGAGATCGCATCGTGAGGTTTGTGGTGATGAAGAACCATTTGTATGCAGAACTATCTGCAGGAACCATCTGTATGCACATAGATCTGCACATGTGCAGGAAACACATTCCCCTTACCCATCCCTGTGCCTGCCTCGCTTGACTGCAGGAGTGCCTCCTCATTTTAGCCTCGGACGAGTGGCCCTCTGTCGCATTCTCTGCTCGCCATTTCCTCGCCTCCGTCTCAATTACTGACGCCACTCGTGGATCAACTGCAGCAGCAGCAGCCGTATTAGCAGTGGCAGCACCACCACCATCAGCAGCAGCTTCTCACTCTTACGTGGCAGCATGGCGCATTGAGGTCACAAATGCTGCTCTGGAAGAGATGGTGGAGAGGTGGGTCTCATCTGCTCATGCTGCCACCTTGTTTCCCCCCCTCCTTGTCTCTTCCACAAGGGGATATCTGTTGTTCGCAAGCACACACACACACACACGCATCCGTCTGCCCTGCCTTCCATCCCTCCAGGCGCATGGCATCCCTTACCCCTCCCGCCCCACCCACTCCCCCCTCACGCCGCATAGTTCTGAGGCTACTCAACACCTCTCCTTCCCACGTCCATGCCTCCCCCCTTCCCCCCCAACCAGGCACATGGCATCCCTCGCCACTCCTACCCCGCCAACCCCGCTCTACACAACCTGCTCCACGCACCTTCACTCTTCCCTTCTTCCATCCTCATCTCCCACGCTCTCACTCTCTGCCCCATCTTCCTCCCCCTCGCCTCAACTCCACTCCGCGACTGCCTCACTCCGCGTCCTCTCAGCCGGCCTCATCACTGCAGGACCGCTGTTCACTGTGCAGCGCATCCTTGACCTTGTGAGTGATCTGCGTGTTTTCAGAGTCGACTCATGGGGCTCACTCCGCATCCTCTTAGCCTACCTCATCACTGCCCAACACATCCTTGACCCTGTGAGTACTTTGAGCGAATTTTGGGAGTCAACTAAGAAGGACAGACTCTTTTGCCGAGCTACTGACCCTATGGACGAGCTGCTGACCCTATGGCCGAGCATGAGTGGTGGGCGATCTTGAGCGTTAGGCGATCTTTAGCGTTGGGCGATCTTGAGCGTTGGACGATCTTGAGCGTTGGGCGATCTTAAGGGTTCGGCGATCTTGAGCGGTGGGCGATCTTGAGCGGCGGGTGATCTTGAGTGGTGGGCGATCTTGAGCGTGGGGCGATCTTGAGTGGTGGGCGATCTTGGCTGTTGGGAGATCTTGACCGTTGCGATCTTCAGCGTTGGGCGATCTTGAGCGTTGAGCGACCTTGAGCGTTGAGCGATCTTGAGCGGTGGGTGATCTTAAAACCCGCGGCCCAAATTGCGAGGCTCGGCCTTCAAAGGCAGTGCGTTTGAAAGTTGCGTTTTCGTGGGTGTATTGGGGGGTAACGAGACTCTCGTCACTCAGGGGTGCCTTTCAAGTTCAGTGCGGAAGGTAATTTGGAACACCAGGTGCTGAGCGTTTTTCAACCGTCCAATTTTTCCAGATTTTCATCTGACGGCGCGTAAGCCAAGCACTTCCCCCAGTCATTTGAAAGGTAATCTCATCTGTCAAACTGTGTATTTGTAAATCTGACGGTTCACGACAAGCGTTGAATTTGCAAGAGTAAACGCCCTCGCGATTTTCCAGCGTATTTCGTACAGCATGAGGGTCAAAGTTCATACGCAGTGCGTTTGAACAATTTGGGCCGCGGGTTTTAAGCGTTGGGCGATCTTGAGCGTCGGGCGGGCTTGAGCGGTTGGCGGTCTTGCGCAGTGGGCGATCTTGCTCGGTGGGCGATCTTGAGCGTTGTGCGATCTCGAGCGTTGTGCGATCTCGAGCGGTGGGCGATCTTTACCGTTGGGCGATCTTGACTGTTGCGATCTTGAGCGTTGGGCGATCTTGAGCGTTGGGCGATCTTAGGCGTTGGGCGATCTTGAGCGGTGGGCGATCTTGAGCGGTGGGCGATCTTGAGCGGTGGGCGATCTTGAGCGTTTGGCGATCTTGAGTGTTGGGCGATCTTGAGTGTTGGGCGATCTTGAGCGGTGGGCGATCTTGACCGTTGGGCGATCTTGAGCGGTGGGCGATCTTGAACGGTGGGTGATCTTGAGCGGTGGGCGATCTTGAGCGTTGGGCGATCTTGAGCGTTGGGCGATCTTGAGTGGTGGGAAATCTTGAGCGTTGGGCGATCTTGAACATTTGGCGATCTTGAGCGTTGGGCGATCTTAAGCGTCGGGCCATCTTGAGCGGTGGGCGATCTTGAGCGTTGGTCGATCTTGAGCGTTGGGCGATCTTGAGCGTTGGGCGATCTTGAGCGGTGGACGATCTTGAGCGGTGGGCGATCTTGAGCGGTAGGCGATCTTGAGCGGTAGGCGATCTTGAGCGTTGGGGCGATCTTGTGCGTTGGCCGATCTTAAGCGGTGTGTGATCTTGAACGTTGGGCAATGTTGACCGTTGGGCAATCTTGAGTTTGGGCAATCTTGAGCGTCGGGCGATCCTGAGCGGTGGGCGATCTTGAGCATTGGGCGATCTTGAGCATTGGGCGATCTTGTTACCCTGTGGCTGAGCTGCTTACCCTATGGCCGAGCTACTTACCCTATGGCCGAGCTACTTTCTCTATGGCCGAGCTGCTTACCCTATGGCCGAGCTACTTACGCTATGGCTGAGCTACTGACCCTATTCCTGGGCTGCTGACCCTATTTCCGAACTGCTGACCCTATGCCCGAGCTGCTTACCCTCTGGCCGAGCTGCTGACCCTTTGGCCGAGCTGCTTACCCTTTGGCCGAGCTGCTTACCCTTTGGCCGAGCTGCTTACCCTTTGGCCGAGCTGCTGACCCTTTGGCCGAGCTGCTCACGCTATGGCCGAGCTGCTCACCCAATGGCCGAGCTGCTGACCCCGTGACACTTCATTGATAAATGCCCTCCGTTGCTTCTCCAGCCTAAGCATATTTCGACAAGAGGTTTTTTTTCTAACCAGGCCCCCCTCTCTCCTAAACGCAATGTCGCCTATGGGGTTTGTTTTGTTGAACTAACCTTTACAGACTTGATGGAAATAAGGCCTCCGCAGCCCACCTGTAATCCATCTACGACTCCAAGACACTTCATTGACAAATTCCCTCCGTTGCTGCGCCAGCCTAAGCTTTTTTTTTTTTTTTTTTTTTTTTTGCTTCCCATCCCTTCCATCATTCTCTCCCGCCTTTCCACGCCACAACAGATCTTCTCCGACCGCCTCACATCAGCTGTCTCTCACCTCCTGGCCTTCGCTCCAGGCAGGCCCCACACCCTCGAGTACTCTCCCGCTCCTGCTGTGGCCCATCCAGCTTTGGCCGTCTCGTCTGCTGAATCAGGTGTCTCGTCAGGGATTTCTTCAGGTGTTTCGTCTGGTTCAGGTGTTGCAGCAAAGCCAGGTGTTCCAGCTGTCAAGGGGTTGAAGGAAGGGGAGCATTGGCGGTGGTGGTTGTGGGAGATCGTGGATCATCGCCATCAGGAGGAGCATCACTTGTCACCGCATCGGCCCATGTTACCTGAGAAAGTCATATCAGTTCTGGAAGGTGCCTTACCTGCTGCTGGCGACGCCTCCCCTCATCTCCTCTGGTTCTGCCGCTTCCTACGTGTTCTTGCGCGCCTTGCTGCCACTGCGGATGCTACTAATGCTGGTCCTGGCAGTGGGGGCGTTGTGAGAGCGTGGCAGCAGCAGCCAATAGGGGCGCTTCCCGCCCTTTTCCAGCCACTCCTGGAGGGACTGAGGGAAGCTGTGGGGAGGATAGGGGAGGAGAGGAGGAGGGAGAGGCGGGAGAAGAGGCAGGGCCGGGCTAAGAACAAGGAAAGAATGGATGGCGAGGGGAAAGGGGGAGGGGGGGAGAAAGGGAAGAGGGAAAAGAAGAGCAAGGGACGTGGGAAGGACGAGGGGGGTCAAAAGAAGTCGCGGGGGAGGAGAAAGGAGGGGAGGAGGGAGGGGGACAAGCAGGGGGCTGAAAGGAGGGAGGAAAATGGGAAGGACGAGGGTGAGCAGGAACTTTCCGGGCAGGTTTCTGCTGCTCGGGCAGCTTCTTCTTTTCTTTTTGCTCTGAACGAAGCTCTTGCTGGGATCTGTGGCGGGCCGTGGGTTAGCCCTCGTGGGGAAGAAGAGGTGGAGACGGGAGCTGCGAGGGGACAGAAGAAAGAAGAGGAGGAGGAGGAGGAGAGAGCAGCCCAGCGGGAGGACAGGTGGCATGCGGTGGTTGGACCAGTGGTGCAGTCAGTGCTGGGGGAGCTACTGAGTGAGGACCTGTGGGGCCTTCCAGTGGATGTGATGCGTGGGGGAGAGCGAGGGGTGCAGAGCGGTGGTCTGGGGGAGTGGATGGGTGAGGAGGAGCGGAGGAGGATGATGCGCACACTCAATGAGAATGCTAACCTGCAAGCAGTGAGTGTGGAAACGACAGGGCATGCACTGGAAACAGTAATCCGTAGAAGCCATTCTTTCCTGTGTGCAGCAGCTGTACCTCAGCCCAGCTCCTCTAAAGCTTTGCAACCATTTCTTCATTTCCCAACTCAATTCATTTTTCTTCTTCCCTTCTCACATGCCCTCCCTCTGCCCCCGCACCAGGCTCTCCTCCTCACCCTCTCAACAGTGCACTCTGCTCTCGATCCCTCAACAGCCACGGACCCCGGTGCTCTGCACCGCGCCTTTCCCCTGCTCCCCCGCTCACCCGCGTCCCCTCCCCCCCCCCCCCCCCCCTCTCCCCCCCCCCTCTCCCAGGTTCTCCTCCTCACCCTCTCAACCGCACTCTCTGCTCTCGGTCCATCAGCAGCCACTGACACCGGTGCCCTGCGGCGTGCCTTCCCCCGTCTCCTGCACTCGCTCTCCTCTCCCCACGCTCGTGTCTCCGCTGCTGCTGCTCATGCTCTCTCGTCCATCACCCAATCCTTTGGATACCCCTCAGTAAGTCTGTGTGCTCGTCAAGTTGACTGAACAGCTTTCATCACTGCCAGCCTGTCCCCTCCCTCTGCCCCTGCGTTTTATTCCCCGTGCTCCAGCCCCCCCCGTTCATTATTCCCTGTGCTCTGCCCGCCGTTCATTATTCCCTGTGCAACCACCCCCCCCTGCTATGCAACCACCCCCCCTGCTATGCAACCAACCCCCCCCTGCTACTATGCAACCACGCCCCCCCAACTACGCAACCACGCCCCCCCCACTATGCAACCATGCCCCCTTGCCATGCATCCACGCCCCCCTGCTACTATGCAACCACGCCCCGCCCACTCTGCAACCACCCCCCCCTGCTATGCAACCACGCCCCCCTGCTATGCAACCCCGCCCCTCTCCTCCATTGTGCTCGCCTCTCCTGCATTGTGCTCGCCTCTCCTCCATTGTGCTCGCCTCTCCTGCATTGTGCTTGCCTCTCCTCCATTAAGTGAGCTTGCATCCCTGAGCTCACGTAAGTGAGCTTACTTCCCGGACCTCACTTGAGTGAGCTCACTTCCCTCGGCTCACTTCCCTGGAAGAGGGACCTACCGGGCGAGAGAGCAGGCCTACTGGGCGAGAGAGGAGTTCCACTGGGCGAGAGAGGAGGCCTACCGGGGGAGAGAGGAGGCCTACCAGGCGAGAGAGGAAGCCTACCAGGCGAGAGAGGAGGCCTACCGGGGGAGAGACGAGGCCTACCGGGGGAGAGACGAGGTCTACCGGGGGAGAGAGGAGGCCTACCGAGCGAGAGTGGAGGCCTACTGGGCGAGAGAGGAGGCCTACCGGGCAAGAGAGGAGGCCTACCGGCGAGACAGGAGGCATACGGGGGGAGGGAGGAGGCCTACCGGGCGACGGAGGAGGCCTACCCGGCGAGAGAGGAGGCCTAACGGACGAGAGTGGAGGCCTACCGGGCGAGAGAGGAGGCCTACCGGGCGAGAGAGGAGGCCTACCAGGCGAGAGAGGAGGCCTACCGGGCGAGAGAGGAGGCCTACTGGGCGAGAGAGGAGGCCTACCGGGCGAGAGAGGAGGACTACTGGGCGAGAGGCATTGTGCTCCCCTCTCCTCCATTGTGCTCGCCTCTCCTCCATTGTGCTCGCCTCTCCTCCATTGTGCTCGCCTCTCCTCCATTGTGCCCGCCTCTCCTCCATTGTGCTCGCCTCTCCTCCATTGTGCCCGCCTCTCCTCCGTTGTGCTCGCCTCTCCTCCATTGTGCTCGCCTCTCCTCCATTGTGCTCGCCTCTCCTGCATTGTGCTCCCCTCTCCTGCATTGTGCTCCCCTCTCCTCCATTGTGCTCGCCTCTCCTCCATTGTGCTCGCCTCTCCTCCATTGTGCTCGCCTCTCCTCCATTGTGCTCGCCTCTCCTCCATTGTGCTCGCCTCTCCTGCATTGTGCTCGCCTCTCCTCCATTGTGCTCGCCTCTCCTCCATTGTGCTCGCCTCTCCTCCATTGTGCTCGCCTCTCCTGCATTGTGCTCGCCTCTCCTGCATTGTGCTCGCCTCTCCTGCATTGTGCCCGCCTCTCCTGCATTGTGCTCGCCTCTCCTGCATTGTGCTCCCCTCTCCTTCATCGCTTCACTTCGCCGCATTCGTAGCAGCCAACGTGGACCATTCCATCGCCACTGTCTGTGATGACGGGCTCCGAAGCCTGCACTGCCTCTTTCCTGCATTGCCGCGCTTCTTCCTCCCCTCCCATTCCCGTTGTATTTTGAGTCGACTCAAAATACAGCTCCCATTCCCCGCCCCTTCTGGCTCTCCTTATTCGTCGCTGCCAATACAGACCATGCCGTCGCCACTGCCTGTGAGATGCTCATGCCTGCTCGTTCCTTTATGTGCTTCCTCTTTGTTTCCTCTCTGTTTCCTCTCTGTTTCCTCTCTGTTTCCTCTCTGTTTCCTCTCTGTTTCCTCTCTGTTTCATCTCTGTTTCCTCTCTGTTTCCTCTCTGTTTCCTCTCTGTTTCCTCTCTGTTTCCTCTCTGTTTCCACTCTGTTTCCTCTTTGTTTCCTCTCTGTTTCCTCTCTGTTTCCTCTCTGTTTCCTCTTCTTCCCCCCATGCAGCCAAGCGCATTCGTCGCAGCCAACACGGCCATGCCGTCGCCACTGTTTGCGACGGGCTCAGAAGCCAGCACTGCCACCCCTCTGCCCCTCACCTCTTCCTCCCCTCTCAATGCCCCCCCCCTTCCCATGCAGCCTAGCGCATTTGTTGCAGCCAACATGGACTACGCCGTCGCCACGGTGTGCGATGGGCTCAGAAGCCTGCACTGCCACCCCTCTGCCCCGCGCCTGCTGCTCGCGCTCCTGCACCTGCTGCCTGTGGTCCCTGTGGGGGATGGGCGAGACAGTCCCGTGCACCTAGCTGACAGTAGCAAAGGCCCAGTGCTATCCGCGACAGGGCCTGGAGGGGCTACTCCTGCAGCAGCATCAGCATTCGCATCAGCACCCGCATCAGCAGTGTGGTCAACAGCTCCAGGGGCTTCGGTGGTGCCATCTGCCTTGGAGCGCATGCTGCCGCTCATCATTCACCCGGTAACCGCACACGTCACCAATCCCCGTGTAACCTGCTTGTTACATATCATATCATCTTCTTCTGATTTGTCTTGAGTTATCCCTTGTATGCTGTGACATCTCTTCAACCACCCGTGAGCTGCTCTCTCTCCCCCTTTTACTCCCCTCCTCTTCCCCACTGCCACAGATTCGCTCTGCCCTGGCGTCTCTCCAGATCACTGCTCGTTTGCAGCACGCCTCCCATTTAGTCACACTCGTCCAGGTGCTCCGCGTGCTGATGTCAGCGTGCGCTGTTGCCACATCAGCAAAGCGCTCTGATGCCGAAGCTGCAGCCTCGGCAGCAATAGCCATGCTCCGGAGGGAGGAGCGGGCCCGAGCCAAGCAGCTTCGGAAGCTGCGACGAGCCAGAGAGAGCAGCACTGTTGGGCCCAACCCTGAGAGGGATCGTGATGGGCCCAACAGTCAGAGCTCTCGTGGTAGGCATGATTCAGACAGTGGTGGTCTCAAATCGACTCCTGACGGCAACGGAGCCAGGCTTGCAGCTGAAGGGAGCAACACCAGCAGCAGCTGTTGTGGTGTCAGCAGTGAGAGTGGTGGCTCCAGTGCCAGTGACTCGAAGACTCGAGCTGACCCAGGTATTCCACCCCTTGAACCAGCCACACAGAACCTAGATCCAAAGGTGTCAGCCCTCAGCCGTGCTATGTTGTCCTAGTGTTTCCTCCACCGCTCCTGACTCTTCTCATATCCCTCCTCCCCCCCTCCCCCCCCTTCATGCCAACCAGTGGCAGTGCGTGCTTTCTTCACCCGGCGCATGAGGGCAGCGGCTGCTGATATGCATGGCAATGTGGGGCTGACAGGAGGAGGGAGAGGACAGCGGAAGAGGATGGCTCACACTTGGAGTACTTCAACCCCCACATCCCCCCCTTTTCCCTCTTCGCTCCCCCCCACCAGCGGCAGTGCGTGCGTTCTTCACCCGGCGCATGAGGGCAGCTGCTGCTTCTGTGCATGGCGATGCGGGGCTGAGGGGGGGAGGGAGGGCGGAGGAGGGGGAGGAAGAGGAGAATCAGTTGGGGAAGGAGGAGAGAGGGGTGGGGAAGGAGGAGAGAGGGGAAGAGGGGAATTCGAGTGATGAGGAGTGGGAGAACCTAGGGTCGGATACAGAGTCAGAGGGCTATGAGAAGGATGAAAACGAAGGGGAAACGGCAAGGGAGAGTACCCTTGGGGTAAAATCAGAAGGAAGAAGCAATCACAGGGGAAAGGAGGAGGAGAGAGATGAGTGGAGTGTGCGCGACGCATTGACCCGGCTCTCAGATCGCACAAGAGGTGTTGCCATGCAAGCACAGCTGGCAGCAGCTTGCCTGGAGGCCTGCGGACCGCTGATGGCCAGCCGGGACGCTGAGTTGGCGCTGCTTGCTTCTGACGTGGTGCAGGCGTCGGTGGCTGCCATGTCAACAGCTGATGTGGCGCAGCGGGCGAGGGCCAATGAGCTTGAAGCAGTGAGGGAGGTGGTTCGGTTGAGAGTCAAAAGAGCCAAGACTCACCTTACTGCGCTGCAGGACTTAGGCTCTGGCACAGGGTCGGGACTAGGCTTGGCAGCAGGCTTGAGTGGAGGTCCGGGCAGCGGGTTGTTGGAATGGGTGGAGAATGACGTGACTGGGATACGTGCTGACCTGGCGTCACTTCAGGATGACGTGGCAGCCATGCATGAAACTGAGGACGCACTCAAGGTGGCAGATGCTGTGAGAGATGAGACCAATTGGCTGCTGCCACGTGTGCACATGATCTGGCCGCATGCTGTCTCGGGGCTAAAGAGAGATCACCCTGCTGTGAGTGCCTAGCAGTCCGAAGCTGTTAAAAGCAGTCCGAAATGGTCTGAAGCGGTGCTTAGTGGTTGTTAAGGGTGCTAAGCTGTGCCAGATCCTTTTCCATGGGGTACTTGATGTGGTTCTGTGCTCTTGCCTTTCACATTCCCTGTGTCCTACCCACCCTTCTCGATTTCACCTACTCAGGTAGATTGTGCAACCTTTCCCCCTCGCTGCTTCTTTTCAACCTCTCATTTCCCCTCCCCTCCCCCTCCCCTCCCCCCACCTCCCCCCTCCGTTCCTCTGCCAGCTCATCACCTCATCCATCCACGTCATCACGGCCCTCTGCACCACGTGTGATGATGCCTTCATGGCCAGAAAGATCCGGGAAGATTCATGGCCTCTCATGGCGTCCCTTCTCCTCCACGGCCCCTCTCCTCCCCTGCATTCCTCCTCCTCTTCCTTCTCTTCTTCCTCCTCCTCTGTCTCCTCCCCCTTCCTCTCCTCCATCTCCTCTCGTTCCCTCACCAAACCAAGCCGTGTAGACCTCACAAGGCTACTCACCCTCAGGCCCGTACCAGGCTCTGGTTCGGCAGCACCGCCGAGCCTCATTGCCGAGCCTGCAGCATCCAGCGGCTTGCCAGGTCTACTCTTATCAGCGCCCACATCAGCACATGCACCATCCACGTCAGCAACAGCAAGGACAGCCACCACTCCTACCAGCTCCCTAGTCTCCCCAGCTGCCCGAGCTGCTTTCTCCTGCCTCTTCCCTACCACGTCTGGTTCGGCAGCCGAACCTAATCGCACGAGGCGCCTCCGAACCATGTCGCGTTCGGAGCTCCTCCTTACCTCCAACTCTTCTGCCCAAGCCCACACACAGTACCTCTCACCCTCGCTTCCACACCCCCCCTCACCCTCCTCACACCCATTCCCACACTCACTCTCACACTCTCCCGCATCCGCTCCATCGCCATCCCCGGCTCTTTCCCGGTCCACGTCAGCATTCACTAGCACCCGCAACTATGCCACGTCAGCATCCTCCGTTGCAGCACCTTCTGCGGCAGAGCGAGTGCGGGCGGCAGTGCTGACGTGGATTGTACAGGTGGCGCAATCTGACAGGTCGAGGGAGGGCGGCGGAGTTGCACTGAGATCAGTGGCATGTGACGTGATGGTGGTGCTGATGGCAGTGCTGGCAGAAGGGGGGAGTGATGGGGAAGAGATAGATGCTATCTTTTGCAGTGGCAGCATCAGCAGCAGCACCAGCAGCACCAGTAACAGAAGTGACATCAGCAGCAGCAGCAGCAGCAGCAGCAGCAGTAGTAGGGAATTGAGGCCATCCTTGGTGAAAAAGGCAGCTGAGGCAGCCATGTTGCTCGGATGTGCACACAAGGAAGGTGTCTCCACATTCCTATCGCAGATCGTCCAATCCGTTGCGTCCACATCGTCGCCGCAGCTGAGTGTGGCAGCGCAGAGTTCAGACCTCGTGGTTGCGGATGATGGTGAATCAACAGGTGGATCCGCTACAATCGAGGGTTCACAACAACAGCTTATGGAATCAGCGCAAGAAGCTTCGCCACAGGGCAAGATTATATCGAAAAGAAAGAGCCACCTAGGATTGTGTTTGGAGCTGCTGAAGCGGCTGCAAGAAGGAAACTTGAGTGCATAGAATATTTCGTTCCAAGATCAAGTGAGGGTTTTGTGCAACATAACCCCAGTAATATGTAGTGTTCTTCTGAGCAATGTATTAGGATTTGGTGTGGGTCTCCGTTTCACGAATCCTTATGTTTTCGCACTTCACCAGTTGGCGTGGCACTCCTATTTCCAGCTGGGCATGGCAGACGATCCCATTGAACGGAATCTCCGCCCTGGCTGACGACCAATGAAATCATTGGAAAAGCTTCATCCGCATGCCAATATCCCGTCAACCAAGATGGCTGCTTTGCTTTCCCCAGCATCCCATCCGAATTTATGTGCTTCGCCTGCTTCCTGTCCGATACCCGGAAACTGGCACAGCTGTCGCACACGTGTCGTCCACCCACTGTGCTGATTGTTCGCGAACGGCGAAGTGCATGCACAGGCGATGAGTGTCGTCGTCACAGACTCACAGGGAGCGGCCCCGCCCACAAAAGCTGTTGGTGTTTATGCGACAAGCTTCTGGAATCTCCATGGTTTCGTCACAGTTCGTGACTCCCGAAATTCCCTCACCCCTGCTGATTCGCGAAAATCGCCAGCCATCCACCCACCACCCGCCACAGCTGTATTCCGCCAACCTGTGCGCCCACCCTGCTCCATGTCTTTATTTCCGCGCTCTTTATCTCTTGCTGGCATGCCGCCACTGGCGAATGTGTCAGCTGCGGTGGCGGGTGCACCGACGCAGATTAGTCGCATCTAATCACCACAGGTATCATTTCCGCCCATCGGTTCCAGCTCGGCTGTCGCATTTCTCTGCCGGTCATCGCTCTGTCACTCGTCTCGAAACGCGTCGTTGAGTTTCGCCCGTAACGCAAACATGGTGCGTCGTTCCCCTGATTCTTTTGGAACCAGCCTCGCCTCGGCAAGCCTCAACCGACCACGATGGCGTCTCGTCTCGCTACCAGGAGCTACTACAAAGCGACGGCATTACCAACTAGATTGACATCGATTCATCCCTCAGTCCGAAACAAACTGCCATTTCACGAGTCCTGGGGCTCTGAGTTGCTCCGAGCATCTGCCATTCACCCCTCGCAACCGATTATTTTCTAGCCCGCGCGGTGAACTCACTGCGGGCGAACGTAGAGCGCTGAGCGCTCCGCAGCAGCCATGGCGGTATCGCTGGTTCGCACGCTTAGCGCGGAGTCCCCTCTCCGCGCGCCGACCAGCCACGAATCCTTCCAGCCTGACGCCGACTGCCTCGACGTGCCCACCGTGCTCGTCGTGTTACCCGACGGCTCCGTGCGACTGTACGACGACGCTCGCCCGACCGTGTGCGACGTGCTGCGCGACTACCCGAGCCACGCGCTCTCGTGCACGTCCCGCGGCCCCGTGCTTCAGCCGCAGCGCGTGCTCAGCCCCAACGGGACCTACTTCCTCCGCCGAGTCTCCCCGCCGGCGGCGGGAGCGCCGGAGCCTCTGTCCGCCGATGTCGCCTCGGTGCTGGATCTTCAATACGGGCCGTTTGCGACCGCGACTTTCGAGCACAACGCGACTCCGCGCACAACGGAGGGTCGCCGAAGGTCGTTTGGGACGGCTTCTCTAAAGGAGCGTCCGATGTCGCGGTCCGCCTCGGCGCTGAACCTCGAACAGGCTCCCGCGCGGCGGGAGCACGTGGCGGAGCGGAGGACGTCCAGCTGGGACGCAGCGGATCCTGAGCCACGTCGGCATGACGTCAGCGACGGCATTATCCGTGGCAATCGCGTTAATCCAATTCTGGCCGAGGTGAGCAACAGCACCAGCAAAATCTGAATTGCTTCAGTAGCTTCTCTAATTGCAACGCGGAATCACTTATGTTGGAGAATAGTTTTCTTATTCGCCCTCTCCCTCTCCCGTTACCTCTCGTGTTCGCAGCTAGATGCGCTGGAAGACGATGACGAAGCTCCTCCCACGCCGTCGACGGAATCCGTCAAGGTGTTGTCGCCAACGTCGCCCGCGAAACGGAGTCTGGTGGGCAAGCTGGTTCGATTCAAGCTGCCCCTCGGCGGACGGCGCAGCACTGGTTCCTCCGACCAAACCTCTCCTGTCGGGTTCCGCGCGGACAATCCGCGCGTGAGCCCCAAATCTCTGCGCTCCCCGCGCCCTTCCATTCCGAAGAGCCCCCGCTTCGCAGCTCCCACCGCGCCTGCTGCGAATGCTTCAGCGAAATGTGAACTAGGCGAAACTGCGGAGGGGTGGATGGATGTGAATTGCGGAATGTTCATGATGACCGATACGCGCATCTGCCGACGAATGGTCGTGCGCGCACCCTCTACGGGGACGGGGAAAGCGGCTGAGGACGCGCGCAAGGCTGCGATGTTGCTGCAGCGAAACCAATCCGAGCCTGGACTGGTTACCAGACCGAGGACTGTTACACCCCAATGGTTTGGGGACGGCAGTACCTATCAGCAAGTGCCTCTTCAGCAGGCAAAGATGCCTCTCGTGCCGCAAAGGCAGTCACGGCATAGGAACGATTTTGTGTCGTCGAGTGAGAGATACTTCACCAGCCCCCTGCTTTATCAGATGATGGAGACATGACATGACACGTCACCTTCGGTGGAGATTGGGGGAGTGCTAGTTCAGCCTTCCATTTCGACAGTCTCACTTCCAAGGAGGGGTGTGCATGGCACACTAACCAGTGTGTGACATGACATGCCCTCTCCACCAGTGTATGGGCATGACAGTGATATTGCATGGCTCTTTGCTCTTCTGTGTGTAATCTTGGACCTTCAAACTTGCTCAACCACTTGAGAATTCAACATAAGTACCTGGGCTGAGTTGGACACAAATTCATACGCGTAGGTAGCTTCCATTTCAAAGTTTGGAATAGTGCACTGCACATCTGTTAACGTAGAAACGAATGATTACTAGAGGTGGAAACCTAGAACAAATACTAGTTGGTTGTACTCACTAGAAGCATACCTCAGTCTAGCCTATAACTTCTACATAGATAATATGTATAAGTTGACACACCCCCTAGGCTAGACAAGGGGTGAAACTAAACAAGAAGCAAACAGCTCAGGGCGGCACTACTAGTCCAACCACTGAGGCAGGGGTCTGGAGACCAGTCAGCAAGAATACAACCAAAACTGAAGCAAGCCAGGGTGGCACTACTAGTCCAGCCACTGGAGGTAAGGCCACAAGGCCAGTCTGACAAGCATATATAATAGAGAGTACACAATCAGGATCCTAACAGGGGAGCAGCTATAGGAACAAGACCAAGCTGTACACAGTGCCGCTGATGATCTTTAGGCGCAAGCGCCTTAGTAAAGATATCAGCTGTGTTGGCACCTGAGGCCAAGTGAACTACGCGGGCCTGGCGGCGCTGCTGTAGCTCGCGCAGGAGGAAGTACCGCAGCTGGATATGCTTCGCTCTGCCCTCAAGCCGAGGCTCCTGACACAGGAGTATCATGGCCCTGTTGTCAGCGTACAGGACCGGGGCAGAGCTAGGCCGCTCACCTAAGTCTGTGAGCAAGAAGGTCAGCCAGCGGAGCTCCTGTGCCGCCATGGCACCAGCGTAGATCTCAGCCTCACAGCTAGACTGAGCCACAGACGACGAGCGAGTGGATCTCCAAGAGATAGCACCCGAACCAAGGCTGAAACAGTAGCCCTGCGACGACCTGAGCGTCTCAGCGTCGTCTGCCCAAGAAGCGTCTGTGTGCCCAGTAAGGACCACTGGCCTGCGTCCTCCTAGCACTAACCCCATGCCTGATGTACTAGCAAGATAACGCAAAACCCTCTTAGCGGCAGACCAGTGCTGAGGTCGGTGTCTGCCTGTAGCCACAAAGCGAGCCAGGATGCTGAGAGGGTATGCGAGATCTGGGCGAGTGCAAGTCATCAGGTACATGAGGCAACCCACCAGCTCTGCGTAGGGGCCACTGGGCTCTACTGGCTCCTCAGGAACGGGAGCAGAGAGCCCATGGTCTACGGGTAGAGGTGTGGGCTGTGCGGAGGAGAACTGAAGACCGAACCTCTGAAGGACCTGACGCACCAAGTGTGACTGGGTCAGAGTGATGGTGCGTGCTGCTCTGTCCCTAGAGATCTGCAGGCCAAGATAGCGACGCAACTCTCCAAGGTCAGTGCAGGTGTGTCTCTTCAGCAGCTCAGCCTTCACAGAGGCCAGTGCGTCCCTGTCAGGAGTAGCGAAGACCAGGTCGTCTACGTAGACAAGGATGTAGAACGGAGTCTGGCCGGAACGCACAAACAGTGAAGGGTCAGCAGAGGACGGAAAGAACTGCAGGTCTGCTAACGTGGCACGTAGCGTGTCGTGCCACTCGCGGGGAGCCTGACGCAGGCCGTAGACCGGGCGCCTGAGAAGCCACTGGGTCCCAGGAGGGAAGGTACCAGTGAAGCCCTGTGGTCGGCGCAGGTAGACCTGCTCGTGTAGGCTGCCCTGAAGAAAGGCAGTAGAGAAGTCGAGGGAGTGAAGCTCGTAGTCACGCTGTGCTGCTACGTGTAGCAGCGCCCGAAGAGTGGTCATCTTCGGGGTCGGGGCGAAGGTCTGGAAGAAGTCAACCCCCTCGCGCTGACTGAAACCTCTGGCCACGTAGCGCGCCTTGAAGACAGGCGGCTCTCCAGGGGGGCGCTTCACCTTGAAGAGCCACCGACCATCGACTACGTTCACCCCAGGCGGGGGAACTGCGTCGACGTAAGTGCCGGTGGATCTCCAAGATGCCATCTCCTGCTCCATGGCAGCTATCCACTGAGAGGCCCAAGGTCCCGAGGTGGCCTCAGCGTAGGTGCGAGGGGTCGGGATGTCGAAGGCGTCTGGGTCACCCTCAGGGACTAACAGCATGGAGCAGAGATGGGGAGCAGCCTCGGAAAGGAAAGCCAGCTCGTACTGCCTGTCCTCTAGGACGTCACTGCCAAGGGCAGGAGCACCCCCGACGGACAGAGGACGGGCAGGGTCAGAGACCAGAGCGGTAGCGTAGTCAAGGCGGCGGGTAGAAGCGAAGTCAGCGACAGCAGCGACAAGCGCGTCAAGGCGCGAGACAGGAACAGCAGGGTCGGTAACAAGAGAGGCAAGGACCCGAGGGACAAGGGGACGAGCAGCACGGAGGTAGTCAGAGAACGGAGGAGGTGCAACAGCAAGGGACGAGGGAGGAGGGGACGGGAGGAGGGGAGGACGAGACGAGTGGGAACGGAGCAACATAGGGTGGGTGGGCAGGACAGGAGAGACGGGACGAGCACGGGAGGGACGGCGAGCCCAAACGTGAGACGGAGGGGTAGGGTCAGGGGACAGCGGAGGAGACACAGGAGGGGAACGAGGAGGAAGACGGGCCGGAGACGAGTCTGGCGGCGGGAACACAGGACCGTAGACAGGGAGGTCAGGAGGCGGTGGGGGAGACACCGGCGCGCGGTCCGGGGAGGGAAGGCCGAGCAGGCGGAGAGCGGAAACCGGCGGCGACGGCTGCTGCGGCGGCGACGACGGCTGGGCCGGAACTCTCGGACCAGCAGAGGCAGAACGACCGTCGGCAGAACACTCAACAGCAGCACCCCCAGAACCATCACCCCCAGAGCGAGAACCCCCTCCAACACCAGCGGCACCCCCAGAAGCCGCAGGACGAACACCCTCCTCCACACCAGCACCCCCAGGGGCCGAGAGCAGCGGCGGCAGTGGCGGCAACGGCTGCGGCGGCGGCGACAGCGGCGACGGCTGCGGCAGCGACAGCGGCGGCGGCGGCGACGAAAGCGGCGACGGCTGCGGCGGCGACGGCGACGGCGGCGGCAGCGGGGTCGGCGACTGCGACAGTGGGGGCGGAGGCACCGGGGAAGGGGGACGCGGCAAGGACGGACCGGGGGTACCACCAGAGTCAGCAGACTCCTCAACGGGGACAACCGACGGGAGGGGAGTGACGTGGGAGACACCAGACGGGGCAGGACGAGGCGGGAGAGGGGCAGGGGCTACCGGGGGAGAGGGAGCAAGGAAAAGGGGGGGGCAACTGGGAGACCTCGGTGAGGGAAGCGGCGGTAGAAGGAGACGGACTCATCAAAGGTGACGTCACGAGAGTGGAGGAAGCGGTGAGACGGCGGGTGATAGAAAAGCCAGTCAGACGAGTCCAGGGGGAAACCGAGGAAGACACAGGGGACAGTGCGGGCAGTGAGCTTGTCCGTGCCAGAGGCACGAACGTGAGCAAGGCAGCCCCAGACGTGGAACGCAGACGCGTCACCGGGGGACCCGGTCCAAAGGAGGGTCGGCGAAACCTGCGGCCGCTGGGAGCGTGGCCACAGGTTAAGCTGGTGAGCCGCGTAGCGAACAGCGAACGGCCACAGAAAATGGGGGCATCGGCATGGATCATGGAGGTACGGGCGACCTCCATGACCAAGCCGATGCGGCGCTCAGCAACCCCATTCTGCTGTGGCGAGTCCGGCAACGTGTACGACTGGGTGATGCCCTCCGCACGACAGAACTGTCCAAGCCGACCAGAGGCGAACTCGCCGCCACGGTCGGAGTGGAGACACAACACGGGGAGACCGCGGTGGAGACGCGCAGCCACAACCCACGGGAGAAGAACGTCGGGCACGTCGGCCTTCCGCTCCAGGGGAAACACCGTGGTGTAGCGCGTGTAGTCGTCGACAAGCACAAGGAAGTAGCGCTCACCGCGCGGTCCGGGGACGGGGGCAGGGCCCCAAACGTCCAAGTGCAGGGTCTGAAGGGGGCAGTAGCAGGACGCAGCGAGGAGGAGTGAGCAGCACGGCGGAGCCGACCCTCGACGCAAGGCGTGCACGGTGGCGCAGTCGAGGGAGGAAGGGCAGGGAGCGACGCGGGGAGACCTAAGACAAGACCGTGCTGGGACATGTGACGCAGACGCGGGAGAGCAGGGTGACCTAAGCGGTGGTGCCAGAGAAGGGAGGGGTGAGTGAGGGACCGACACGAGCAAGCTGCAGCGACCTGGGAGGACGCACCAACCGGGGGGGAAGCGGTGTGTAGGGTAAACAGACCGGACACCGGGTCCCTGGGGAACGTCGCAAGGGGGGAACCTGAGACAGCCTCAGAACAGACAGCGAACCGCTCGTGCCCGGGGAACGTGGTGGTGACGCCGAGGTCCTGGAGACAGCCGACACCAACCAGGTTCCTGGAGAACGAGGGAACGTGGAGGCCAGTAAGGGAGCCCGAGGGAACTGCCGGACAGGGAAGGGACGTAGAACTGCGCGCGACGACCGGACCCGCAGAGGGGTCAGCGAGAGAGACAACAGCAGGTGCAGCAAGCGGCGTGAGCGTGGAACGGTCGCGGAAGAAGCAGGCAGAAGCACCAGAGTCGAGAGTGAAGGACAGCGACGCAGTGGCGGGGGCCGGGGACGGAGCCGGTGCAGCGACTAGACTAGGCAACCTAGGCAGTCCTACGCCTGTCGCAGCAGGGGAAGCTAAGCTACACAAGGGTGAAACACCTAAACTAGAGTACACAGGGTAGTAAGATCCATCAACACTAGAAGCGTCAGCATACAAAGCATGCAAAGCAGCACCTATCTGATCCATGTCTAACTCAAAGATCGGCACGCCCTGGCGGAGCAGGCTGTGCCAGTCAGGGAGGTCCGGGGCCGGGCCAAAGCGACGACGAAAAAGATCGTCGAGGCGGCGGAAACAGCGGGCGGTCGGGTGCGGGCGGCGGCACAGAGTGCCGCGGAGAGGCCCGGTCTGAAGCTGGTACTGGCAGGTCACAGCACTGGAGCCGCTGGTAGACGCCAAGCTGCGCGGGCCGCCACCACGGCCACCGCCTCCGGAGGTGCCGGGCCAACCAGGCGGGAGACGAGCCCACGGCTGCGGCGGGTGCTGCTGGGACGGCGGCTGCGGCTGGGGCTGGTCCTGCTGCTGCTGGGACTGCTGCTCCTGCCCACCGGTGGTAGTCCCCTCAGGCGGACTACCGTCACCACCACCACGACCACTACCACCTGCGTCACCACCCCTACCTCCCTGGCGGCCACGGCCACCGCGACGCGAGCGCTGCTGCGGGTGGACAGCAGCAGCCGTCTCGGTAAGAGGGGTCGCCGTGGCGACCGCAGCCGAAACGTCAGTGAACGTGCACGGGGATGGGGCACAGCCGTGAAAGATAGAGACTGGCGGCGCACCGCTCGACTGAGCGATAGTGCGCTGGCGAGTCTCGATCTCAGTGAGGGTGTCGACAAAGGCGGTCAGGGTGAGGTCACCCGGGTGCTGGCTAAGAAAGTGGTCGCGAGCACTAGCGAGGCGGTCTGGCAGGCGCATAGCGATAAAATAGAGCGTCATGCAGAAAGGAGGGGGGAGCGCAGTGAGCTGGGCAGCAGTGCTGGCAGTGCGATAGCGAGTCTCTAGGGCACGCAAATGAGTGGCAAAATCTGCGACAGTAGGGAAGGCAGCCAGGTCTGGGAACAGCATCGGAAAGAGCAAGCGGCCAGCAGAAGCGGAGGCAGGGGTGGAATAGCGAGCAATAACGGCGTCTAAATAAGCTTTGGCCGTTTCAACAGTAGCAAAACGCGAGCGCTCAGACACAGGGAGGGCGTGACTAATAGCAACCTGAGCTACTGCATCGCGTGAGTCCCAGATCGCACAGGCCAGCGCAGCAGTAGAGAAAGCCTCACGGTCATCAGAGGAGGGGTCAGCAGGGAGGGGAGTAGGTGCAGGGGGACGGGGGAGCAAGCCATCAGCATGGACAACCAGAGAGTGGCCATCCTGGCGCTGACCTGTAAGCTGGCGGCGAAGATCGGAGAGCCAGGCGGCGAAGTCAACCGCGTGGCCCTCAGCGTCCAGGCGGAGCACAAAGTCAGCCATCGTGCAGGGTCAGCGGCAGAGCTCCTCAGCGACACAGCGGCACAGCAGCACAGCTCCTCAGCGGCACAGGAGCACAGCGGCGCGGGGACACGGCGGCAGCACTCTCCAGTAGGGCAGCAGCTAGGCGTCCCAGCGCAGGCAAGCAGAAGACACAGGGCCCGAGAGGACACGGCAGGCCGAGCAGGGGAGGCGGGCAGGTGCTCTGGGGCCGGGCTGGTGCTGGGAGGGGCCAGGCTGGTGCTGCTGGGGCCGGTCGGGCACGAGGAGGGGCCGGGCAGCGCTGAGGAGAGGCCGGGCGGCGCTAGGAAGGGGCCGGGCGGCACTAGGAGGAGGCCGGGCGGCACTAGGAGGAGGCCGAGCGGCACTAGGAGGAGGCCAGGCGGGCGAGCGCTAACAGCAGGCGCGACAGGGGCCAGCGGGCGCGACGGGGCCTAAGGGGCGCGACGGGGCCCAGCGGGCACGACGGGGCCCAGGGGGGGCGCGACGGGGCCGAGGAGGCGCGACGGGGACCAGCGGGCACGACGGGGCCCAGGGGGGCCGCGACGGGGCCTAACGGGCGCGACGGGGCCCAGGGGGGGCGCGACGGGGCCTAGCAGGCGCGACGGGGCCTAGGAAGCGCGAAGGGGCCCAGCGGGCGCGACGGGGCCTAGGAGGGGCGCGACGGGGCCGAACGGGCGCGACGGGGCCCAGAAGGGGGGGACGCGACGGGGCTTAGGAGGCGCGACGATGCCTAGGAGGCACGACGGGGCTCAGCGGGCTCGACGGGGCCCATGGGGGGCGCGACGGGGCCTAGGAGGCGCAACGGGGCCCAGCGGGGGCGCGTTAGGGCCTAGGGGTCGCGACGGGACCCAGCGGGCGCGACGGGGCCTAGGGGGAGCGCGACGGGGCCTAGGAGGCGCGACGGGGCCCAGCGGGCACGACGGGGCCCAGGGGGGGCGCGACGGGGCCTAACGAGCGCGACGGGGCCCAGGGGGGGGCGCGACGGGGCCTAGGGGGGCGCGACGGGGCCTAGGAGGCGCGACGGGCGGAAGCGGTAGGCGGGGGGATCCTAACCTAAGCGTGATACCATGTTAACGTAGAAACGAATGATTACTAGAGGTGGAAACCTAGAACAAATACTAGTTGGTTGTACTCACTAGAAGCATACCTCAGTCTAGCCTATAACTTCTACATAGATAATATGTATAAGTTGACAACATCTACCGTCAATGGCTCCAGAAACCTTGAGCGGGCCAGTTCAATAGGGAATGAATTTGACCAGCCACTACTTCCCCAACCCAAAACAACAGGTAAGCGCCAGCAACAACTGTAATAGCTATTGCTCTCATTGAGAGTCGAACTCAAGACCTCCCGCTTACTAAACGGGTGCTCTAACCAACTGAGCTATGAGAGCTGTTACTGAAAGTGAAACATTTAATTCCGATAAATTAAAACCACCACAATAACAAACAACCATACAGTTTGCTTTGCGTATTGCCAATTTGCCATACTCTTATACATAACGTGTTCAGCTTATAACGGGAAAAAATATGACAATCCATAGTGTCAATGTGTGTGCTTAGTGAAATTTCTATACGAGGACACAAGGTTGCTTTCACGTCAGCAGCGCCGGGGAGGGGGGTCTACCCGGAGCCCAACAGCAGAGCACTGTGAGCTGCTAGCAGGCAGCGGCGGGCAGAACAAAAGCGAGGTTGGGCAGTCGGGGGGCGCACAAAGCATTTCGACCACTCTGAGCCACTCGGTGAAAGGAATGTTGGTAGAAAACTGCAGACTCGCGCAGTCCCTGCCCCGCTTCCTCAGGTAATACTCCCGCCAAAAGTCCAAAAGCGCCCGAAAGTTTTTCATCACGCTGCCCGGACCAACCCCTGAGGTCGAATCCGCATCCTTGGATGAAACCGGATCAGGCAGCAGAGAGGGGTCGAGGAGTGGATAGGACGGGGATTTGGAGACAGATAGTGGGGGGGAGGAGGAAGAGGGGGAGCAGGATGGGGAGGAGGGCGAAGTGGGCGAGCAGGGGGAAGATGGGGAGGAGGGGGAGGAAGGGGAGGAGGGCTGGAGGAGGGTGGTGGAAGCGGCGAGGGAGGCGGGCTGGGCTTTGTCGGCGGCTCGGAGGGCGGAGAGGAGGGAGAGGAGCTGGGCGTTGCGATTGGCGAAAATGAAGAAGATGAGGGCCGTGTTGAGCACACAGATGTTGTCCTGCGAGGGGGAGGGGGAGGGGAATGGATGGAGTCAGTTTTCCCATATGCTTCTCCATTCCATGGCTGCTATTCCCTTACCTGATAAATGTCATATTGTTCTTGTAAAAAACATCCTATTAAAAATTCCTCAACCGGTTAATATCCCCCAGCCGCACCACCATCAACAGGTCTCTCAGCAGCAGGACAGAGTTGCAGTCCATACAGCCCGAATACACCCCTTACCTGCCAGATACCCCAATTGCGCTTGTTTGAAACCCCAACCAACCTCACCCCTCCCCTGGTTGATATCTACCAGCTGCACCACCATCATGAGGTCCCTCAGCAGCAGCACGGAGCTGCAATCCATAAAGGCAGCCCACAATGTGCACAACACACCCCTTACCTGGTAGACATTCCCTTCTCCCCTCACGTCTTCTCACCTGGTTGATATCTCCCAGGCGCACCACCATCATGAGGTCCCTCAGCAGCAGGACAGAGTTGCAGTCCATAAAGGCAGCCAGCGGCGACCCAATCTCCTCCTCATCCGCCACACACCCCTCACTCACTGCCGCCTTCCCCTTGCCCTTCCCCACACTCCCCCTGTCCGCACTGCCACCCCCCTCAGCAGTCACTAGCACCCCCTCCTCCATCTTCTTCTTCCCCTTCCTGTCTGCTGCTGCCTGTGCTGCTGCCTGTGCTGCTGCCTGTGCTGCTGCTTGTGCTGCTGACACTGGCAACGACCACGCGGGACCTTCAGCTACCCCAGGTGCTGATGCGGAGAGGGTAGAGCCCTTGAGAAGTGAATTCTCTTCCTGCTCCGTGCCCCTTCTGTCAGTCTCCCCCACTGAATCGCTAGGAGCATCACCACCAGCAGCAGTGTCGCCACCACTGCTGCACCCCCCAGCAGGCCCTGCTTCCACTTTTGCCCTTACCTCCCCGTCTGCACCCTCTGCTGCCTCTGCCCCCCCTGCTCTGTCTGCCCCTTCTGCTGACGATGACTGATGGGCAGGAAAAGGGCTGGACGAGGAGGAAGGCTTGCAAGAGGAGAGAGGGGAGGAAGATGGGAGGGAGGAGCACGGAACGGAGGAGGGGCCAGCAGACGAGGATGGGAGGGCTGGGGACAGCACAGGAGGGAGGGGAGGCGTGGGGCAGGGTCCGAGGTATGGGGGCGTGGGGAGGCCAGTCCGGAAGGCGTGCAGGGAGAGCATAACAGACCGGATGAAGACATTCGAGTCTACTAGGTGCGCCACTAGCACCTCTATGAACCGATTAAACCTCTCCCCCTTAAGAAGCCCCGCCAGCCTTCGGAATAAAGCCGGGTTGAACTTAACTATCTCGCCTAGAAGGTCGAAGTCTATCTGGAGGGATGCGGCGCACTTAAACCCCGATGCTCCTCTAAGTATTTCCTCAACTAAGTGCTCCATAAGCCCCGTGGCCGCTACATGCTCCTGGTCCTTAGGGTTCGACCCTCTAAGAAACGCCTCGACACAAGATGCAAGCCAGAAGCGGTACACTGAGTCCGCTGACTCTTTCATAAGCACCCGGATTATCTTAAGCATCAGGCCCTCATCCCTCGCATCCTCGCCCCTTTCGCCCCCACCGCCTTCCACCATCCCACCTACGCCTGCTGCCCCTGCTTCGGCTGCTCCTGCTCCTACTCCTGCTGCTGCTCCAGCTGCTCCTGCTACTGCTGCTGCTTCTTCATTGCTTCCCTCTCCTCTGCCCGCTCCCACTCCCAAACCCTGTAGCATAACACTAGAGTCTCCTGCCGCCCCTCCAATCCCCAATGCAGGCAACCACTGGTCCGGGGAAAGCCCTAGCGCCCGCCCCAAACTTGCCCCAAACCCCCGCCCACGCCCTTGCTCCTGCTCCTCTCTCTGCCCAGGCTCCTGCCCCTGTGCGCTTCCCTGTCCCCTCCCCTCCACACTCCCACTGTTGCTGCTGGCGCTGCTGCTGCCACCGCTGCTGAAACCACTGCTACCACCTGCAGCACCACCAGATGTGCTCCCCGGCGTGCTTGTACTCGCAGTGAGTCCTGAACTAGCAGTCTCAGGTGGTATACCACCAGCAGTTGACGGCAGTGCGCCACCCGGCGAGGCGAGCAGCAGCTTGTTGTGCAGGTTGGGCCCATCTCGATCACAAAAGTTGTGAATGAGACGAAGGTACTGGATCTTGAGGGCCTGAGGAGGGTACAGCGGGGAGAGGGGTGGTGCAGAGGGATGGGATGTGGTGAGACGAGGTGCCAGGGTGTGAGACCAACAGAAGCTGGGGATGAGACGAACGAAGGTACTGAATCTTAAGGGTCTGAAACGATGCGCACAGCAGCACCGGGGCGAAACGATGAGCAAAGGGATGCAGAGATGTGTAGAGACAGGTTTCAGGCACTGTGGATTAGGCGAAGGCACTCTCTACCAGGCCAAAGCATGCAATTCTTTCACCGTGCTCACACACCCGCACCCAAGCCGCAACTGCCCTAGCCATTCACTCACCGACTCGGGGTTGCAGGAGCAGCCGGGTCCGTGGATCCCATGCGGCTCAGCAGGGGGCGGCAGCGGTGCCGACCAGTTGAGGCGGTCGAACGACTCCACTAGAATCGCCACGAGCCCCAGCTCCGCCAGTTTGTCCTGCACTGACTCCTTCCTCTTGCCGCCGCACAGCGCACAGAGGACAAAGAGGACCTCCACCTGGTGCTGTGAAGGGGAGAGAAGAGCAGGGCGGGTGGGGAAAAGCACCAGACGAGACGGTAAAAACCTCCACCAGGATGCTCACTCACGAGCCCCAGCTCCGCCAGCTTGTCCTGCACTGACTCCTTGCGCATGCCACCACATAAAGCACACAGGACGAACAAGACCTCCACCTGATGCTGTGGCCCGGGGGTAAGCGGAAAAGAGAAGGGAGAGGGGGGAGAGATAGGATGGTTGGATGAGTCCACGAGGATGGCCACGAGCCCCAGCTCCACCAGCTTGTCCTGCATTGACCGCGCATGCTGCCGCACAGAGCACACAGGACGAACAGGACCTCCAGTTGATGCTATGGCCAGGGGGTAAGGGAAAAAGTGAGGGGGATATAGGACAGTTGGGTGAGTCCACGAGGATGGCCACGAGCCTCAGCTCTGCCAGCTTCCTGCACTGACTCCTTGTGCTTGCAGCCGCACAGGGCACACAGGGCGAATAACACATCCACTTGATGCTGCACAGGGGGGTGCATAAGGGATGGAGCAAAAGGGAGGTCAACAGTCGGCATGGCATCAAGCACACGAACAGCCGCACATTCCATGCCATACTATTCCATGCCATACCAGTGAGCAGCCCCCTAGCCACCCCCTCACCTGCTGTTCCAGGAACGAGGCTGCCATGTTCGTCGCCACAGCAGCAGGCCCCGCGCCCTCTGGTAACCCGATTTCGCCAGCCCTGAGCACAGTAACCGCGCCCTGCGGCAGGGCACGCAGAAACGGCTCCAACTCCCCCTCAGGCACCTCCCCTAGCAGCCTAGGCGGGTTCCCCACAAATACCATCACCCTTGCGCCTGCGGGAATGCCCGGTGCTACAGGCTCCGCGGGGGTTGCAGCAGTGGGGGGGTTGGCGGGAGTGGCGGTTGGGAGCATGTTCAGCAGATTCGGGGTCATTGGGACGCCGAGAGTGTTGGTATTGGGGAGAGCTGGCGGGGGAGTAGCAGTGGGTGGAGTGCGGTTGGCGGGAGGTCTAGGGGGGGACGTGGAGGTTCCTGTGAGGATGGTCGGATGGGCAAAGGGGAGGACGGCGGCATGGGGGGAGGGAGGCAGCAGGGGCGGCAGGCGGGGGGGAGGAGGAAGGGGGGAGGCGGAGGCGGGGAGAACGGCCACCGGGTTCTATCACCCGTTGCACCCGGCGCCTCGCCTGCCACGGGTACAGCAGCATCAGCAGCACGGGCATGTTCCGTCCGCGCACCAGCTCGCCTTTGACTAACAGCCACAGCACCAGCACCACTGACAGGCACGGCACCCCCACCGCTATCCGGTCCAGGATCCTGACCCTCTCCTCCTTCTCCTCTTCCCCCTCCTCCCTCCCGCCCTGCGCCTCCCCCTCCGCCTGCTGCCCCCGGTCGAGCCCCCCCCAGCCCCCCAAACAGGCCAAAACCTCCCCATAGGTTCCCCCTGCCCGCCTGCCGCCCTGCAGTTCCAGCGGCTTCCGCTCCCCCGTCTCCTCCGCCTCCCCCTGCGCCCCCCGCTGCGCCTCCCCCTGTACCGCTTCCGCCTCTCCCATGCGCTTCCGCCTCCCTCCCCCCTCCACCACCGCCACTGCTACCACCGCTGGTACTAGCATCGTCCCCCCCCCAGCCGAATAATCCCTGGATAAAATGCATCGCACCAGCAGCAGCACCACCCCCCCCACTCTCCCTCCTCTCCCTCCCACCTCCCGCTCTCTCCCCGCTATCCCCTCCTCCCCAAATCCTTCCCAACCTGCTCCCCTGCCTCTCGCCCCCTCTCCTGCTCCCCCCTCCGCGCGCTTCCTCACCCTCCCCTTCCTCCCCCCCTCCTCCTCTTCCTCACCCTCCCCCTCCTCCCCTTCCTCACCCTCCACCCCCTCCTCCTCCTCCCCCCGCTCCTCTCCCGCGATCTCCTCCACACCATCCTCGTAGAACCCATAAACCGCATCTGCCATCTCTCCCTCCTCCTCCTCCCCCTCCCCCTCCTCTCCCTCCCCCTCTTCCCCCTCTTCCTGCTCATCCTCCCCCTCCCCTTCCCCTCCAGTCTCCTCCCCGTCCACTGCTTCCGTCTCCATATCAATCTCCTCCACCTCCCCCTCCTCTACCTCCCCCTCCTCCTCCTCATCCTCCACCTCCCCCTCCTCCCCCTCCTCCTCCACCTCCTCTTCTTCCTCCTCGCCATCCTCGTTATAATGCTCCTCGTCATCCTCTTCAGGCCCCCAGTCCGCAGCAGTCTCGTCCTCCCCGGCCATAAGATCGCCCAGCAGCGGCTGCCACTCGCTCAGACTGGGAGACCACAGATCCGCCTCGCCAGCACTGTCCATCTGCCATGCATCGGATAAGCACAAGGAGGGCACAAGGAGAGAATAGTCATGACTAGACATTCACTGCGCTCCCCTTCTCCGGTCCCCCAGCAGCGGCTGCCACTCGCTCGGACTGGGAGACCACAGGCCCGCCTCGCCAGCACTAGCCATGTGCACGACAAACGCGGGGTACAAGGTGATTAACATCCGACGATGGGCACAAAGCCATTGCCATGCACTGCGCTCCCCTTCTCAGGTCCCCCAGCATCGGCTGCCACCCGCTCAGACTGGGCGACCACAGATCCGCCTCGCCAGCACTATCCATGTGCCACGCATAGGATTAAGTATAAGGCGGGCACAACGAGAGAAAACGGTGATCAGAAATCAGTGCCATGAGCATACATCCACTACGCTCATCTTCTCAAGTCGCCCAGCAGCGGCTGCCACTCGCTCAGAGGCGGCCATGGATCCGCCTCGCGGCTGCTGTCCATCTGCCACGCACAGGCGGATAGTATCCAGCGCTCCTCGAAACAGCCAAGATGCGTCACTGATACTGTCAGTGTCAGCATTCAACTGCACATTTGAACAGTAAACCGCACAATCTGATTGAACATGCAGCAACACAGAACACAAGTAACAAAGGACCCGCACCTGCAGCAGCTTCACGAGGCTCGGCAGGATCTCGGGAATCGCGAGCAGCACGTCGTGGTTGCTACCTGCCTCTATACGAACTAAATCCCGCCCCGCCTGCAGCGCGTCAGACACCCATACTGGCACACCCTACCTGCAGCAGCTTCACGAGGTTGGGTAGAATCTCGGGGATCGCGAGCAGCACGTCGTGGTTGCCACACACCTACGGCTCGCCAGTCAATCATAAACACCCTACCTGCAGCAGTTTGACCAGGTTCGGCAGGATCTCGGGGATCGCGAGCAGCACGTCGTGGTTGCTGTCCGCCACCGCCCACTCCGCCTCCCGCTCCGCGCGCTCCAGCGGGTCCGCGCCCTTCTGCAGCGCGGACACCTCGGGCGCGCGGTCCTCGGGCTCGAAGACGACCATGGCGAGCACGCGGCAGAAGAAGGACAGCTGCCGCGACGACAGCCCGCGCACCAGCCGCGCGAAGTTGGGCACCGACCCCAGGCTGAGGGTTTCCTCCCCTACTGCTAGGATCTCTTCTGCTAGTGCGACGGCTGAGAGAGGGGGTAGAGACGGGATCGAGAGGGGGGGGGGGGGGGGCATAGCAAGAGCTCGAAACGAGACGCACGAAGAGCTAGAAAGAGCTCGGAACCTGTCAACCTCTCCTACCGCCAGGATCTTCAGTGCTGACAAGACGGGTGCAGGCGGAAGAAGAAAGGGAGGCGAAGCAAACCCTCTCGGGAGATACAACAAAGCAAAGCCAAAATCAACAAAAACAATTCTGGCGCCCAGCTGCGAACAACAGCAGTTCTTCCCTGTGACGACACAGCATGCCTCGGTCAACACAATACACATCAGACGCAAACCACTCTGCAGCTTACCGCAGTCGAAGGTGCGCTTATTCTCCATCAGCGCGAACAGCCGTGAGAGAAAATGCCGCTGCACCTCGAAATATGCTATAAGCGCATCACGATTCACCCTGCTTAACGTAGTCGAAGGTTATCTTATTCTCAATGACCGCAAACAGCCGATGAGAAAAGCCGCTGCACCTCAGAATATCCTCGGAGCATATCACCCCGCTTACCATAGTCGAAGGTGATTTTATTCTCCATGAGCGCGAACAGCCGGATGAGGAACTGCCGCTGCACGGACAGCCCCTCGGAGAAGCTCGCGGAGGCGAAGCACATCTCGCGCAGCACGGCCAGGCAGTCGTTGCGCATCATCCACAGCGCCGTCTCCTCGCGCGAAGCTTCCCCCTCTCCCGCATCTCGAGAAGTCTCCCCCTCCCGAGTCCCCTCCGCGCTCTCCGTGCGGAAAATCCCCCGGCGGTTCCGCGCTCCCCCGCCGGCTCGTCCCCCTCCGCCAGATCCCGCTCCCGCTCCCGCTTCAGCTGCGCCGCCCTGTCTTTCGCTAACTCTCCGGGAGCTTCCTTCGCGGTCTGTTTCGCGAGGATTCGCGAACGGCGAGGAGAGAATGCGAATGAAGAGGGTGTCCCCTCCGCATAGCACAAACGAATCGCGGCTGTTCTGCTGGCTGTTACCCGGCGACTCTCCGATGTTGCGAAAAATCCGGCCAATCACAGTCCTGCACCCTTCGAGATCGTTCGATAAGAAATGAGATTCGAGATCCTTGCATAAGCCAGCCATGCCATGAGACAAGGCGTAGAGCCTCTGGTACAACGGCTTAGGAAGACGGCGGATGCTCTTGATACCTCTACCGGAAATCTGACCATAAGCGATGGTAGCGAAGACACTCTTATCGCGTCTAGATCTAGAGGAACGCTTGCCGGCCGACGAGGGTAGGGCCAAGGGACCCATAACGTGCTGGGTTGTCGGGCTTCCGCTAGAAGGAGCTTGCCAGATCTTCTTAGGAGGCTGATTCGTGAGCTCGCAGGAGGAGTTTCTTCACTCTACTAGTCGTAACGAGCTGACGAAGCCACCTATCGCCGTAACAAGCCTTCACGATGAGCTGATGGTTGAGAGATTTAAGGTCCTTCCGGCCAATGCGCTCCTAAAGCTGCGGCTACTTCTGCAGTTTTAACGTGTGGTGTACTGCAGCGATTACCCTGAGACCAGTGAAGAATGAATCGGCTACGCTGGTCTCCCGGGCACAACTGACCTCCAAATCACGCAAGGCTTCTCACGCCATTAGACTGCAAGCTGTATAGAGCTTGAAGGTGAATAAGGCTAGAAGATGACGTAAAAGCCTCGTAGATTTGGTAGTTGGGTGATCCACCGACACACGAATAACCAAGAGCTATGGTGGAGAAAGGAACCCTAACCTCGAAGTGAGTGCATGCAGCCAGGAAGGGTGGATTTGACGAGGCCAGGGTCTGCAGGAGGTACTGTAGAATGGGGAGGACACAGGATGATCGCTCGAGGGATGTACTGAAATGTACCTGATCGTGACGACCAATGAAGCGTACACGAAGAGCTGGCGAGTGGGGTTCGCGAAGCGGACTGAGGCTGGGGCAGGTGACGGACTTCGGTAGGGACTAGAGTTCCAAAGTCACGAAATCCTCAATCCTTTCTGGTCCAAGGTTTTGGAACTGACTGAAATCAACTATAAGTATGCTGCTAAGTGTGTCCATTATGCTGCTAAGTGTGTCCGGAATTATTGTTCCCAGTGCGGATGAACAAATTATGCTTGTAATAAATTATCGGGTGAGCTAAAGAATTACCGAAGCCCCAAATTTTGCCGTTTGCAAACGAGACGCTGGACGGACAACCATTCCAGGCAACGCGGCAGCTTCTCCAGACGCGCAGAATCTGTCAGGCCAGCGCAGCGCAGCACCTTGGCGCAGCATTCCCAAACAGAAACCCGAGACCTCGCAGCCATCGTCCAATCCTCAGGGATCATGCGACGGCTGTCAGCTTTCGCACGGTCGCATACCTTGTCGTTCTGGCAGGATCCTGAGGAACGACCCGTGTGTGACGAATGGATGGTACAGTACAGATGCTGCCAAATTCTTTGGCTTGGAGTGCAAAGAAACTTCACCATAACGAGGCTCGGATTTGTGTAAGAAAAGTCGCAGGATGTTTGAGAGTGTACAACATAACGCAATTCGCTTCGGGCTCATCGCCTTTGACTCGCCAAATCCATAGCATCTGAATGCAACTGTCATTCTTGCCTCTTCCACTGAATTCCGAACATTTGCGTGAGCAGAAGCACTTCTAGCGTCGACGTCACGCCATGCTGGATCTTCAGCATTTCTAGCACCGAGATCGTTCTGAACGAGCTGAGACAACCACATACAACATAGTGCCTATTATGTGGATCACCTAACGCTTCCTCGGAGAATGTCGTGAGTTAGTTCCACGCACCAGCGCTAAATTGCGAGCAATAAGCTTGCAGAAGGGGAATACCCGAGGTTTCTTTGGGCTCATCAGTCTAGACGCATTCACCTTCAAAGGATTTCACCGCTTCTCCCTAACAGCACCACCCCGCTCCTTCTCTTTCACCCCCGTTTTTCACATGAAGCTTTTTTTTTTCGTCCCAACCCGTTCCTCCGAGCGTCGCAGGGCGAACGCAAGGGACGCCATGGCATGCGCGCGGATCATGCATGTCCACGAAGTGGTTGAAGCGGGGCAGTCCTTATTGGGGACGCTAGTAAGGGTCACAGGCAGGTACAGTAACTTGCACTATTCGAATCGTTACTATGGATGTGGGAGCGAACCGAGAGGGGATTGCTGGTACGGAATTATGAATATTGCACTATTGAGTGAATTATTTCTTCACATCCCCGTTTCCTCACCCTTCCCCTCACCTATCAGGATCCGGCCAGTAGCAGGAGGAGACAACACTCGCATCAGGATTGAGGACAGGTCTGGAGCTGTGCTCGTTATTGACACATCGCGTATAGTCACACCTGGCATGCGGCCCAACAGCCTGTTCCAGTTCCTGGGGGAGTTGACCTGGCGAGAAGAGGCAGACGAGGGAGAAAACATGGTGGGTGGGAAGAGGGGGGGGGGAGGGGGGGGGGGGGAAGGGGAGCTGACGAGGGGGGAGGGAAAAGGGGGGGGGGGTGGGGGAGGCGGGTTAGAACAAGCAGTCTCTTCCAATTATTGGGGGAGGTGACCTGGCGAGAAGAGGCAGAAGAGGGAGAGGAGATGGTGGGTTGGGCCAGGGAAAAGCCAACGTGGGGGAGTGTGGGGAGGTAGGGGGTGAGGGGAAAGGGGGGGGGCAGGGTAGGTAGGCTAAATCAAGACAGACTGTTCCATTTCCTAGGGGAGGTGACCTGGCGGAAAGAGGCAGGAGAGGGGGTGAACATGGTGAGTTGATGGGAGTGGGCGGTGATGTTGGGAAGAGTTAAGAGGAGTGGGATGTGCCTCCCTGCATGCTGGTGTCTGAATGACCTAAGAGAACAGACCTCTATAGTCACTCTCAGCCCCTCTTCCTGCCTTCCCCCTTGGCTCCACCCACACCCACCACCTTTTCCCCAGGCTTTTCTTTGTGCGCCTCAAAGCATTCACTCCCTGGTTCTTGTGCAGGTGGTGGTTGCGCGGCTGGGCAGGTGTGTGGAGGGGATGGATGAGGGGCTGTTCGAGAAGGCGCTGGAGCTGAAGAGACAGTATGAAAGCACCGACAGGGCTGTGAGATAGATGGGGAGCAACAGTTGGGGCAATGAGAGTGCTTAGGAGGAGCACGAGAGGGCAGGTGCGTGGAGGGCATGGATGAGGGGCTGTATGAGAAGACACTGGAGTTGAAGAGGCAGTATGAAAGCACGACTAGTGCCGTGAGGTAGATGGGGAGCAACAGTTCGGGCAATGAGAGGTGCTTAGGAGGAGCACGACAGGGCAGGTGCGTGGCGCTGGAGCTGAAGAGGCAGTATGAAAGCACGGACAGGGCCGTGAGGTAGATGGATAGCAAGACTGGCGCAAAGAGAGAGTGAGTAGGGAGAAGACGGCTGCGCACATGTGTGGAGGGGATGGACGAGGGGGTGTTTGAGAAAGCTTTGAAGCTGGAGGGACAGTATGAACACACAGCCAGGGCTGTGAGATAGCTAGGAGAGGCACGAGGTAGAGGGTTATAGGGTAGCTGTATGGGATGTTTATGTGAATGGTGGTAGGTAGCAGATGATAAGCAATTACCATATTTCCCATTATACATTGTATTGCAAACTTGGTTTCTCGAGCACCTTAAGTACATACATGCACTGATGTATGCACAGTTTTAAACATAGCGCCTAACTGTTTGGCATGTTCAGCTACTAGCATTGGCAACACTGCTCTCTGTTGACGAATACTCGACAGAGTTATCACTTATGCATTCCTGAAACGTTTCTTAGACTGTACTAGTAGCGCGATACCTCATATAGAAGGACGCACGTGATGACGTCAGCAGAGGCAAGTCAACGCGTGAACAGTAGGTTCGCGCGTATAGTCACTCGAAGGGTCATGCCACTCTCAGTCACAAAAACAGTCACTAGTCATGTCACGCGAATAGTCGTGATACACTACGAACTGCTTCATCCCGAATAGGTACTTCCTAGACAAAACATATGCCTTTATTACTCATTGTTATTATCCTTGTCATTTCGGACATTTCCAATACAAGGTGTAAATTCTTCCGCTGAATTTTACTCGTGGTTCAACCAAATCTAGATCCTGGCCACCCTAAACGCATGGTTCACTTCAATATGGTATTCTCAGCTAGTGGAGTTACAAGAACCGATTCAAGTTGATTTCGATTACGCCCTTAAACCCACAGGCTAGAATAGCAAAAGGGGGGCGCACTTGAAAGTTTGGTTTTTTTCAAGGTCAGAAAAAATCATCTCACTTGCGCTGGTACACTTTCCCAGTCTCGAAAAAACCAGTCCTGCGAAATCGCAGCTCACGTTGATTCGCCGACGATACTACACAGATCGTACCCCCAGAAAGGAACACCCCGCGACAAGTCCGAGGGTCGCAGGCTGAACGAAAAAGAAGGGCATGCGACCGCCTGTCACACCCCCGAGTTTCAAGTGAGCCCCGGGTGCGCTTCTAGTTCTCAGGCGTATGTTATTTTAACACGTAGACTAGTGTAGGAAGCCACTGCGGTCTTGACACCTATCCTAAAAATCTGCCGCGGGTTTAGCGGGGCATGAACATTCCCCCCTACGTGTAAGAGGTTTTAGTTTCGTAGAAAAGGCGCATAAATGTTGTAGTAACAGTAAGAAGAGAGGGAACGAGTTGGACCGACGAGTAAAGCCGACGAGATAGGCACGACGAGAAAGGTGAACGACTTAGGCACTACAAGATAGGCCGACGAGGAAGGCACGACGAGATAGATAAACGACTTTGGCACTACGAGATAGGCTGACGAGGAAGGCTCGTCGAGATAGATAAACGTGTCAGGCTCGACAAATTGGCTTGACGAGTTAGGCATTTCAGCCAGCGTCTCTTAGTGAACTCCGTTACACCGGCAAACTTGTCGCCTTACAAAGAGGTACGCGGGATATGGAGAAGAGGTAGGCGAACTGGGGGAAAGGGGTAGTGGAAATGGGGGAACGGGGTAGGCGGATGGGGGAAAGGGGTAGGCGGATGGGGGAAAGGGGTAGACGGATGGGGGAAAGGGGTAGGCGGATGGGGGAAAGGGGTAGGCAGATGGGGGAAAGGGGTAGGCGGATGGGGGAAAGGGGTAGGCGGATGGGGGAAAGGGGTAGGCGGATGGGGGAAAGGGGTAGGCGGATGGGGGAAAGGGGTAGGCGGATGGGGGAAAGGGGTAGTTGGAATGGGGGAACGGGGTAGGCGGATAGGGGAAAGGGGTAGTTGGAAAGGGAATGGGGCATGAACATTCCCCCCTCTTAAAGCGAGAGACTATAATAGTGACCCCTCTTTCTAGTTGGGCCCAACTAGAAACGATCCAGCAGTGAATATGTTTTTCGAGGGGCGGGCAGTAGCCCGCGTTCTTTACCAAGTCGTAGGCCTCGAAATCGAATTGCGGTTGCGATATTTCGCAATGGCGACAGATTTTACAACCGCATATTTTGTGTAGTTAGCATTTCGACCAATCGTGACCCATCCTCGGTTTTCCCGAAGTAGTGAACCTGGGTCCAACTTGAAATTCAAGTTGGGCCCACTTGGTGCAGCTTACAGGCAGTGCGGGCTGGGCAACAGGTGGCGCGCTGCTTGCGATTTTTCCCGAGCCTTTTTCCCCACTGTATGTCATAGATCCCCGCCAACCAATCAGGTAACTGCGCATTCTCGCCCAGTTTCCCCTGCTCGCATTTCTTGACAGTGTACCCTCTGCCCCGTCACAGTTTTGTCCCTTAGTCGCAAAAACGGACGTCTGGGCCCTTTCAAGTTGTCCCCACCGTATTTTGACCACTCGCTTTAAGCTCAAGTCATCATAGATCTACAATTATGTCAACTGCTAAGAAAGGAAATTCAGCTACGAATTCTCCTACTTCTGGTCTATCTGCTGATGATCTATCTGACTTTGCTTCTTTGATGGCTAATCGATCTACTCAGCAACAACAACCAGCTCCAATGCATCCTACAGCCTCCGTGAGCCTTAATAACTCCAGTTATGCAAGAGTTGCTATTGTCGCTGGGCCTTCAGCCCCTGGAGATAAATCTGCTGGGTCTTTTACCCTTTATGGGCGACCTGCTCAACCACAGCAACAAAAACATCAAATGGCAGAAGAAATACCATTCGCTGCAGAAGCTGCCGTCAATCAAACAGATTTCCTAACTATCTCCTGTTGTGGTATATTTCATACTTAGCATTTCTGTAAGTCGTTTATCGATAGATAGCGTTGAATCCTACTGTAGAAGATAAGTCCGTAGGATGATGTCAGCAAATAGCGCTCGTCATAGGACAGTCGTTTCAGTCACGCAAATAGTCGCATCTCTTCATTATCATCTAGGGCGCATAGCGCGATAGTGACGAACATGTACATTAGCGAATAGGTACTTTCCTAGAGCTATAAATCTTTGTTGTGTCCTTTTTATTATTAACCTTGAGATTTCAACTTTGAGAACTTTGAGACTTAACTTCTGCAGAAACATATACTCAGGTTCACTCTTACAAGACTTCCGCTGTCTTACTAGTCTACCATTCCAGTAAAGATCATATGCAACACTTGAGGTTTTCCAAGTGTTCGTGTTTGTAGATTCTATACTTAGTCTCCTGCAACACTTGTCAAATTATTACATGGTATTAGAGCTATCTGGAATTAAGACTACTGTCAACAATGACTGGTTCATTACCAGCACCGTCTGCCGGATCAATTTCCGGAACTACTGGAGTACATGTCTCCACGACCACCACTGGTCTCTCAGCCTCTGGACCGTTTCCATCGGCTTATGCGCATATCGGTATGCAGCAGCAGCAGCAGCAGAATTCGTCTTCTGTCAGTACTCCAGGGATGTCGTCAACTGCCCCTGCAGCGCAACAACAACAAACACAGGCAACCGCACAACATCAGACAACAGCACAACAACAAGCAACAGCATTGCACTTTTCAACACAGTCAATATCGTCTGCGTTCAGTGGAATGAGCCTTGACGGCTCGAGTTATATGCGTGGAGCCTCAGCTCCAAGTACTGGTTCGTTTGCTTTCTCACCTTTTGCGCAACAGCCGCAGTGACAGCAGCAGCAGCATCCTTTTTACATCTTCGGGCGTTCCCCTGCTCACCAACAACAACAACAGCATCAACAGCCACAGCAATTTCAGCAGCATCAACAGCACCAACAGCAACAGCAGCAACAACAACAGCCTCAACAACCGGGTATTATTTTTCAACCGCCAAATTTGCTTAACAGTACACAGATCAAGACAACCATACCTTTTAACGGAGTGGATTTTTACTCATGGAGTTTCGAATTTGAGCTTCTTGCGCAGTCCGCTAGGCTATGGCCTTTCTTCACTGGCGAGTTTACGTATCCTGTTAGGGGAACACAACTGGAGCAGCAGAGTTTCTTGCACGCATCTTTCGGGCATATACTGTTCTTGTACGGAACCTGTCGCCGAAGGAGCAACTTGGTGTCCGATCGTTTCATTCAAGCTTTACACCAGCTGAAACTGCATGGAACCACTTGAAGGGGGTATACATGGCAAAAGATACAATAACAGTGAGTAAGAATCTTTCGCAGTTAACAAGTGTGCAGATGATGACAAATGAGAACGTCATGGATTACGTCAACCGCATCCGTACACTACGAGATCAACTGGAGAAAAGTGGGGGATACTTCCCTTCGTGAGATGTATCTCACGGTCCATCTTGCTGGCCTTGGACCCGAATGGCGACAGACGCGCGCCTTTCTGCTCATGAACCCGAACCTCTCCGAAGCTGAATTTTCGTCGTATCTTCAAGCAGAACAGCAAGATCTTGACCTGCAGTCACAACGCAATCAGAAAAAGGGGATACACTTGAGTTTTTACTCAAATCCCAAATCGCACCATCGTCATCCCCCGAAATATCCCTTCTGCCATTTCTGCAAGAAACCAGGACACACTTACCAGAATTGTAGAAGTCGACATCAAAACCGACGCAGCACTTCACAGCCTTATCATCGCTCGCAGCAGTTACCGAAGCCACATCAGCCCGCGCAGCAGTCGACGACCCAAACGCAGCAGATGCCGAAAACGCCGCAGAATCTGTCTCTGTCACAGCATCGTCCTCCGGTCTTTGCATCTGCAACATCAGGGAAAGGGGTCTTTGGATATGTTACCACAGTTGACGTTTCAGAAACAGATTTCGAGACACGACTTGAAGAATCCACAAGTGCTGAAGGCATTCCCGTACCTCAAGTTTACACTAACCTTGCTCGAATAATTTCAGGTCCGAATACCTGGTATCTCGACAGCTGCTGCGGTTGGCACATGTGTTCCGCTGAAACAAGCTTCATCACCAATCAGCGTCCACTTCGTCGTCCGATACCTGTCACAGTCGCAAACGGACAAACTATTATGGCACGATCTGTCGGGAGTGTCATGCTCGAATCAATCGACACGGGATATTCACTACACGTTACCAATGTTCTTATCGTCGCTGGGCTTGGCTTCAATCTTCTCTCCACGGCTCAGCTCCTGGAACACAAAATATGCCCTCAAGGCAACTGTGATACAATGGATCAGGAGTTATGGCACAGTTCATCAAATACTTACCTTGGTCGTGCCGCCACTCAACATGGCGTATCCGTTCTTCAGTTTG